AACTGTTTAATGTCACGCATCACGCTCACCAGTGTGTTCAGGCCTGCTGCACTCACCCTCGTCCTTGTCTGTGTCCTGTAGCTCCCCCAGGAGAGTCATGCCCGTAGCCAGGGGGGGTTCTGAAGAAGGCTCAAAGGTCCACTTTTAGGTCCACTTTTTATGTAAAGGTCCACTTTTTGGTCCACTTTTTATGTAAAGGTCCAAGATTTTTCTTGAAAAGATGGACTGGAATCGTAGAAAAACTGCTCCCTTTGTCGTTGAATAAAAATCTATCTCTGATTTTTTCTTGGAAATCCTCTCAAAAATGCACGAAATGCTATTTTAGAAGGTTCATTTTTCAAAATTTTCCGGGGGAGCATGCCCCCGGACCCCCAAGGAACCTCGTGCCTTCGGCGCTCGCCTTGCGCCTATGGCGCTCGAGGTCCCCTCAAGCAGTGGGAAGACCCCCCCCATTCAAAATCCTGGCTACGAGCAGGAGAGTGGATACATCCTTCTCCCACTCCCTCACCTCATTGTCGCAGGTTGACAGATCTTCATCGATAGCAGCCAGCTCCCCGAAGTTACAACCAAACAGCTCCTGTGGAAGTTGCCACATCGCTGGATGGTCTGCAGTGTCCACACTAGTCTGATACTCTTCTGGTCCCTCTGAGTTAGCAGTGGCTGCTACAAAATGATTTAAAAAATAACAATTGAAAATAAAGACAATTGTACCTTTGCCTGGTTACTCATTATCAACATGTTTACAACATTGCATTTGTGTCATTTAATACCGCTCAACAACTGGTTAACATGCATAGAAAAATCCTGACCTGTTCAAGACCAAAACACCGCTTCTCTTGTAGTCAAGCTTATGGTGGATTCTTGGTGTCTTTTCTACCTACAAATTTACCTTCCTGAGCTCTATGAGACGTATATCATCCCCCTGGATACGGTCTTTGATACATAAAACAACTCTGTTACCGCCCCCCTCCCCACTCGAAAATATTACCGGACGTCTGTCTGCCCTCATTACAAATCTATCACCTTATCCATGTCATCCTCTACACAAACGGTACTATCGTGTCCCCTCTGTATGCTATCGGCCTCGGAACACTTTTGTTTTACATTGAAACGCATAGAATTTGACCAAAACACACAGGACAACAACATACCACGTTTCAAGCAAAGCTGTTTAGGTCAGGGGTCACACAAAAGCGCCCCTCAGCGGGTTACTTACAAAGTGCCCCTCCTAAGATTGGTGTCGTTTTCCTATTTCAGGATCATTAATTTCACCCTCATTGAATAGTAATTGATTCACCCATGTTCAAAGAACTGGTGTGGGTACGGTGCAAAAAAACTGAATAAATGAAAGTGCCTTTTTATCTTCCTTTATAATACTGGACCACACAAAAGCGCCCCCTTCGGTTGATTAACTTGGTGCAGCGTTAACAGTTGCCGCAACTTATTTTCAAAATTCTGTCTTTTTGCTTCATTCACCTCAGAGGAGATTTGCCTACAATAGTCAAGAGAGTATCTACGACGATTTAAAGTACAACTTACCACCAAAGCGGACGTGGCGCGTCTTCCTGGGCGGAATTTTTACCCAGCTCGTTCTTCCATGCTCACTCGCTATCTTGGAAAGGCGTGTTTCACGCACATGTGTCATGCCACCTGTAAACCACGAGCAAAATTTGCATTCGATAATCAAGTTAACATATAAGATTAATGACAGGCCAATAGGAAATCACCACACATGCAGGCCAGAAAAATACGATGTCTAATTATGGCTTTAATCTTACGAATTCGAAATTCTTAATTTTTCTATCCTCATCCATCCTCGAGGAAAACACACGTTAGTAATTTTCCTATAAATGATTTTTTTTTTACCCGTTTATCTTCTGATTGCGATAAGAACATTTTCTAGCTAGTAGTAACGTTAGGTGACAAATTACAAACATGACAGTTATTGCGACAATTGCCTCTAGGGATTCCAATACGTAAAAAATAACTGGGTACAAGAGTAAATTTCACGCGACATGCGTGTAGATATGAAATATTTCATCTGTGTACTTCGATCTTTGAGTGTTTATTTCTCTTTATCGACGATTGTTAAACTGGAAATCCCATATCATAGTATCAAGTACGATAAGATCACAAAGTTACAAAATATACTAGTAGCCGAATATTTCATTTATTTCGAAACCTTATAACTTATAACCGAAACGTCCGCAATTTGTGACTATAAGGACGCTTCTAGCGAAGCAAGTCTTAGATTTTAAAACGTTATTCAATAAAATGGCCGTTTGATAGGTTTTAGCTGAGCAAGATTCAATTATAAGGAGGACCAATCAAAACAGCGGATTTCGTCTTATAACGAGGCTCAAAAATAAGCATACATTAAGTCCAGGTGCCGCATTACGTCATGCGATGTAGTTACGCAATCCTCCAGGCGAACTGTGTAGATATGCTGGGCTAAATATAGGCAGGAATGGGTGTAAACATTGGCGTTTTAAGTAAAAATAGCGCAAGCAATTACAGAACTAGTTGTTGCAATATTTTCTGTATGATCCATTCTTCACGTCTAGTTGTTTTCTGGACGGTTAGAACTGATAGTAAGAACAAAATCAAGGAAAATATGTTTAGTAACGAAAAATAAACAAACATCAATAAAACGCAGTTCCAGTTTTTCCACTAAACCCTTTCTAGAAGTGTAATAATTCATACCCGATGTGTCCAGAAGAATCTTTCCATCCCTGGCGAACGTGCACCCTTCTTTACAAAGTTTACTCCCTCACGTTTTAGTAATAATTGGATGCTGTGATGTATCCACAGGCGCCATAATGCCAATCCATCACACGTGTCAATGAGGGCCTCTAGCAGTTCGCGGAATCATCGCAGGTACTTGAGGAGATTTTTTACATGCAATAATTTCACCGACTGCTAGAAGTCGCTTTTGATACATGGCGCAGAGGGTCATTAACCGATGCATCCTTGATGCTGATTGGTTCTCATCATGTCAACGTGTTTGAGTCGTCGAGCCTGATTGGATAATAAAGAGAAACAATTAGACGTCTGCCTCTTTGACCAAATATGGACAATAGACTCAAAGCTATAAAGCCGCTTTACTTTTCTTGTAAACAACTGAAGTTACGATGGATTTTCGGACGAACGGGACTATTTTAGGCAGTTATTTTCCCCCAGATAAGCTACTGAGTCGTAATAACTGCCTCTACAAAGAAAAGGAGCCGAGTTATGAGGTTAGGGGAGGTGAAAATGCTCGGCAACCACGTAATATTCCTACGAACAGGGGAGGGGGACATTGTGAGGGGATAGCTTTCAGCACCAAGGACAGGGATAGCTTCAGTTTGAACCTTCATGACTACAAACTGAATATTAATACACCGACTGCAATATACGAAGGAAATCAATTTGTGAATTTTTCAGTGTCGATCTCAATATCATATGAATGGAAACAGAGCCTCTGCCAGGCGTATAACTATGGCAATACCCAAGCTGTTACGACTTTGCCTTCCACCATGCATCTGCTTGGTTTACATTCATATGGTAATGAGATCGACAGCGAAAAGTTCGCTTCTGCAAAGGTTTTGACCAATTCTGCAAGCGATCAGCTGATCGCAAAATCACATTTTTACGTATAACTCGAGAATGAAGCAAATTTGTTGAAAGGCATTAAGTAGGAATAGAATAGAGACCTCAAGGAGTATACTCTGAAAATGTGAAAGCCGAAAAATGTCAAAAGTTCCATTTTTCTAAAATTGGAAAAGTGGATATTCAACCCCTATCACACCCCCGTTTTGGAACACCCGTTCAGAAAACGGCCGTATCTCGCTAAGGAAGCCTCGCTCATTCCCAAAATCGGCTCATTCGCGAGTTGGGAAATGAGATGGGCTCTTATGGGGTTTTTACTCCAGATCTTTCCCGCTCTCGTTCTTGACCTTGAGGCTCGCCCTGACTACCTATTATATTATATAGTAAATGTCACGAAATTATCAGGAAAGAACTGTTTTAGTCTTGCATCGGTTCATTTTGAGACAAACATTCACAGAACGACTTTTATGAGCGGCCGAATACTGAGCTTTTTCGTTAATATTTCTGCCGTTTTAGTTTCCATGCATCCATAAAACTCAGACAAGAACGTACTGTCTTTTTGAAAATAAAACTTTCATACCTCAATCACACCATTCTTAATGGTTTCTCACTCAGTTTCACATTCAGGTTTGCTAAGAACAAAATCGCAAGAAACAGGAGTGCCATGCCAATATTTGGTGGGTAACTTTATGTACTAGTGAAGAAACTCCAACAAATAGACCATCAAAAACTTTTTCCCTTTTTTTATTCTGCCTTTTTCACAACACACCTTCCATAAATACTCATGTAATTTAGAAAAACATGTGGCACAAAAAACAAAATAGTTCTATTTCTAGTACATACAGATGTGGTTTCATGTATACTAATTTTTCTGAACATTTTAGTGACCTGTTTACAAATAAATAACATTGAAATATAGAGGACTTGGCAGTACAGTATTACCCAATGAGTTTACAATAATGCAACATATTTAACATGGGTAAATTCAACTCCTACTCAAGTCCAGATATAACAAAGTTAAATACTCTACACATACAAATAGTAATTAATTATACACATGGAAAGAACATACTTCACTTTTTCTGTCATCTTTTTTCTTCAAGACTGTACAAAGTGTGAAATGTATGTAAAAAAATGTTAAAATATTTCCAATAATCTACAAATATTACACCACTGCATGGACCATTCTTCCAATACTTGTTCTATCCCCCCTCCCCAATAATGGACAGTCCCTACTGCACAATACAGCAGGATAGTGGCCGATTACACAATATTGTAAAGAAGGAAATATTACAACAGATATCAAATTTAGAGAACTACTGAAATGTTCTTGTCTGATATTTTCTTCTAAATGATAGATCAAATCTAGTTATTGACTTCAATAGATTAAGGCAATTCAACAGGCAAATTGTAGATTTAGCTCAGCTCTGCTTGTTCTAGTGATTAAGCTTTAAAATGCAGTGAAGTGTCTCTAATGTTGTCTAATACACTACTTCTAAGGGCTATTCCAATTTACATGGTAAGGGGGAGAGTTCAATTGAAATACAGTAGGCATGGGGGGGGGGGAATGTTGGAAAGGTTGTAATCAAACCAAAAGATGATGAGGGGTAACAAAAGATGATCCTGCCTTCCCCTCCTGAAATGTGGAAATGGAATAGCCCTATTCTATCACATGTTTTGCCTTTTATCAAACCTGACTCTACATATGTTGGCTATATGTTTGCAGAATGCAGCACACAAAATAAAGTTGTACAGTAGTCTTATAGGTCACAAAACATACAACTTTGCCTTACCTCCTTCATGTCTATATGTATTTAGATTTCAGGTGCATCAGGACTGTGCAACACTGCCCCCTTTCTGCAATACATAGCACTGCAGCTAGGTGGACGTGGACAGTCAACTAACTGTGTTAACCTCTGGAGTAATACTTACTCCTGGTGTTCTAAATTCTACAACAAAACCTGAGTGGCGGCTGCAAATTCGATACGAATCTTTCAGTGGAAGGCTTTTAACTTAGTACTTCTTTGCTCCATTACATATTAGTTGTAACATTACTGTAACATTATTTAGCATACATACTGACTGATTTGGCCAAACAATCTAGATTTTATACATGGCATCCTTTGGCGGCCCTATGTCAGATTTGAAAGTACAACATTGATGAGGGATTACAAGACAGTTGCCGTCTTGTCTTATTCTGCAGCAGTTTTCTAAAATGCTTGGAGATATTCAGACATATTCCTCATTCTTTGATCCAACTTTGTCAAGGGCTACTGCTGATCTTTCAAATGCAGCAGGGCTCGTTATATTTCTGTCGTACCATGGTATGGCTGAAATATATTGTTTTCCCTCCTGTTTCTTCTTCTCAAAGAAGGTAGAGTACCCAAATACCCTCAGGCGTTTTTGTTTTTTTTCATAACATGGATACAGGCTTTTAGAATTGTTTTATTTGGGTTTTTGGGCCATTTTCAATGTACAGTTTGTTTTAACTTCTTTCAGAAAGATCCTGCACACAAGGAAGTCATGGATAAAAGCCAGAAGTTCTGACCGTACCTATGAGGGAAGGACCTGAGACGGTGGGATATTTTAGATGACGGACTTGATCTTGTTAAACCTGGAGTTTTCCTTCATGATCTTCTCCTTCAGGTCCAGCTTGTAGGACAGGATGTCTCCCTTCCACTTCTTTATCGTCCCTTTCTCGCACACCCAGATTTCCTCAGCAACCTGATGAAAAATAGTTGTTATAGACGGTTAGATCTTTTCTCTGTGGTCCATAATACTCAAAATAAATCAACAATAAGGACAAGTACTTATGGTCAGCTGTGCTGTGAGATAAATATAAACTTGACCAGCTTGGTGAAGTATGATGTTCCACAAAACCAGTTTAATTGTTAACCTTTTTATCCAGCTTAATACATTTTGTAGATGACCAAATTGCTAACCTGGTTAATGGGTAATTTATTCACAAACTAGTTAATAAGTCTGAAGTTGACCAATATCTGATTTATATCTTAACCAGGTTAACATAATAAGGACTTGATTTAATTTGGTTAATCAATAACTTGCTGACTGACCTGGTTGATGAGTCTGAAGTCGTGGCTGATGAGCACTGTTCCTTATTGTGTTAGCTTAACCAGGTTAACAGATAAATTGTTAACTAGGTTAATCAATAACTTATTAACTGACCTGGTGGATGAGTCTGAAGTCGTGGCTGATAAGCACTGTTTCTTATTGTGTTAACTTAACCAGGTTAACAGATAAATTGTTAACTTAACTAGGTTAATTAATAACTTATTAACTGACCTGGTTAATGAGTCTGAAGTCGTGGCTGATGAGGACCATGCCGCCCTCGAATGCGTTGATGGCGTCCGCGAGTGCGTCAATGGTCTCCAGGTCCAGGTGGTTGGTGGGTTCGTCCAGTAGCAGCAGGTGCGGAGCGCGCCAGGCCAGCCAGGCGAAGATCACCCGCGCTCGCTGCCCGTCGGACAGGTTCTTCAGCGGACACATCTGGAGGGGGAGGGGGGCAAATTAGCACAGCATTAGGGATAAAAATCGTTTTTATCTACCAATGTTCCACTATTTTCTGTTTTCCACTAAATTCACTTCTAGTGCTGTGTACCTAAACCTACTTCCAGGGCCAGGTCTGGATTCAAGTCCAGAGGTTTAGGTTTAGGTCTGGTCTTGTAATTTTTTTACTATTGAAGATTTCAGTTGGTTTAGAACAAAAAGGGGAATGTGACTTTTTTTTTTGTAAGTCCACATGATCACACTGTCCAAATAAGTCTCAAAGTCCTTCTATACAGCAACAGCTTCTTTTCATGCACTGCAAAATTATGGAACTCTCTTTCTTACAAGTATTTCCCTCTCAAATACAACCCACAAACCTTCAATACCAATGCCCAGAAGTGTTTTAAAAAAAAATCTGGCTGCAATATGAAATTTGACTAGATCTTCTGTCTTCTGGCCACTAGCCTCGACACATGGCCACAAAGCAAGGCAACTATACAAAATATACACCACAACTAGAAAAGTAACATTTGCAAAGCAAATGCATAATGTGTACCTTTGCATATGGTCTGCTCTGTTAATTCTTACTCAAATGCATTCATATATATGGTGACAGGAGTCTAAATCCCTCCTACTATAAAATTGAAACATTATGTAACCCAATACCAGTTACCATGGTGAGAGACAGTCTGGTTCAGTCAGGTCACACGTCATTGTTTGGAGAAGAAGAGGAAACGTAGCAAAAACAATATGTTTCCCTTCAGGAAACATGATAACAAGGAGAGGAAAGTTGTTATACCTGCTGGCGGCCTGTGAGTCCGTACTTCCCCACAATGGACCTCATCTCCTCCACCTCCTTCACCTCAGGGTAACTCTGCATCAAGAACTCCACAGCAGACAGGTTCAGGTCCAGCTTCTCTTGGAGATGCTGTCAGACAAGACCACAATACAGTTACATAAACATAACAATCAAACTTATCACAGAAAAAAAAATTTACCATGCATCTATAAAGCAAGGTCGGCTTCAACAGAACTCATTAAAGACTCAGCCCAACTTAATATCTAAGATTAAGTGTTTCATACTAATAGATGCTTGTTTATAATATAATCAGCATCAGAATGTCAGCCCTTCTGTTGTTTATCAGGCACACGTCCCGGCTTTTGGATCCGGAAAAGTCACCCCGAATTTCCTGTCTACTCTGCAATTATAGTGCCCCTGGGAGTGAACATAAGCAAAATAAAGTTGGCTTCAAGTTGAAGTCATACAATACATCCCAAAAATCAGGTTGGGACAGTTCACCCTCACTTCGGGACAAGTGAGATTTATTTTTGGGACAGTGCTGGGACAATAGGAAGAAAAGTTAATTTCAAGGCCTGACCTGGTGGAACCTGCCGATGCGCAGGTGAGAATTTCTCCTGATCAGTCCGTCTGTCGGCACCAGCTCTCCGTCCAGAAGCTTCATCAGCGTTGACTTTCCCGCGCCGTTCGGACCCACCAGAGCGATCCGCGAATCCAGATCCACTCCGAACTCCAGATTACGGTAGATCCATGGCTGCAAAATTTGGAGAAAAAAACTTGTAAGACAATTTCAAATCCTTTGAATAAGATTCATATTGAGATTAGAAAATTACCCTGAACAGTGTCTCTCTTGCATGCACTTTCCTGAAAGTTACCAATGCAAAAGAAAAGTGGCTTTCGTACTATCACAGTCTGCTTGTGTTAAAAATAACAAAAGCAGAACTACTGTAAAAACTGCAGAGTTAGAATTTTACTTAACTACACAGAGAACTGGATAGTAAAACTGTTATAGCATCAATCTAGACAATCTTCATAAATTTTCACGATTCACAGCTTGTATGCTTATATCTACATAATCTCACTCAATCACTACTCCCAATTTTTACCATCAGGCCTGGGAAAAAACGGTTGTGTTTCCTGTTTCCCGACAGACCCTAGAAAAAACTGCTGACCCTAGTCTTTTTTTGTGGACCCCTGCAAGGGACAAACATTTTTCGAGCTGATCGACCTTTTCTAGCTCCATGATCTAAGTGATGAAGCATTGTTCAATCAGTTTTTCAGCACAGGCGCAGTACGTTCTAACAATGCTCTGTTGCTAGGCAACCAGACGATGACTCACCAGGTCGTCGGCGTATCTGAAGCTGACGTCCTGTACTTGCATGACGGGCGGCGGGACCTTCCCACAGTCCGGGAAATAGAACGTCAGGGTCTGGGGAGAACACACAAACATACTGCAGTCAACATCAACTCCACATCTGTATAACTCAACTTGTACTTCTTTTGATACCATCAGTCCTCGAAATGAACTTTTCTTCCTATTGTTCCAGCACTGTCCCAAAAACAAATTCCATTGTCCCGAAGTGAGGGTGAACTGTCCCAACCTGTTTTTGGCAGATATTGTATGACTTCAACTTGAAGTCAACTTTATTTTGCTTATGTTCACTCCCAGGTGCACTATAGTTGCAGTGTAGACAGGACATTTGGGGGGATTTTCCCGGATCCAAAAGCCAGAACATGTGCCTGATAAACAAAAGAAGGGCTGACATTCTGATGTTGATTATTTTTCTGTTGTCTCAAAAATGTCTCAAAGTATCTTTTTAGTTGTCCCAGCCTAAATTTCAGTGGTCAGTGGCCACTGGACTACCTTTAATTTCGAGCCCTGACCATGTATGTGTAAAATGTGTGACATAGATGACTTTAAATGATGTAAACTTTATATTATGTCTGACCCTTACCTCTTCTCTCATGACCTCATTGAAAAGTAGCCTGCAGGCCAATTCAAGGTTTCTCATGAATAAAGAAAGGGTTAAAACAAACAACTGTCCCTTGGCATAAGACGCTAGCTTAAACCCACCTTCCATTGAAGGGTGTGACCAATGGGCTACTTCTCAGCAACTTAACAGATCGCTCAATGAATTTCGTGGATAAAAAACAACTTTTGGGGTCTTCCTTGTCTTTTGCATTTTGCATCATGTTCCAATGGTGAAAACAAGGGTCACCTACATCCAAGTTTGATCGCTATGTAGTGAAAAGGGGGCCTTAGTAACCACATGCAGGCTCATTATATTATTACACCTCATTATAACCATTTCCTAAAACGTTTCAACCCACCCTACCTGGTCTAGAACAACTTTTTCTGTCAGTCCTCCGTCTACCATTTTCTTCAGGGTCTTCTCCTTGCTCTGTGCTTGTCTGGCTAACTTGGCGCTACCGTGACCGAATCTGGCAATGTAACTCTGAAAGGAAAAATCAAACACATTTAACCATAGGTTAGCTATAGGAATGTTATACTGTACACAAGCTTCACTTAAAAAACAACAAAAAGTTGTGGATAAGGAAAGCTTGACAATAAGTGGAATTTGATACAATATTTGTGTGGCATCTTTTTCTGGTTCAGTTATGTGATAAAACATTGTGGAAAACCTGCGAAAATAACTTACATATCAAATAAACTTAATTGCAGAACAATTGTACAAGTTACAAAGTATGGCATCTATTTAATATATATATATAGCCTATTGCTATCTTGCTTCTAAACCCTGGTAGTACAGTGCTCGCTACAAAATTTTGTGGTAAAGATGCCTCATTTTCCATTAGAAAATGTTAACTGAGAAGTCCCTTCCATACTTTGTGTATGCCCTGGGTTTAGGTCAAGACTTACAAGTCTGAACCTTAACCTAAACCTCTGGACCAGACCTGGACCTGAACGGGAGTTAGACACACAGCACTACTTCAGAGTTGGAGTGCAGGAGCCATAAGGACTAACCTTCATGTGTTTGATCTGGTCCTGTTCCCACTTGTACCGTTTGGCCTGGTTCTCCAACAGTTCCAACCGCGTTCGCACGTACACATCGTAGTTACCCTGGAGGTCAGAGGGTAAAGGTCAGGGTCACAGTGGTTCAAACCATCTTGTTTGTTTGTACATGTGGTAGCAGAACACAGTTTTCGCCCTATGGGGATTTCTATACTTAAGGACCCCAAGATGACTCATATCGACGCGGTAAAAATTATAGCAGGGTGCACTTCACAAATACGAAAATCAAATATGTTTGAGAAGAAGGTACAAACTACAAAATATCTAGAAACCAAAAAATCCTGTCGGCGTATCTGCTCGTAACGTACACTTTGAAATCGCCTCCTACGGACGTGACCTGAACTGCAGCCGACTCACCCGGAAAGCCAGTTGCGCAATACGGCGCATTAATATACACGAACTGCAAAACCTTCACAAATCAAATCATACAGTCTCAAACCCGATACATTTCTACACCACACAGCACAATTTACATCTGGCTGACGCTCTTATCAGGCTTTCTACCCAGCCTTCAAGAATATTCGCTGCACTACTTTCTATACCCGCGTCATCGTCCCCGGGGGTCGCCCATTAATACTGTGTTCTGCTACCTTGTTTGTTTCACATAACCAGTAAACCACCATTTTCAATATTCATCATTCTGCATCAATATTGCAGGAGACAAATTATGCAACCTGCAATTTTGCAGACTGAAAAAATCAGGCTAGAGGTTCAATGGTGTTTAAGAGCTTTTGTGTTGACTAGTAGTATAATATACCACTTTTTTTGCATTATTTTTTTCAAATTCCATGTAAAATGTTTGCCAACATGCAATTTTATAAAAACTATATATTCCATGGGTTTGGATCTGGACTTTTAAGAGTGTATTTGCAGAAAGTAATTCCGAACTAGAGAAGTAACATTTGCAAAGCAAATGCATAATGTTTACCTTCGGACATGGTCTGCCCTGTTAATTTTTACTCAAACACATTCACATACATGTACTACTAGTATATGGTGACAGGAGCAGAGCAGACCATGAAGTTTGCAACATTATGTAACCCAACACCAGTCACCATGGTGACAGACGTCAACAAATCATGTCATTGGCCAGGTCAGAGGTTAGTGTTTGGAGAAGAGGAAATGAAGTAAAAACAATATGTTTTCCTTCGGTAAACATAATTACAGAACAAAATTTTGACATTCTGCAATATTGCAGAACACTGAAAAAACAAGTATTTCTACCACTGGTATTTTACGTGCAGAAAAGAAGGCTGTCCTTACTCCATAGTAGTGCAGTTTACAGTTGTTGACATGGATGATGTTAGTACAGACACCGTTGAGGAAATCCTGCGAGTGAGACACCAGCACAAGGATTCTCTTGTAGCTAGAAAAAGAGGAAAAAGAATTGGGGATCCATGTTATATTGTTGGACCTTACAATGATGTTCCTTCATTTTGTTTACTCTGAACAAATATTACAATGGTGGTATACTATATAGGGTTGCATACACTTAATTATGCATTCTATCCTACCACTTCTACCAGGGTTTAGAAGCAAGATGTGTTGTTTGCGTGGCACATCTGGGCAAAACTGTGGCCCCATAATTTACAGAGGCCGACACTTGCCCAATGGCAATGTTTTCTTCATTTTGCAGCGCAAATTTTTGACTATTGAAGATTTCAGGTGGTTTAGAACAAAAAGGGGAATGTGACATGATTTTTTTTCTGAGTCAAGATTTTTTGGACTTGAAGTGAACCTAAACATTTTTACAAGACTAGCTAGTTTCAGCGAACCGGTACACAGCACTAGTTGGGAAACAGGAAACACAATATTTTTTTCAGAGGCCTATTTTCTTCCGTGCTTACTTCTTGAGTTCCTCTTCGAGCCACACACAGGCGTCCAGGTCCAGGTGGTTTGTGGGTTCGTCCAGCATGAGAAGGGAAGGTTTAACGAACAGAGCTCGAGCCAGCGCTATTCTCATCCGCCAGCCGCCAGAGAAGTCTTTTACCTGGGTTTGCTGTGGGGGTGGAGAAACAGGGTTGTGAAACTGGACAGAGTAGACAAAGTATCTGTATCGGTATAGCAGGTATACCTGCCTTTCGGCGTAACACACCAGTTTTGCAGGCACGCATTACACTGAACGACTAGGTAACACCTTGAACATCTAACTTTATTAAAACATTGTTTAAAGCTATCTAATGACAATGCCCCTACTGTACTTAAGATTGGTGATAGTTGTGATAGTTCTAGGAAAGAATGAGTTTTTGCACACCTCAAACCTCGGTTGATAACTCTGGTACTTGATGGCATGACTATTTCTTGTTCTTTTCTGGGCTGGTATTAGGTACAATGTACTGAATGGTTGGTACATTCACTGGTTTATTACTATATTAGTCATTTATAGTCATAATAGGAAAAGGTGAAGAGGATGATAGCAAAATCTGTTTCTGTCACGGACGACAGTATGTTTCAAGGCCCCTGTATTCCAACATAGGGTTAGGGTTGTCAGAAAAGTTGCATTGCATCTGAGCAGAGCTTCGTTTTTTTTTCCGGACCACCTGATTTGTTGGTATGTATTGATGTAAGGGTTGTACTTTCAGAAGAAACGTGTACCAAACTAAAACAGCCACCAAATCTTTCATGTTACAAATCTCACCGTCATTTTATGTGAGAAGCCGAGACCATGCAGGATAGCAGCCGCTCTCATCTCAGCCTTGTCTGCATCCAACTCTTCTAGTCGCTCATAGATGTCCAGTAGTCGCTCTGCTGATTCTGTGGGTGGGGAGGGGGGCAGCAAAAACTACACTTCAATTTTTTACATTCTTGGAGCAGGATGTATGTACTAGTACTAGTATATCATTTATGCATTTCTCTTCTAAGCATCTAATGACTTGATATACAGCATAATATTGGGAAAGGCAATGAAGAAGCTTAAAAATAAAATTTGGCAATATAACAAAAAATTCTTTCTGATTTTTATTTCATAAACAACCAGAGTATGCACACAAAATTGTTAGAGGCTTGTATATAAAAATCACAAAGCTGAGTTTCAAGAGGGGGCATTTGAACCTTCCCTCCTGACCATTAATAAATTATTCATTGTAACAAATATATACTAGTACATGAATCAACAAGACTGTACAATTAAAATGGAATTGTGTGTTGGAATAATGTTCAACGTTTTACTAAAATTACTACCAACACAGATAAAATGGAAGAGATTAACAAATGAATGAGGTGAGTGAAAAAAAAAAGGACACAGCATGCCCTCACCCCCTTGGATGAAATTTGGATGATTCCTACCTTCGTCTGCCTTCCCATGTAGGTGCTCCATCTCCGTTTCTAACCGTACGCGTTCCGCGTCCACTTCCATCACGCACTGCAGGGCCGTCTTGTCGCTGGCCGGCATCTCTCGCGTCAGGTGGAAGATGTCGATGTGGTCAGGGATGTCCACTTCCCTGTTCCCCAGGGCACTCAGGAGCATCGACTTTCCTTTGGAGGAAAAGAAAATATTAATCAGTGTGTTTATATTTCAGTCCATACCATGTGTGGATGAAATATGTTGTTTTCCTTTTGTGTTTCTTTTCTTTCTCCTTCTTCTCCTACCATTTCATTAAATGGATTCTTCATTTTTTTTGGGCCCAATGACATGAAATTTGGCATGAAGGTAGAGTGGCCAAATACCCCCAGAGTTTTTTATTTTATTTTCTGGATACAGGCTTTTAAAATTGTTTTATTTAGGTTTTTGGGGGCCATTTTTAGGCAAAAAATGTACATTTTGGGATCTGGAACCCTGGTATTAAATCTGAATGACCTATACAGATACCTTGGAAACATGTCCACACAACTTCATTCATACTTTTGTTGTACACCATTTTCAAATTGTGTAAAATAGAGCTTTTTTTTCTGTTTTCCGACACAAATGTAATCATGTCTCAGGGTACGTACCTGGCTGAATTATGACTAAATATGAGAACATTACACATTAATACACATTAATAGAAATGCCATGTAATATAACTGACATAATACAAACTGAGGACACAGTTGACTCACCACATCCGTTCAGTCCGACCAGGCCGTACCTGCGGCCGGTGTTCAGCTCGACCTTGGTGTCGTGGAACAGCTCGTGTCCGTGGAACGTGAGCGTGAAACTGTCGAACTTGATGTCGCGGCCCAGCGGGTGGGAGGAGAGGACGCCGGTACACGAGCGCGCGGCCGCCGCAGCCTGGGCCTCGATGTCCAGCTTGTCCATGGTGGCACTCAGGTCCTCTATGACTGGTGAGGAAAACACAATTCAGCATCCTTTGGCATTTCAATTTTTTCATCACTTCTTAGTCATACATGCATTTTGTAAAAAGAAAAAATACATGTGTCTTGTGACAAGAAATCTAGTCTTGCAGTTAAAATATATACAATTGTAGAATTTGTAAGAATCTGTAGTACTAGAAATTGTAAAAAAAAGTCTTGGAACATTGTTACGCTGCATAAATGTACATTGTGACACTGTCTTTCTACATTGTGACACATTCTTTTAACATAGTGACACATGTTTAACATTGTGACACTGCCTTTGAACACATGACACAGTTTTAAACATTGTGACACAATCTTTTAACATTGTGACACAGTCTTTGAACATTATGACACACTTTTAAAAAATTGTGACACAGTCTTTGTACATTGTGACACATATTTGACAATTGTGACACTTTCAAATCTGTACAATTTGTACCAATAGTAGACATAGGTCATGTTCTAGAACAGTTTTCTTTGGCAAGCAACTGAAGTCTACTGAAATTGACAATAACTTCTATGTTACATGTTTTAAATCTTGGTACACATTATAAGGAGTTCAGTGTACCCACCCCCGTTGGTGACACCGTTGGTCTCGGTTCCGTTTGCGGTGCCATTCTGTTCAGGTTTGGGCTCCGCTTTCTTCCCGCCCTTCTGCTTCACTGCCTCCTTCTTCCTCGCAGCGCGCTTCTTGGCAGCGTCAGAGGGCATTGTGGGTACCTGGGGGGGGGAGCGTCATTTTACGTAAATTCCGAAAACCCACAAATTACAGAAGTGGGATCTATTATCTTCCTCTGTCTTAAAAAAAAGAAGTCAAACCCAGTAGTTTTTAGGAGTTAACAGAAGTTCTCTGTGTATCAATTGCCTGTTCTTATACCAAATGTTTCTTCTGTATAGTGTACTGTTGTCTTCGTTCCTTGGTATGAGAAACTGTATGAATGTGGTTACCACATGCAATTTATGATAAGTGACATGATAACTTTCAAGTATATACAAAAAGAGGATTTTAGATTAGGTACTGACCCTTCAAAAATTGGCAAATTTGAAGTCAATCGGCTTCGAACTCCAGCGTTCGAAAGCGTTCGAACCATGGAACCCAGACACACGCCGGAAGTTGCCGAAGATTTCCGAATGAAAACCGTTGTTTATTTACATTCTATTTATTGTGGCACAAATAAATACGTCTGGCCTTGCGCAACTTAATCTCGAGCTGCGCTGAGTTGCCGAAAAGGCGAAATAGCGACACTAATATGTTGAAAGTTATCGAAAATGACAATCTACATGAGAAAATTTCAATTATTTGTATTTTCAGTTTTGGCGCGAAAATCCTACATAATATCGCTTTAAGAACATGTGGAAAATAGGAGGATTATTCATATTTACTCTTTCTCCTATTTTACAAAATAATTTGTTATTCAATACTGGAAAAGGGAAAGTGATATTAAACTCAAGATTTGCAAATCAGTCTTGGATAATCATATATTTGATCCATTTTCTGAATAGAATTATTTGGGTAGTGCTAGTGGGCAACATATTATAGTATAATTTTCATAAATTTGTGTGGCAAATCATTTTATCTGAAAAAGGTAACGTCTGTATGTCTGCCAGGGACTTTTTCCAGGAAATTTCTGCGTATTGACCATGTAAGCATGCGTGTGGGGGTGGACATGCAGCAAAAATAGCCCACCATACGATATTCTGACACGCGGTGACATAAATATAGAAACTCACAGCTGACAAAAGCACAATTCTTCTGGCCGTTCAACCGCGACCTGAATATAATGATGGCTGCGGCTAGAAAATTATTAGACTTTCACGGGTTGTAAATCGAATCAAAAACGATTTTTCGAGTGGTTTAATTTATCGCTGCGACAACTGTTGGGTTGGATTTTATTGATCTAAAAATTGAAAGGTTGGGAGGGGGGGGCGCAAATCTACGTCAAATAATTTGCGTCTCAAAGTAATTCATTACGAATGTTAGATGTTTAAATATACCTTCCAAACGTTGAACGTCGGCTTAGAAACAAATAAGAAGAAATCCGCCAACAGGCATCGTTTTAGACAAAGGTTTGAACTGAGATCCCAAAATTTGGCGCGAGTTCTTTGTAAAGATGTCGCAACGACATATTTCCTCACCGGCACAACTCCTACCTTTTCGTCCTTGGAATGCAAAAAATCTCCCCAAATCGACCGATTTCTTCCCGTAGACTGAAAGATGAGATGATTCGGCGTCTTCCTGTGGGTTTTTCACGGTGAACTGTTCCTTACTGTACTTCGTGGGACAAAAAGCCGGTTGAAACAGTCGCTACAACACAGGAACACATGTGAAAGGAAAGAATGACTGTACCGTGATGAAACCAACCGGACGTGACGTCATAGCAACGTCACTGTGACGTCACTAAGAATTCTCCACCTTTCAAAAGCGTCGACTAGCGGGCAAAAATATCATTGCAGCAAATTGCAACAAGTATGCTGCAAATTTGACCGCTAGGTGTCCTCATTGACACGTGGGCTTAGTTGGACTTTTCGTTTCTAAATTGTAACTGGTGGGACTGGTGCAATGTAGTTTCTACTGCGTGTAACTGTGGGTTTTCCTGTTTCTACTCGCTCCTAGTGTTACAAAGTTGTCAAAATTTCAGTTTTATACTGATGTACATTCTGTGCTATTCTTGAACTCAATCTATTTGCTGGTATATAAATGCTCCCTGTTTCAAGCTCAATCTGACTGATTGACTAACATATCCACTTTATTAATAGACACCTCTGTGAATATACTCAGCAGAAAAACACAAGGTTAACTGTGTAGAAAATTTTATTTTAGAAAGTTTGGAGAAGACAATAGCTCTTTGTTATCTACAGCAGTATGTACAAAAAATTCCCCAGTGGAAGCCAACATTGTACAGTTGATAAAGCCGAGTCTTTACACACATATTTCATCATTCATCTTAACTTTACACTTTTAAATTTTATATTTCTACAGCATCACACAAGATCACTCAACATGAGCTCTTAAAAACACTGTGCAATGAAGAACTATTCATATTAACATACGAGGTGTAAAAAGTGAGGTTCAAATATGGAAAGTATGCAATTCAGACATATTACACCAGTTAACATGGACAATATTATAATCAACCCGCAATCTACATTCTGAAGAAAATAATGTATCCTTCATGTTGTAAAAACTGTGTTTTTGTCACTTAAGGTGCACCATTTTCAACATGGGATGACAGGCAAAGACACCTTGAACCACAAGGAAATACGTAGAGTAAAATTTAACTGTTTGTATGTTACAGCATTTGTGCCAAGCACTTCAAGCAAGATCTTCTCACCAATAGATAGTGACAATACGAATTCTCATATAGGACTTTCAATGAAACAACCCTGTGGAAAAAAAAACAGCTTTTAAGCTCCTGACTGTGTCTACATGTCTGACAGTAGAGGTCTTCTTTAAGAATGACCAATTTTCTTTCAGACAAGCTGAATTTTTTAAAAGTGACAAAGCAGGTTATTATTCATTGTCAGTCTGTGACAGGCCTGACATGCCTTATGTACTGTGACAACAAATAGTTTGGTGCTTCCTACAAATCTATGTTAGAAAACACACACTTTAGTTTTTTTTCATACTAAACTTCAGACCAAATTAGCACTTTCTGTGTCGTCCCAGTGTTCTAAATATTGTTACCAGTTATAACAGATTTTCTATGATTTATAATAAGGTTTATCTATACATTGAGCTTTACAATTCCTCAACAATAACAACAGGTGTGTGTTTGGGGGGGGGGACGTAAGACTTTGGGAAGATGTTGTGGTCGGGTGGTGAGTTGGGAAGTTGATTGTCTTGGGTTGTTGTACAGGAGGAGGAGCTTCTCTACTTCAGCAGAAGGTCCTTGTTGGTGATGTGATGTTCCATGTCGTCCACCTTGGCCTGCACGCGGGAGCCCAGGCGGTTATACCTCTGCTGGAGGTACAGCTCCAACTCCTGCTCTCTCTGCTCTCTGGAGAACAGACAGAAAACTGTCAGTATGGCACAGTAACACATATTAAAGAGTGCCTGCATGCCCTTTTCAGGCCTTCATAGTCTGCCATAAATCATCATAATTCGTAATCAGTACATTAGCTGTAACACAGATGTCCCTACCTGGTGATGGGTCCTGCAGCAGATACTGGGTTGTTTGTAGGGGGAAGTTTTCCTCCATGGGGGAACTCCGACCTGAAATAGGACAGAAGATCATAATGAGTCAGACAATGAGCCATAATATTATTCAGACTACTGACAGTAGGTAGAGTACTAGTACAATGTATGTAATGCTTACTTTGATATAACCAGACGCAACACATCGGCCTCCTGGTCACACCAGCTATACCAAAGCTATACCACTTTTGTACCATACCACTTTTGTACCATACCACAGCTGTACCGCTGCTTACCACAGTTATACCACAGCTATACCACTGCTGTGCCACAGCTATACCACTGCTGTACTACTGCTGAAACACAGCTGTGCCACTGCTATACCACAGCTATACCACTGCTGAAAAACTGCTGTACTACTGCTGAAACACAGCTGTGCCATTGCTATACCACAGCTATACCACTGCTGTACCACTGCTGTACTAATACTACTATTGCTGAAACACAGCTGTGCCACTGCTATACCACAGCTATACCACTGCTGAAACACAGCTGTGCCACAGCAGTACCGCTGCTATACCATAGCTGTACCAAAGCTATACCAAAGCAGTACCACTGCTGTACCCACCCCTCCAGTTTGGCAGGTTCCTCTGGGATCTGTTCCAGACTGGTGCTGAACTGAGCGTTCACCATCTCTGGTGTTAACTCTGGACCAGCTGCACCCTCCTCTTCAGGTCTGGGGACAGACGTAAAACACACATCACAACCAATTCATGATCATCAACGTGTTACTGTTAGGAAGTACCAGTACTACATTATATGGCATAGAAGCAACAATCTTTGAGACAAGAGAAAGAAAACCATTCAGCTGACCAATAATATCTGATCTATGTGGAAAGGTGGTCACTGTAGATAGGATCTTAATGCTTGTGTCAATGGCAAAAATTATCAGTAACCTAAAATTGGTCACATTGACCAGGTAGTCAATCGCAATTGTTGTCAACGTTGACTGATTTTCAAAAATACATTTGTGATGACAGACAAGTCAAAATACACAGTATAGGTTATGCTAGAAAATATGTAATACTATAGAAATCTAACTTAAAGCATTAAATTAACATTTCAATGAAACATGACAATTCACAGGAAATGTTTTCTACCTTTTTCCAGTCAATTAAAAAATATACAGAAAAACTTTCCTAACATTGCCCACTGTGCTGCTAAATGTATAATCTCATTCCTGAGTTTTAGCAAATACTTACATGGAAACCTCGATGGCCTGTCTGTCCTCTTCTGGGAGACTGTTGAGTAGGGGAGGGGGGTCGTCTGGCAGAATGTCTGAACTGAAGGGGTCCGACCTGGATACAAGTGGCACAGAAACACACAATAAAACTTCATTCAATTTGATTCATTTATTCACTTGTAAGTCCAGACCTAAACCCAGGGCATATACAAAATACAGAAGGGTCTGTTCAGTTAACATTTCCCAATGGAAATTGGGACATCTTTACCACAAAATTTTGTAGTGAACACTGCACTACCAGGGTTTAGAAGCAAGATATGTTGTTTTCGGGGCATGTCTGCAAAACTGTGGCCACATAATTTACACAGACAGACACTTGACGATGCCCAATGGCAATGTTTTCTTCCTTTTGCAGCGCAAATTTTTGACTACCGGTATTGAAGATTTCAGGTGGTTTAGAACAATCTATTTTTTTTTTTTACTTGAACCTAAACATTTTTACAAGTCCAGAACTACATGTAGTTCCAGCAATCCGGTACACAGCACTACTCTACACTGACATATATTTGGATCCCTGATTGTACTGTAGGTAGAACAGATCTCACCATCTGGGTACCCAGACGTTGGTAAGAGTTGGGGTGTTGGCCAGCGACATCAGGCCTTGGGATGGGAACTTCTTCCATGACATGATGCCTTTGATCACATCCTACAGTGGAATAAAGGTTAAGCAGAATTATAAAAGGCCTAAAAAAGACTACATCATCATACATGAATGCCTTTGACCCAGTGTTGACGTCACACTTCAGAGAAACCATGTGACAAGCCTCACTGGGTCAGTCTACTGAGGAAGACCAGAGTGACTGGTTGAAAGCTCTAGCTATAGGTGAGACCATTTCGGTTTGAACAAAAGTTTTAACTACTTAAAACAATGGAATGGAGGATGGCACATAGGCCAGAGCCTTGTTGGAGGTGATCCTTTGCTTTTTTTAAGGTGAAAATCAATGCGTGCACGGATGTCATCCATAAAATTAAATCAGTGTGGCCTGAGATAAAAAAAAGGATAGGTTATGATATTTTATAAATAATAACCTTTATTGTACATTCATGCCCTATCGGGCTAAGTACAGGTGAACAGATGAAATAGGTAATATACATGTTTGTAGTACAAACAGCTCTAAAACTACTCTAATACAGGGGTTCGGCTTCTTCTCGTTTCTTAGTGATGTTAAAAATATAATTTGAAATGGGTTTGTATAGTACAGGATGATCAAAGCGCATAAGAAAGATAAATTTTTCAATATTAGACAAGTACTTGAAGTATGGAAACGTACTTGTAATATATCTAAAAAGATCATTTCTTTCATTATTATATAAACTACAATCAATAACAAAGTGGGCTTCATCTTCTACTTTGTATGAGCTACATACCTCTCTGTCTAAGAACTTCTTCTGTGTTGCGAGGTGCTGAGTCCAGTACGGGGAGTCCTTGGGTACTGTGTACCTGGGTAACGGACACAGGTGGAAGTCTGGGTCTGTCTCCGCATACGGCATGGGCGCCATGAACACCTGCAGACCTGGCGCCGGGTTCTGGGACAACACGGAACAAAAAGTGTGAAAAACATCAAATAAAAAGCCACATTTGCCCGAAATGGTGCCTCTCACATGCATAGCAACAAAGGCCTTTCCTACTAGGTCCAAAGACCACGTGGCCAAAGGCTACCTCAAAACCAATTCCCTATAGGGAATGCATTCGTGGAATTTTCTAAATTCTTTCAGATTGATCGTAATATACTGTAAGAAATGCCTACGCCCCTGAGGCATTGCCAAAAAACTCTTTTCAGGAGTAGACTAGTATACTAAAACCTTGTAGTTTCAAAGAAAAAATTATGCAACTTTTAAAAGCTGCAAATTAAGTAGTACAACAACCCAGGCTCAACAACAAAGACTGGCGCACACAAACAGGATGACATTTTGTAATCCATTTTTTAGCTATTCTAGACTTACTATCTAGTACAAACAGTGACAGAGGCTACTGCTATGAAAGCTCAACACTTAACTAGTCTGCATTGCTGAATATGCACCTCGGAATACTGTAAATCATGTTTTTATTGCTGTACTTTTATCTTTTATATTCACAGTTAAGCTTATCGTTATCGTGAAAAAATAATTTGCTGACATTGTTTTTGCTGCGCCTGCCACCACTGCGGACCTTAAGTTCTGCGAACATGTCCATTTTTCTCAGACTGCGAACATTTGCTACCAAAGATATAAAGTGATTTACTGTAATCTGTGTCCATTTTCTGTCTCCCTGTAGAGATGTAGAGAAACTTACAAAGATATGTAGTGGGTGGTAGTCAGGAGGATGGAACAAGGCTTCAGGTGGCACCAGAGTCATGGTCCTGGGCCCTGCAGCCGTCCCTGTCTCCTCCCGCAGCTCTATTCTGGACATCCTGTCTTCCACAACCTCCACATCCCCCTCCCCTGCAGTTTCCTCCTCTTCCACTAGGGGCGCTGGTAGCACAATGATCTCGTCCTCGGCTCCTGTCCTGAGCGGCCTGGCCAGTTTGGGCGTTACGTAACCTCTGGACGCGTCGTGTACGCCGTGTTGTCCATATCCCATCAGGTCATACTGTTTAGGAACCTAAAAAAACAAATTGATTTATTATTTAGGGAAAATAAATCCAGTTAACTGATAATATCTATTAATAGTTGAATCTTAGATACGTTTGGTAATGCTATATATATACTGTACAATAGAAGAATAGTTACATGGGCAACAGTGCCACCTACCTTCAGACTGAAGTATGGCACTTTCCGCTTGACAAAAACATCATCATTTTTGGCAGGAACAGGACCAAGTGCATCTGGGGCCTGCAAAAGAATGATATGAATATTATGATCAGTCAGGGCTCAAAACACTGGGTGCTGTGCACCCAAATATATTCAAATGTTTTCTTATGAACAGATGTTACATGTATACTAGTATACAGCATTTACTTAATATCTAAGTGTCAGAAAAATGATAAAATCATTGGCTATCATAGCCTGTTTTTATTTATTTTTCACCCTATCACTTCCTATTGTTTCGTAAAAAAAATCAGAGAATTAACAAATCAAATCAGTGTGGCCTAAACATAACTAAAACGTAAAGGTCGGAAATATAAAACAGCATAAATATCAGTGAAGAACAAGCTTAATTTTTTTCACACTGCATACAACAAGATCAAGAGAAGTTAGGAGTTTTTTTTTCTCACCATGTCGTCCTTAACATCAGGTGGAACGTACGCCGGGAAAGACTCCACCTTCACCTGCGGCGCTGTCATGCCCAGCGGAATCTTTATCTCATCGTCCTCGCCCTTGAACTTCACGTCCGTGACCTCCGGCACCGCATACTTTCCCTTCCGCCAGTCCGTAATAAACGTCTTCAACGAACCTAACTTTTTATGTACTCTTTGCCTAACGATAACCTGTGGGAAGGTGAGAGAGCAAAACTCCAGGTCAATGTCACAAACCAACCTTTGTACATGTGCGCCACCTAGCAACTTGCACAGGAAATACTGCATGAGGTAAATGCCCAGATATGGTGATATACTGTATCCATGTATGTTCTCTTTGAGTTCATCGGTACATTGCAAGGTATATCTTGGGTGTAATATATTGCATTATACAAGTACTGCACTGTTCAAGAAGTTGTCTCAAAGCATTAATGATGATAGGAAATGATTTTATTGATATTGTTAATGATCTTTGTTGCTTTACATATGGACAAAATTATGTACTTATGCAAGAGTGCAGAAGAAAAAATTTACATCTGCCTAGTGGCTTGTTCATCATTTAAGGATCAACAAAGGAGCTAAAAAGAATTAGGAAAACATTGAGAAAACTGACCTTTCTAGCAGCCTGTGCAAACCTGCCTAGTGCCTGGTGTCTCATGGCCCAGGGGTCATTCTTATACAGGTCAAACTGGGGAGACACTTCAGGGTACTGTACAGGGAACAAGTAGGTCATAATAAGATCATTCTTAAGAAATAAGTATATTAGTTGTATAACTTGAGTCCCTTGTCACTATGTCCTGTTCTACATCTTCGTACAGAACTTTGTGATACATTGGCAGACAGATATCATACTTTGCAAAGGCACATGATGTATATATATAGTCAAGAGAACAATGCCTGCAGGATTCTAGAACAGATCTGTGCTGACTTACCTCTCCTGCGACTCTCCATGTCCGTCGTAAGGAACAAGCCGTACAGGCGCGGTTAAACTCTATGTCTGGTAAAGGGTCGCCTCTCTGAAACTGGAAAACAAGGAAGGAACAAAGTTTTATCCTTGTTCTAGCTACATGTACATGTAGAAGTCCTGATGGTGGAAAGAAGATGCCGGTGTACTGTACTCTTGTTTTAAATAACTGGAGGTTGTTGTCAGCGATCAGGCCGACCACGTTGTCTGGGAGACTGTTCCAGATGTGTACTACAGAATGTTAGAGTTCTAGAGACTGGCACTGTGAGGGCAGGCAGTTTAGTCATACGTACCCTATACTCTTTCACAGCTTCCTCCCTATTGGCCAGAATCTCCATCCTCTCTGTTGCTGTCAGCTGGTCCTTGCCGGGGTGGACTTGCCTGCAGTTAAAACAACAACAACAACAACAACATTTGTACCGATATCCAACACAATAACAGGTGGTTGTAAGTTTCATCTGTGACTGTTTGATCACAAAACTGTTATCATTTCACAGTATATGCTTTATATGCTTTATATGCTTCTGTTGATGATGAAAGCTTGATCAAATTCTAATCGCATACAAAAAATAAATAAGCCTATATAAAAAAATGAAGAAAGTCTAAGGGTATTGCCCACTCTACCTCCACGCCAAATTTCACGTCATTTGGCCTAAAAATGACTGAGATGAATCCCTTTAAAGATTTGGCAGGAGGAGTAGAAGAAAAAAAGAAGCAGGAGGGAAAATAAAATATTTAATCCAAACCTATAATATGGACTGAAATATTAAAACAACATTTCTATTAGACAAAAGCCTGTATTTGTTGTCACTTCTAAATCTACTGAGAACTGATACAGTCTTATGCATTGACATATTGAGCATTCAATCAATCTGTGCACAAGGTTATACTTGCCTGTTGTAATCAGCTACAAGATATATACTAAACATATCAATTATCTAGCTTCAAATCACGCTTGTTCATTGGTATCTAGGGGAATTCAGTAGCTCTATCTATTGATAAGAACAAGTTAAAAGCCCGTGACTGACCATCTGAGCTGGTTTTTCCTCTCGGCCATGACGTCCTGCTGTACCTGGTACTCAAACAGAGCCTCCTTCATCTGTCTGGTGTTGGGCGCAAGGTCCTTCTTAGATGTGATGGCTGATACATGTACAAACAACAGAAATCCACATGAACAAAAAATGCCACAACACGCGCTTGAAATACTGCTGCATGTGCACCTTAGTGCACCCAAATTTGGAGCTGTGCACCCAATTTTTTTCTGTGGGTGCACCCAAATATTTTCATAGGTTTACGTATGTAAAGATGTCAAAATGTATACTGTAGCATACAGCACTTTCTTAACGTCTAAGCATCAGAAAAATAATAAAATCTTTGTTATGGTACTTTTCTTTAGTTATGAAACAAAATTAGTTTTTGCTGACATCATACTATTTTATCTTATATGGTGCACCAAAGACAAATTTTGTGCCAGCCTGAAATTTTGAAATCTTGACCCTCTGAAATACCATTTCCTGCATTTTCAGGTGCAAATTTTGCTGGTAGACAAGGCTTAGTTTAACGACATTTTCTTCTATATCTTCTATGCTAATTTTTGTCCATCGGAGATGGCAGATCAGCCTTAATAATTTTTGATGATGGAAAAATGGATGCTGGCTAGAACACTGTGAGAGTAATAAAAAAAAACTATCCTCCTACCTTCTCTCAGGTCCTTGGTTCTAAGCTTGCCGGGGGTCTGGTTCAGCACACTGGACACAGCATACGGGGTGTTCAGGTTGGGGGGAAATCTCAGGCCTTCATACTCAATGTCCTGGGGCTGAAACCAGTCATAGAGTTGGTTATTAGTATTACAGCGAGATATCAAAAATACAAATACTGTCTGTATATAAAATCATAACACAAATCAAGGGACTTTACAAACAGTGGGGATTCCCATTCTTTAGTTTTCATGTAGTCTTTTTAGGGAGCACTACAAGTTGTGGCTTATTGAAGACTAAGTGCATGTAAAAAAAGTTTTAAAATGTCTAGTAGATAGATACAGTGTACAACTCTGTCATTTCTATATAAGAGAAGAGTTCACATAAACTCCACATTGAAAAAGGCAGACGTAACAGCATTCTTCTACAACAATGAATTTGCCAATACAAGCAATCTCTTTTTTCGTTTACATGATACACATTCAAATTATTTGCAGACATATGCAAATTATTGGTAGGCAAATCAACCAACCGTCACCTGCTTTTTGCCTACCGTGACGTCATGGCTATCGCTATATTGTAATTTAGATAAAATTGAGGATAAGTGTCACTTGACTGTGCATTATACAGGAGTGAGAGAGAGACATCCTCTATACTTGTATACAAGATAAATTTCCCAACTTAAGAATTTTAGACAGAACAAAAAAATTCATATTCTAGGCTTATGAAACTAGACAAACCATGTATCATAAGCTCGAAATGCTCTACAACTCGCCATTGTGTTTTTCAAGTAAGATATTAGTAATTTTTACCTCTGCTTTATACATGACCTGTAATTAGCTTGTAAGAGCATAAACATACAACAACGGCCATTCATTCATTCCTTCATTAACCGGTTCTTACCGGAGGTGCGGTGGCTCCTCCCGATCGCGTCCGTTCCCGTGTCTTGTTGCGTTTCTTGCGGCGTGCCATGTGGATGGGAGAGATGCAGTGTGGGTCCAGCGGTTCTCCCATCTTGATCATGTCATCACTGTCGTCTGCTCCATGCCCGTTCATCATGGTCCTATAAAACAATAAATGATAAAGGGGCATTAGGCCATGTTGATTTGATTATATGGATGACATCCTCTGGGAACCCCGAAACTGATGCGAGCATGCGAATAAAAAAAAAGTTCGGCCAAAAAAAAAAAATTGCTTTCATTATGAAATCTACGTGGCCATGAAGGTTGAATAAATGACACAGAGTATGGTATGGCGTAATAATCTACTCTTTGAATTAATTTCTTTACATTTTTGTCTTTTTCGCTTGATTTTCGTTTTACTTCAGTGATATCTATATAGGGGTCCAACTCATACAATATAGTTTAACAGAGTAAAACTTGCATGATGACACTTTTATTTTCTATGTGAATGTTAGAAGACCAATTGTACAACATTTTATCACTCAGGTGTCAAATCATAGAGCTAGAAAAGGTTGAAAAATTAAATTTATTTATGTCCCTTGCAGCGGTCCACCAAAAAAAAAGTCTAGGGTCAGCAGGTTTTTCTAGGGTTTGTCGGGAAACAGGAACACAACTTTATTTTTCCTAGTCCTTACTTTGCTGACAGTCCAGGTTGTGACGTCCCCACAAAGCTACACAGAAGTGGTTTGGAGTTGAACTGTGACACGGTGACCTGGATCTTCATGTTTGCGGTGATGAACTCCGAGGGTGCAAAGGTCACCGTGATGGTAGCTTCCCCATTGGCTGGGACCGTGCCTGAAAACGGACATGACAAGTCAGCAAAAAGACATCTTAAACTCCCAATAAACTTGTCAGAAAATACATCAGGGCTATTTACATCAGGGCCCACCACCTTTCACTTAACTGCGACAGAGGCCGACATCGTCTATCAGGTACCTTTGACCCAGTGTTGAAAGAAGCCATGTGACAAGCTTCACTGGGTCAGTCTACTGAGGAAGACCAGAGTGATTGGTCGAAAGCTGTAGTTGAGAGAACTTTGTTGTGTTGGATCAATAGTTCTAACTTTAAACAAGTTTCGCTCCTCATTTCTTTTCTAAAAATCTTATACTAGAGACTTGAACTGTTGTAAATCATGATTTTTTCGCGGCACTTTTATATCCAGTTTTCAAGGTCACTTCTATACCGTGAATTCATCATTACCGTGAAAAAAATGATTCTCTGATTTCCTTTTTGTTGCATCTGCCGCCACTGTGAACATATAGTTCCGGAACATGTCCGTTTTTCTCAGACCGCAAAATTTTGCTAATGCGAATATAAAGTGATTTACATTACTTTCGGTAGCTAAGTTTCACTCCTCGTTTCTTCTGTTTAAATTTTACCCTGGACATTTGAATTATATCATATGCAAACTTAAAAAAAATGAAAAAAGGGGGGTCGTAAGAAAATGAACCCTCTGACCCCTAACCCCTGACCTCTAGATGACCCTGACCTGTTTGCGGTTCGACCTTGAAGGCTGGGTGGGGCTGGATGAAGGAGATCTGGAACTCGAAGTCGATGGGAGCGTTACACTTCAGCGGGATCTTCTTCACTCGACTGGAATAACACACAAATCACATGATCAGGAATACAACAAAACATCATCCATATTTCTATCACGCTGTATTAGCTAAATAACTTTTAACAGAATACAGTGTTCTTTTCAGGATTTTTCCACAGCATAGGGGTCAGAAACAGAAGGGCAACTTTCGTGGTGCAAGTCGTGCATTAAGTCCCAAAAACATGATCACAATACCACCTGAGACACATTTCTCGCTTAATGAGGGACAGATTTTGCGAAGTTAAGGTTTTCCCTTTGCTATAGCTTCATTCTCAAGTTACATTTTCATTTTTTGCAAGATTTATGAGGGTTCTCCCCCCAAAATCACCCCTATGCTGGTTGAAAGACAGCATAGGGGTCCAAATCACAGCATAGGGGGCCCCTACGCTCAAAAGGCCCGGTGAGAACACTCATCGATGCATTGCATATTGTTTACCAGATTTTGCAACTTACATCTGTCCGATGGGTGTTGGTGGGAAGGTGACTTGTGAGGGGAAGTCTGCGGTGTTCATCACAGGGTAGGCATGGATGGGGATCAACAGGTTCTCATCATCCTGCAGAAAAGTACAAAATAAACGGTTCATATTCTATTATCATATACTGTAAGTCTACAAATTTCCGCGGTATATTTAGATTCGCGGCATTCGCTGGGACCTCTGTACCGCGAATCTATTTCCCCGCGAATATGTTTTGCGTAAGTGCGCCCCCCTCCCCACATGCATTCACGACGGTAAGCGAAACACAAACACACGCGATTCACAAATCACTGCAAATCAACTTTATTCTTAGCAAATGTTGAGTACCAAATTTTTTTAAAGTTATACTGATGTCAAAAAATTATAATATTATGAGACACCGAATCGCGATACTGCGGCACTGGCCGTGTCAACCGTGTACCGCCGAAAAAAATCTATGCGTGCAGAGCGCCGGCCGTGCGCGCCCGGGCACTTGAAAATTGCGGGAACATCGGGCATATCTACAAGTATTTTTATGAAAAATATAACGGCTAATACCAGGGAAATGTTAGTTGGTTATCTTTTGCGCCCTGATTTGCGGGCGTTTTTTTTCTTCTTCTTGTTTTGCTGGATAGAAACGCTACCGTGGGCCGCTACAAAACCGAAGGCGACCTTTGCATTCTTCCGGGTTCAAAATCTCGCCGAAGACGGCATAAATTTGCTTAGTAATATATATATTCTTTCGATTATGCATTTCTTCACTGGAGTATCGATGTGTAGTCGTGGAAATAGCATTTTAGCGCTTATTTCCGAACAAAGAAAATTGTTTACACGTGCGTCAGGTCGATCGTCAGCTTTACCGCCGGCAGTCTCGCGCGGTGCATGAAACAAATTTTTGCGCCGTGTTTTAGGAGATAAATGCCGGAACACGAACTTTTATTATTTTAAATATACACTTTACAAATTTTTCTTTGAAAAATAGCCAAGGAGAAATCGCGAATCTAAAAATACCGCGGATTGTCCATCTTCCCGAAACCGCGAACTTTAGGCCCCGCGAATCTAAAGAGACTTACAGTAGCCAGTAGCTGTCAACCAATCAGAAGGCTCCATTTCCCATGGGTTATCAGGCCATAACCTAAAAAGTGGGCGGTTATCTGGACCGTACCATTATACGGGGGACAGGATACTAACAGTAGTATTAACCCTTGTCCTGCGGGGCCCATATATATATGGGTTGCACATACAGTACCATCTATAATATAGTGCCCTGTATATGTGCGATTTGGGGGTGTTTCTCGTGCAACGCATCACACCGCAGCGAAACGCAACGAATGCGGAAGTAACTATGCCGCCGCAGGGCAAAAAAAGTCAAGGGTCTGTGACCTGATTAAGACATGAAATTATTTGAAAATATTGTGTAAAAATTGCCAGCAGGACAAGTTAAGACTTGTAGTATTTTAATATCTATTAAAAACGTAATGAATTTTTGAACACCTCAGTCCTTGGTTGATGACTGGTACTGGAAGGCATGGCATCCCTTATGTAATGACAAGTGGCTAGCAGGCCAATTTGAATATCTCTTGAATAAACAAGGCTCCAACAAACAAACAAACAAACAAACCTTGCAGTGGATCCTGATACAGTCGTAGTAGTACCTCCACTCGTCAGGTGTGAAGTCCACCTGTACGTCCATGGTTAGCCCAGGGACCAGACGGTCAGGCTTGGTGTAGTTCAGTCTGAAGTAGGAGGTGGCCGGGGGGAGGATGTGCATCCTCTGGATGTCACCGGACACGTTGGCAATCCTCTGGTATGGGGAAAGTAAATTTTGTAAACATATTGTTTTTGCTCAGTTTCTTCTTCCTCTTCTTCTTCTCCAAACAGTGACCTCTGACTGAACCAATGTCGTGTCTGTTGCCATGGTAACTAGTGTGGGGTTACATCATGTTGCAATTTCATTGCAGCAGGGATTTAGACTCATGTCTGACCAGATACATGTATATGAATGTGTTTGAGGATGAAATAACAGCAAACCATATGCGAAGGTAAACATTATGCATTTGCCTTGCAAATGTTACCTTTCTAGTTTAATTTAAGTCTAATTTAGTCTAAGTCAAGTTAAATCAATGCCTTGTAAGGCTATACTGATTTAATTTTATGGATGATTTTCGCCTGTTCTAAAAAAAATTAAAAAAATCATGTTCTCCGAGGCTCTTGCCTGGGTGCCATCTTCCATAGTCCATGGTAGCCAGCAACAATGTAACTGCCTTAGCTCCATGACTCAAGAACTCGTACAGTACCGATTCCGCAAAAGGCTTGTCTAAAAGGTTGCCATGTACTACCACAAATTTACAATACCAGCTTCGTATTTCTGTGATTTAGCAGCATTTTTATTTTTGCCCAGGCTTTTAATTTGCCCGCACGCACTAGTTTGGGCATCTTAAGAGGATGTCATCCAGAAAATTCAGTCAGTGTGGCCTAACTGGTAAAAAACGAGGCAAGACAAGTTTCTGATTCACAAATTAGTATTACACACCCATATATAGCCACTAGATCTTTTATTCCTAATAACTCATGACATTCTTTAGTTTTTAAAATGACATTTGAAAATGTAGCCCTGGATTTTCTACGTCATGTAGCCTTAGAGTTAACTTATACCTCCCCTTTCTTCAATTCAAGTTCAATTTCAGTCAAGACATCATGCTTTCATCAGTCCAAACAATTGTTCATTTACAAACGTAAAAGCTTCAACTGTGAGTCTGACTCACTATACAGACAGACAGACAGAGACACAGACAGACACAAAGACCCACCATGATTTGTTTCTGTGTTTTGTTCAGCTCGAAGCCTGCAAAGTGAATAACAGCTGGTCTGGCCTGGAGGAATACATTCTGGTTCACCTTCGTGTAGATTTCTGTCAAAAAAGATCAAAACATGACTGAAAAAAACAAGCATAACTTATAAATACATTCATGTTTATACCCAAAGGGGGCTAAATGGACCCTATGAATATTTTAAAAAAAATAACCCTGAGCAAATATATAATGTATTAAGTTTGTTACAAAAATCATTTGGATGTTCAACAGGATTACGTGTAATACTACAGAGTACAATTTCATCAACTGGTGACTTTGAGAAAACGAATGCTTTCTTATTCAATTCGGTTTCAATTGCCTTATGTAGGGCTGGAAATACTGGGTGCATGTGCACCATATAATTAGTGCACCCAAATTTGGAGCTATGCACCCAATTTTTCTCTGTGGATGCACCCAACTATTTTCCTAGGTTTACGTATGTAAAGATGTTAAAAGTATAGTAGCTATACAGCATATTCTTAATATCCAAGGGTAAAAAAATAATAATAAAACCATTGTTATAGTACATTTATCTAGAAATGAAACATAATTAGTTTTTGCTGACATTCTACTTATGTGGTGCACCCCAAAAATTTCTGTGCACCCAACTTTTGCACCAGTGCAGTGCACCTATTACCCAAAATAAATGTATATATTTCGAGCCCTGGATTTCAATTGCCTTTTGGGACAATTTGCTGGGATGTACAGTTTGGGATGACCTGACTTGAATAAAACATGAGTCATGGTACAACATCTGCAGTTTGCATTTTGCAGAGAAATTTTCAATGTCGCAAAAGAAAAATAAAGCAACCTGCAATTTTGCAGACCGAAAAAATCAGGATAGGGGTGAATTTGTGTCTATGTATAATATTGTTTAGGCGCTTTAATGCTGACTTTACAGTATACTCTTAGTACTAATTCAAATTGCATCTAAAATGTTTGCCAACATGCAGTTTTGTATGGGTTTGAGTCAGGGTTTAAAAGTGTTTATTTGTACAAGTATTTCCAAATTGCAGAACAATATTGTGACATCCTGCAATAGTGCAACACTGAAAATAAAAAGTACATGTATTTCGACCACTACTGGTTATAAAGACATTAGCCAGGAAAACTTACTGGTATCCAGAAGGTGGTTTGGGACTGGTTGACTGGTCCGAGGGGCGACCAGAGTGTCCGGTATCACCACCCCGTTGGTTCGCATGCCGTTTCTGCTGAAGTTCTTGTTCAAAGGTTTAGCTGCCATGGCCATTTTCTCACTTACTCAGACCTCAGGTTACCTAAGATGTGAAAGTTTACGTTAGATCGCTTTTACGTCAAGTATCTAAATAAACAAATAGTTCAGGTGGTAAATAACAACAAGCTAGGTCGTATCGGCAAGAAGCCAACAGATCGCGGTTCTAGAAGTTTCTGACAGGTTATTGACTTCGTGGAAGTTATCGTAAGCAGAAAGAAAAGTGCACGCGCGGCAAAATATTTTGGCAAGCAACTCAACACGTTTGGTACAGGTCCAGTCTGTTGTCGCAACCAACTTGTGACAACACCGTCAACTAAAAACCACCGTGTTTGAGAAACAAGCCAGAGACAGCAAACCTAGCTAAAGCCGCGCGACTTCTTACATCTTCAAAGACGTCTTAGCGTTATGATAACTGATTACCATTGCGATTCCGTTAGAGAAATATAAAGCAAACCCAACGAACCCACAAATATTCTTGACACAGCCCGCCATCTTTGATTGGGATCTATTTTTGGGGGTGTTGATGACATGAGTCCTTCCGCAGAAAGTAGTCCACTTTTCAAAAGATGGGTGCATTTTCATAAAAACAAAACCAGATAACAACAATAATGCTGTAGATACTATAAATTTATCACAGCATATTCTAACATGAATTTAGGATGATATTTACGTTTCTGAAGGAAAACTGCGGAATGGGAATAAACAAGTAGCGGTGAGACGGCCTAGCAACATCGCCATGGTGACATCATCGGACAAGGGGTACCGCATCAGATCGAATGAATTTCTAATAAAATATTCAAAAATATCTATTATTTCCGGACATAATCTACATTCATGAATATATAATATCTAAATCAATTCATGTTATAGCCTATAATACTTAATGATGTATTTTGTGGTGGTGATTACAAACTAATTCACGTGTGGATGCCATGAAGGTGAAAGGTCAGATTTGCTGCTGGCTGGGTGGATGTGTTGATGATGAATGAGATTTTTGTACAGCCAAGGCCAAGGTAAAATGTTTGCTTGTTTGTTTCGATGATCTTACCGATTAGGAAACAAAGAACAAGTAAATGTAATAGCATGCTTTATGATGATTTAGTTCTATGAATCATAATCCCAAGGATGAATCAAATCATGTGTAACGTTACATGATTTTTCATAAAAGAAATCAAAGCAAAATTATGTATTCTAGATATTTCATAGCTTCTTGAATTTTGATCATCATGATCAACGCTATTTTAAGATCTTATCCTAGCTATTTATATAATATATTTGATTGTTATTTTTCTTGAATTCTTCAGAGGTTGTGCAGAACAGAAGATGTTTACAGCTATGTGAGAAGCCCCGATACAAAAATCTGACTGTGTGATCCAGATCATAGGTTGCAGAAAGTCTGTGGCGCCCCCCGTCTCTGTTGAGGGACTCTGCTGATCTTGATCTTGATAGACAAGACATCACATCAGTACCTTCACAAGCCAAAATGATCTGGGCAACTTTGAAAAGTGCTCATTGTTTCACTAATGATAGCTGTCTTTTCGCAACATGACGACACGCGTTCACGTAAAGACGTAAAACAAAGCCATTATCACCATGAGAACGATGGAACTGTCCATGCGACTGTTTGTGTTCCTGTTGGGAGCCGGGGTCATCACGATCAACATCTTCTACAGACATCTCAGCTACAAGATCCATAAAACAGAAGGCCCCAGTCTACAGGAATATTACAGATCGCTTAATTATACAGGTACTGTACTCATTTATTCCCTTGCATGAAAGGTTCTTTCCACTTTACGTGCAGCATAGGTTTGTGCCCATCTCCGTAGGCCACACAGTTGTCTAAGCACTACAGCAGGGGTCTAGCAGTGTTCTCGCCTCAGGCCTTTTGAGCATAGGAGCCCCCTATGCTGTGATTTGGACGTCTACTGTCTTTCAACCAGCATAGGGGTGTTTTTGTCGGGAAACTTTCATAGATCCTGCAAAAAAATAAAAATCATGTTGCGTGAATTGAGTGGATTCCACCCTTCAGTTATTAAGCAATCTAAATATTTGTCATTTAAATTACAGATGAAGTGTTTTTGAAAAGGATAGGAATAAGGTACGTAAGTTATTCTTCATTCATTCAATCATATAGTATGTATTCCATATTTCAGGTGTATGAACCCATAAAACAATACATATTAGAATAATACAGAATACATATATATTACTGACCGTATATAACATAATCTCAGAAAGGACATACAAACATTTTCTATCTTTCAATGTTCACATTTTTTATCATTGATGTGACTTTCATTATCTTGCAACTGCTTCAAAATGTCTGCATCTTTAAATGACTGCATGTTTTCTGTGTTTTTTTTTTCTTTGTGAACTTGGATGCGCATGGTTTTGATTTTATTTTCTTGCACTGTGAATTTTCAGACCACCTGGACCAAAATTCTCTCACCCTATTAAGTGAGTATGAGACGGAATAATTTTTTTGGAACTTGTACTTCTTTTAGTCTTTGATTGGCAATGTGAACTGCTTTTGGTTGTACCAACTCACAGTCACACACAATGATATACATGTACATGTACTATATGTACATGTACATTGCCAATCAATTTACTCAATGGCATGTACCACTATAGTTACTGTAATGTTTTGGATTCAGTAAATGCATTTATGTTTGTACCGTTAAATTGTACTTATGTCTCTCCATCTTGTGGTATATATCTTCTACATGTACCTTCTATGATAACAAGTTCTAATATCAAGTCTCATTGAAATGCACACATGTGCTGTATCTGTTTCATACATTCTAATAATACCATTATAGCATTGCCAATACTTTACCCTGGGCAGGAGTTATCAGATTTTTCTGTCACTTCTTTTTCAGGTATCCAGAAGGAGACTCCTGTATTCCAGGGTATGCCAAGAGTTTGGTCACTGAGATCAACCCAAAGTAACTAACTCCTTATTATATAGTTGCCCTTGTTCAGTCTTCTTTGCAATTTGATTTCTAAATCTAGGGATAAGATAATTTAGAAACCCTTACCTTCAAAAGCGCCCTTGCTGAAATGTTGTGAGACACTGGAAAACTTGTCCGACACACTAGTATTATAGCTATGTGATTTTTTAAGGACATCCAATGCAATTTCAGGAAAGCAAAACAAAAAAATATTGTGGGTGAGGAACCTGTCTGAAATTGAAATTTAAGTTAAGTAGTAAACTGTTGTTTTGCGTGTAGTATAAAAACGTTATGTTTTCTCTTATACTGCTTCATTGTTGTATCCCTACACAGGTTTAACACCAACTTACCACTGTTTGTCAAGAAAGGCTTCAGGGAGTGGAGGGGACTGATGGACGATGGACACGACAAACTTCCATTTTATTTATCAGACCAGGACTGTAAGCACTTTTTGCTCTTTCATTCTTCATAGCTTACTAATTATATTTCAGTCATACCATGGTATGGCTGAAATATATTGTTTTCTCTCATGTTTCTTCTTCTCCAAAATTTCTTAATTTTTGGGCCAAATAACATGAAATTTGGCATGAAGGTAGAGGGGCCAAGTATTCCCAGACGTTATGGATACAGGCTTGTAAAATTGCTTTATTTTGGGGTTTGGGCCATTTTCAGGCAAAGCATGTTTTCCTTTTTCTTGTTTGCTTTGGACGTACATGATTTTAGACACATACCTGAAGAAAAGTGAAAGAGTCTGTTACAGTGTATATTCTGTATTTTCCAGGTAAGATGGTAGACCAGCTTCTGGATTTGCTGCCTAGTTCTGATCACCCAGTTTTGTCAGGGTAAGTACAAAAAGCCTCAACATTCAAAGGCTCTTATCTTGGACTAGAATATTGAATTATAGGCAATTGGGTTGACAACTCTGAACTGTGAAAGATCATGATACAGTACAAACAATACAATAGCTGGGGCTTCTTGATAAAATCTATTAAGGCTTAAGAAGACATATAAGGCCACAACAATTTGATTTGTGGGTTCTCAGATTTAAAGAAATCTAAAGCAACAGGGTGAAAAAAAAACAACAGTTGCAGGTCTAAGCATCCTATGATAGACTGGTATAACCAAATGCTATGATAGGAGCCATGAAGTCAACATACCAGGCTGGTTTGTAATTCAACCAATGAATTTGAAACTTGTAATCAAACCACTGCATTGATAGATAGAAAATCTGTAACAACTCTGAAAAGAAGGGGCCCTTCAACTGTTTGGGCCAAAATATGAGCATTTTGGAGTTGATTCAAGGCCTGAAATGTTTTTTTTTTAAATCAGAAAAAAATCAGGCTGACAAATCCGTGAACCAACAAATTAAAATGTGGTCTTGCGACAGATATGTGTATCATGTGTTTTGTTTGATTGTTGTGATTTGTATTGATTATTATGTGATACCCTGCATCAATTCAGCCGTATAAAGGCTGCGACCGCACGGGTATTGTTTGTCAGGTAAAAACCAGTTATTAATTATTAATATGTTTTCTGTTGTGCAGAGGAGGCAAGTGTCGCAGATGTATTGTTGTCGGCAGCTCTGGACTGGTCAGTGGCCAGAATCTTGGGTCAACGATAGACAAGTATGACGTGGTCATGAGGTAAGAGGAGAAAACAGATATACTCATCTAGATCAACCCCACATCTGTAGAAGTTACATACAATTGTTTTCTAGAAAATTTTTGAAAAGTACATGTTGTTTTCTGTATCTTTATAGCCAGTTTAACCGCCTTTCAGCGTAACACACCAGCTTCTCAGGCACACGTTTTTCGCCTTTTTTCAATCTCTTCTATGATTCTGTATGTTTCCCTGGTAGTACCAGCCACAGTTTCTTTGATTTTCCTCCAAAATTGCAGCTACTACTATCATGGAAACATGGAATGGTAGAAAGGCCTCAAAAAGAATAAATAGCCCGCAACCAAAATGTCTGCTTGTTCAGTAGGAAAATTCTTCAAGTTAAGACATCATGTCAGACATGATTTTGTGTCTACAGAATGAATGCCGCTCCTGTCCGTGGTTATGAGAAGGACATAGGATCCAAGACGACCTTTCGGTTCATCTACCCTGAGAGTGCGACATTGAAAGACGTGGACTCTGATGCAGATTACGTGCTCGTGCCATACAAGACTGACGACCTGGCCTGGCTGCTAGCAGTAATTCAAAAGGTGGGATGCTAGCATCAACTTGAAATACCCTGCCTTATTCCTCTGTGAATAGTTTCATCAGGTTGGTAAGACACTGAGTAAAGAGACTCTTTTTACACAACCAAATCTTTTATTCAGCTGACATTTCAGTGACTGTCTGTCACCTTCCTCGGGGCAGTTCTGACTGGTTCACATTGCACAGCAGCACAGGTGTCACTAGCTGCTGTTGATGCATTCCCAAACATACAATATGGAGGCCCGCAAGCCCTTTTCCGTAGAGCGTAATTGGCCGTTTTAATTCTACGTAGAGCGTAGACGGACCGCTCTAATATTTTTGCGTAGAGCGTATTCAGCGTTTTAACTCTATGTAATACGTAATTCTACGTAATGCACTTGGAATTTATCGTAAAGCGTAATCGAGAGGTTTCCGAATTCAGCATAGAGCGTTGTCGGGACCCCCCCTTGCAGGCCCTCCTTTCTAATCTATCATTTTCAGCAGTTTTCATATCTTTTCTTGGTCTGATTGATTTCTGTTGTTGCCTTGTCATAGGAGAAGCCTGAAGGAACGTTCTGGAAGGAGATAGGGGATACCTTGAATGTTGAACCAAGTCGCATCCGCGTCTTAAACCCCCAAGTTGCCCGCAGTACATCATACGAACATGTTGGAATGATGGTAGGCAAAACACATTCTCTTCTAGACATCTGAACACATAAGAATGATAACTATTGCTGCTTTTGTGTTATGGTGCAGTCACATTAGTTGTAACTATAGGTCATCATAGAATTTTTCTGTCATATGATTTTCAAGCAGACTGTGATAATATAATTATAAAATCAGCCCCTGACAAGTATCTACTGGGGTAAGGCCACACCAATTTAATTTGTTGGTTCTTGGATTTTTTTCAGAAAAAAATGTGAAGCGACAGGGAAAAAAAAAATTAGAATAAAATCAGGTCTAGGCATTCTCTGATAGAACCAAATGCTATGATAGGAGCCATTAAGTCAACCCAAAACTCTTAGTTAATATTCAAACAATGAATTTGGAACTTTTAAGCAAACCACTGTATTCATAGCTGGCAAAACTGTAACAACTAGGAAGAAAAGGACTTACCTCAACTGTTGGGGCCAAAATATTTGCATTTTTGAGTTGATTCAGAACCAAAAGTTGTTTTTTTTGTTTGAAAATCAGAAAAAAATGAATCTGAGAACCAACAAATTAAATTGGTGTGGCCTAAGACAGCCTTTTCCACAACATGTATGACAACTGAATATTGGCTTCCTACATGTAGTTTTTAACAACTTTGCCATTGTGTCCTTCTCCAGAATGTCCCAACCATCGGCACCATCGCTGTCGTAGCAGCTTTCCACTTCTGTGACATGGTAGACATCGTAGGGTTCGGCCTGCGACACGATAAACCCTACCACTACTTCGAGAACAAGACAATAGAAGGGGAATTTGAGGGGTTGTTTGCCTACTTCACTGTGATCCATGACTTTGCAAAAGAGAAAGAGTTCATCAAGGACTTAGTTAGAAGAGCAGCCATCAACGACTTAACCCATGGTTACGAATACGAGTAGGGGTGGGTAACTGTATAGAAAATTCAGGTCCAACTTCGGATCAGGTTCAGAGGATCAGGTCCAGTTCTGGACCTAAACCTGGACCTGATTATTGTACAGTAGTACAATATCATATTTTTGAGCGCGAAACACGAGTACAGGCGACTCACTAGTGTGTTACATATTATGTTCAAGTTATACATTGTATATTGAAGCTGAACACAGTTACAGAAAAATAGACAAACATGGATTTAGGCCAATCTAGTTTGATTCAGCGTTATTTTCTTTACTTGCCATGTCCAGATTATCTTAAGACAATGTACTACAAAAATGTACATCAGGTCCGATGATGCAATTATCGCGTTTCGTTTCTATTCGACTCGGTTCCCGAATGAAGTTCCGGTTTAAACCGGTCCGGCTGAACCAGTACCCACCCCAACTTACAAGTACTAGCTACCTCCTTGTAACAAACCAGCTAGACAATAACATCTGTACTAAAATTGACTGTAGATTGAATTACTATAAATGCCCAATGTCAACCACAAAAAAGTGGTCGCTAGTCGGGTAAGACGGTTGGCAGAGGATTTTAAGTTTTAACTACGTAAAATTTGATTCAATTACGTAAAATTGGACTGGACACTGAGTAACAGTGAGTGTTTTAATGTGGTCTATGACAAGACGCCACTGTCAGATCATTGACCACTCGTTGTATAGCAAGAAAATAAGTAGTGCCATTTTAATGCTGTAACAAGTATCCCTGTATATTTTGATTGATCAGGCAGCTGTTGCAGGAAGCATATATTGCTGGAAAGAATTTGATACTTCTAGATTTTACTTCTCAGAAGAAATATATAGTGTGAACTGGCCAACAGATAGGAATGTGCCATACAAACGTGATTTAATGGATGAAATTCTCACAAGATCCAAACTGGATCTACTTTTATCAGTATTTTAAAGTTTCAATTCTATTTGATTGTGGATGGAGAGAAAGATAGCAAACAAAGTTTTAAATAGAAGTACATGTATGTTGTGTTCTTCTATCAGGGTTTTATTAGAGAATCAACATTTTTCATTGATGCGTATGGTAGCTTTTTTATTCTTGCTTTGGGGAATGTTTGAATTACACGTTACATGATGTTAAATAACATAATGTTGTGATTTTACAGTAATGTTACCATTGAATGTTACCATTAGTTGTTGATCACAAAAGGTGTGGACTATTGCTTAGATTCACAAGAGAGGTTTAGAGAGATATCGATTGTAACTTTAAAGCGAGATGTTCTAGACTCTTATGGACACTTTATTAGCCACCCTGCATGCCTCAGCACTAGCTCATGTAATGCAACAGCGCCACCTACTGATTATCTAAGTTATTGCATGGAACCAACAGAACTTATTCTTACAGTAGAATAATCCAATTTTATGTTGTGGGTTGCAGGAAAAATAATTTTTGTAAGGACTGGGGGAAATATCCTACATTTTTCACAAATATTGTGTTGCGTATAACGTTAGGTGCTGCTGTTTTGTCAATCTAATGTTAACGTTAAAAAATTGAGCATTTGTGTTCAACTGAGATTCAATATATACCGGTATGTATAAAGAACCTTTTTAAAAGAGTTAAAACTTTCACATTGTTTCTTACTCTCAAATAAATGTGTAGTCAAGTGATGTCTCCATTTTTGTACGCATTTGGTGCGGTGCGATTTACCCCACCACATCTGCTTGAAGAAGAATTCATCTCACGCAAGTGATTCTGGGAATAGAAAGCTAGGGTCAAAGAAAAGCGACATGCGGTAAAGTGTAAAGAAGTGTCAACAGTTCGCCTCGGCCCACATTCCTCTCCAACTCGCTAGGAGTCAGGCCGTCACGTAGTCACGATAGTTTGTCATTCCTTCCTTTGTTCGCGGAAAGATCGGTTGACTCAAGTATCCGAACGGGTTGGAGAAGGCAGGCGATCGGGAAGGGCAAAGGGTCACTGTGAGAGCGCTAGCACCCTGTTCGATCCTCCCATGTGCTGATCTATCTCTTGTCGAACCACTCTTGTCACGCCAGCCCAGAAACTCTCTCATGACTGTACAGACACGCAAGAGATCCTCACCGCTGCCAAGATGTGTCCTTTCCCGTGGATCCTCATGCTTTTCACCATGTTCGTGCTGTGTTACAAGGGGATCCTGTCCGCTGCGGTGGGCGGGCAGGCCCGCACTCCTCCCCGAGGGCTTGTCCCGGGACGCCCCGTAGACCTGACCCTGGAAGCCGAAGCACGGGGTACCCCTGTGGTGGTGGCCTGCATGGCGAAGATTCACGACTCCAAAGTGTTTGATTCCCACCGGCTGTTGTCTCCGATGTTACGGCGGATGGCCCGGGCAGCGACCGAAGACGGGCGGGAGGAGAGGACCTATCGTCCCGGGTATGACGGGGGCATATGGCAGGTCAGCACTCGATAGGACATCAGTGATAACATCAATAACGTTTTAGTTGATTACAGTAATACCCTGAATAATTATGATTTTCTGCTTGTGATTTATGACCACTAAACCGCAGCTACCTGTGGTCACCAGATGTAAAAGAGAAAATCAATTATTATTAATTTAGCAAATTATATAACGTTACATCAGTTAGTACAGTTCTATTGTATTTTTGGTAAGATGATCACTTACATGATATTTCTTTGGCTCTAAATTGATGGCCATCGCACAGTAATGTTTAATATTTGGCCATATTTGCCATAAAAATTCCACTCTGCCATCGATCACTACATCCATTCCAGTGGCCGTGGGAAAATGTCCTCATGGGGTACATCATTACCATTTTCATAACATTCTCTGTTTATTAGTATCATCTATAACGTTAATTTTTTATATGTATGGAAAAATACTTCTTCCATAGAATAGTCCCTAGTAGGATTTAGATTTGGAATTAGACGTAAGGTTTATTCACAGTCACCAGTGGTAGTTACCAATGCATTTTACCTTATGCACTGATGGTAAATTCAAACAAGAAGCCATAGGCGACAATTCTCCGTGAAGTATTATATATTGCAACAAAAAGAAGTAGCCATTGGCGACAATTCTCTGTGAAGTGTGATAAATCGAACAAAGAAAAATTGTTTAAACGCGCGTCGGCTCAGTCATCTTAAGACGCAACAACCAATCAGAGATGCGAGATGCCTACACGTGACGCGGGAAGGGCGCGCGATGCCCGAAATATTTTTGCGTCAATATTCAGCGCCGTGATTCAAGAGATTAATACCCGGAAACAATTTTTTCTTGTTTTGAACGCATTAACATGCATTTACGCTAATCTAGTATGATTCAGGGTTACTTTTTTTTTAACCTGCCATGGCCAGATTATCTAAAGATGTGTGTATTGTGTGTACAATCTATAGAAAGAGAAATGTACATCAGGTCCGATCATCCGATTTTCACGTTTCGGTTTTTTGGACTCGGTTCATGAACGTATTTTGGTTTGGCTCCTGGAATGTGCGAAAAAAATGACTCCCGGGACTGTCTACAGGGAACACTCGCACATTCGCGGTGTATCAGGACAGCGCGACTGGTCGTCATTAGCGCAGTAACAGTTGCATAAACGGACGAAACCATTTCAAAGAAATGGGGATGTTTCGAAAATAAGCATTTACTCCAATATCAAAACAGCTACGGTAAAAATAAAAAGACGTGCATCATCCCGGACATAATGCAACACCACATGCGAAATTACACAGAAATGCGACGTACGGAAGAATGCGTTTTGGCTGCGAACATCTTCCAAAAAACTTGGCATCTCTTAACCATGGGCAAAAACATCTGGAACCACTTATAAAAACCACCCCGTATCTGCATGAACTTTTTTGAACCCCACTGCTATTCCAAACAACGCGTTTTTCTGGACCATTCTAATTCGCCTCGTAATTGTAGGGGTGCGTCTGCGATATTACATTGACCGCGAAAGCAGCAACGGCAAAAATACACATTCGTGCATCAACACGGGCATGCCCGCAGACGGCGTATAAAATTGCGTGCCGATTACACAAAGAGAACCCAGTGTTTTGACTGCGAACATGAAAAATCAGCCGATTACAACACTCCGTCCGGAGGTCCTGACCTCCTTCACGGAGTAATTAGTTCCCTTGAAGTACTTACTAACGTACTTAGTTACTTACTGCCTTAGTAGTAATACAGTATATGTTTAACTGCACAAAATGGAAAATACCAGTCCTAAAGTCAACTTAAGGTTCAGTTGACTCCAATGGCCGCTCCCAAATAACCAACAACTGGAACAAACATCAACTTAAAAACATGGTGCTACGGTTGACTTAACTTTGCAAGTCATCGGTAGGTATGTTTTTGTTGCAGGTTGACTCTAGTGATTTCAGGCAGACCTTGGATACTAGAACCTACCCACACCTCCGGCCTATATGGAACAGTATCGCGGCCAAGTTTGGTATCCACAGGGAAGATCTACGTTGGAAAGACCTTAGGTAAAGAAGGCTTGCTTCTGTTAAACTTAGTCACTGCATTCACTATTCAGGCCAGGTTTTCTCTACGCCACAAGTTTCTTAAAACAGCACGGCTGCCTTTTCCATTGACTGGCAAGTTTCAAGTGGCCAGCCGAGGTGCCCGAGTGCCAAATGACCTGAATCGAGATTAGAAGCTTGTCGTGCAGAACATATAACATTACACAACCTAAAAAATTGGGTGCAGAAAATATATTACAAGATAAAATACTAGTATTGCGGGAGTCTGAAACAGCTGTTTTTGCCAGGTAGAATGTCATCAAAAACTAATTTTCTTTCATTTCGAAAGAAAAGTACTATAAAAGTATAACAATGATTTTAGATCTTCGGACACGAAGAAGAAGCTAACACAGCACACACATAAACCTACAAAAATATTTGTGCCCTGTGCATCAGCTAAAGACTATGTTTTACTGCAATTATGAATTTTGTTGCTATGACAATGGTTAATCACACAAAAAATTTGATTCCATCTGCAGGAAACCGCTGTACTCGTCCCTGGTGGCAGGTCTGAGAATCCTGACGGTTGAAGACGAGATCCCGCCCAGTATCCCTGCACAGGCTGCCTTCTGGAAGAACTACTGTAACAGTGCGCTGGACAAGAGTCCTAACCACTACGTCATAGCAGCCCAGGAAGTAACAGGTCAGCAAGGGCTTAGAAGTTAAAGGGATACTATGTAAGATTTTTGCGCCAAAACTGTAAATATAAATAATTGAAATTTTCTGATCAGGATTGTCATTTTCAATAACTTTCAACATCGCTATTTCGTTTTTCCAGTGACTCAGCGCAGCACGAGAATAAGTAAGTTGCGCCAGGCCTGCTGTATTTTTAGGAGGCTCCTAAAAAGAATGTAAACAAACAACAGTTTTCATTCGGGTATCTTCTGCAACTTTCAACACGTTTTTGCGGCGCAATGATGTTGATCTTTTACTCCCCAAATGTCATTAAGAACCCAGGGGCCAGGTAGGCTTATACTTATTATAGCAGAAAATGTGTTAAAGTTTTACTAAAACAACAATGTTTGAAATAGATTCTAGATTGATAGATTTCCCCATCTTGTAAGTGTGAGACATACATGTAGATAAAGTGCAATATCAGGATCTAAAGACTGACTGACAGCTGTTTCTAACCTTTTGACACTTTGATGCCCTTTTTATCTAGTCTTCTGAGGGCTACTAGTAGAAATTTGTTCAATGATGAAGCATAATTGCTGACGGACAGCTATACATGTATCTATCTTGGCTTTCAACATTTTGAAATCTGAATTGCTCATATTTCCCGTTCTTGGGAGCGCAAGGCATACATGTACATGGTAAAGTTCAATATCGTTATTTGATACTGACTGACAGCTATTTCTAACCCTCTGGGTTTCACAGTTTGCTGTTCAATTTTTCCAGTCTTGCAAGGGTCAGATACACATGAAGTTCACAGTCAAGGTCTGTGGACTGATTGACAGTTATTTCTGTTTTGGGGTTCGGTACTTTGAAGATGTAATGAAGACTGGCTGACATGTCCTACAGCACGTAACATGGCTTTTATTTTTGAACCTAGAGGTTTGGCTTATTGCCATGAAGTTTAAAACTGTTCCAACTGTAAAGCAAAATTCTTTTTATCACAACCAGTGCACTAGTGTCAGTGCACAGTAAACCAGTCAGAATTGCCCTGATGAAGATGACAGACAGTCATCGAAACGTTGGCTAGTGAAAAATAAATGGTTTTGACAAAAAGAATTTTGCTATTCAGTCGTTTACCAACCTGATGAAATTATCCAACTGTAGTTTATATTCCCTACACATTTCGCTGATGACCACAGTACCAACAACATATTGAAATTACATATACAAATGTATTGCAATAATATAAGGATCTAATCTACCATTAACAAATTTTGTTTAAAGATGAATGTTTAGAAAAAGGGCTGGGTTTTGCCGGAGCCGGAGATCGATGTGATGATATGTGTAAACATGCATATGACTTTGTATATTTAGCTCCCCAATGTTTGTCTGTAAAGTTTGAATCTCCGATGTCCTTTCCTGTGAACTATGTATCACTTACCTATAACTTACTGTCTCAAGGACTTACTACAGTAGGCTAATGGAATGTTTAAGGTAGATATTAGAATGGAAAGTAGTATATGTATAATTTACTATAAATAACAAAAATGTTCTGATACTCTAAAGCATTCACTAACTGCTGGGATAGTACTCAAACTTCAAAGCCAAATTCTTGGCAGCTTGTTGGCTATGGGGGTGTCTGGCAGTCCTTTGAATTCCCTGTACTGAAAATAACAAGAAATTGGACTCTCTACTTTTTGGGGACACTCTAAAGACACCCTATTTTTTTCACTCCCAAACCCCGCCATGCACACATGCCCCCCTTCAGCCTTACTATAAATACAAAAATGATGTTGTCATGAAGGAAAAAAACTTGTCTGCAAGATTCCTCAAGATGTGAACCTCAAAATGCAGGAAGTTGTGTTTGAGATCATTACAGATTTCCAAAAAGCCTCCCTAAAAAGCTAGCGTCGATTTCTGTGCGGCTTTGCAGCGCATAGCATACAATTAAAAAAACTGGACACCCAATCAAAAAATCGTAGCTAAAAGCCAAATTCCTGACATTAATGGAAACTACAGCTGGAGACTGGTTGGTGAGAACTTCCACATCTGTCTAACCTGCAGCCTGGGTTTCCTAGGAGACAAGTTTCCATGGACACCATAACTAGATAACATGGCACATGCATTTTTACTGTGTGGAGACTCAAAACACTTCTCCTTGGCTTCTTGCCTTTACTGTTACAGTACTTCATAATGCCAAGGACGTTTTACAAGTGGAATGTCCTTTGTGTGGCATAATTCTGTACCTTAAGTCTTATGTAAATAGGAAGAAGCTTAATTATAGATTCTGTATCTTATGTAAATAGGAAGAAGCTTAATATACAAATGTAGATTTGTGAACATGAGATTAATGTCCTTGGCATTATCTAAAAATTGTGACTTACATATTTAGATACACAAAGAAACACCTGTGCCTACATCCCAGAACACCATTAATTTGATTAAAGGACACTTTTTTTAAGTAAGTATTGAACTAAAGAGTCAACATTTGCAGGCAAATGCAGATTGTTTCCTCCCCATGTATTCTAAAATGTTCCTTAGTGAATTTAATTGTTGTTGTAACAAGAAAATTATCATGACAGTTGGCATCAATGTTGCCTCAACCCAGTATTAAACTTTGAGCATTAATGCAGCACAGAGTACCACTTTTGCAAGGATAAATATTATTAAAGCCAATTTTCCCTGTTTGTACCTATATATTATTTCCCTCTGGGTTACCACAACTCTTTTTGTTTTACTTCAGGTTGCAATGCGACAGGGCTGGACCTGGTGTTTGTGTTAGATGGTTCAGCCAGTGTGGGTGGGGAAAACTTCCAACTGTCTAAGGACTTTGTGAACACCATCATACAGTCTTTCACCATAGGACCTGAGCTAACCAGGGTGGGAGTCATACAGTACAGGTCAGTTCTAACTCAGAACCTCAACATTACTAGGATGGAAAAGGAAGTTGGCATTTTAATCAATCATGTTGAATATTTCTGAAACAAGTCGGAAGAATTTAGAGAAGATAATAATTAGGGTTAATGCCCTGCCCCGAGGTGTATATGGTGAGATAATCCCTGGTCATGTGCGATAACCACCGAATAAACCACCGAGCGAGTGTAGCAAACAAGGTGGTTTATGAGGTTATTCTTATAACCGACCATTCTTTCATTATTCACCACTTATGATGTTACAGCCTGATAACCGATGGGAAATGGAGGCTTCTCGTTGGTTAACCTTGCCCGACTTATTTACAGGTAACCATATAAACTTGAAATACATTATGTTTCACAAACAAACTTTTCTGACCAGACTGTATATTTTTCTGTAGTTTTTCAGTGAATCTGGAGATAGAACTGAAGGATCACACGAGTGCAGCCCCCCTTATTGAGGCCGTGGAGGATATAGAGTATGATAAAGGCCTGTTCACACACACGGGCGAAGCCCTACAGTACATCACAACACACAGCTTTACTGTGGAGAATGGAGCACGAGAAGTTGCCAAAGGTGTTCCCAAGGTTAGTACATGTAGTAGCATCTTGTAATGTTGTGTGATTTTTTAAGATTTACAAATTCAAAATAACATAAATACATATAAGTCATCTTGCCCAACTGAGGAAGACCAGAGTGACTTGTCGAAAGCTCTAGGTGACTAAGGTGAGAGAACTTCTTTGTGTTGGATCGAAACTTTAAACATGCTCTATTTTATCTTTTTGCTGATACATGTAGGTGAGTATACTGCTAACTGATGGACAGTCCGGTGACTACCATGACGTGACGGTGTGGTCTCAGCGAGCGCGGGAGTTGGGCGTCACCGTGTTTCCCGTCGGGGTGACAAACGACGTGGATCAGGAGGAGCTGGACACCATGGCAGGGCCTGCTGGGAAGGTTTTCAGGGTCAGAAGGTTCCGTGACCTTGAGGAGATTGTGACAGACATGGAGAAGTCTCTCTGTAGGGGTAAGTAAGATGATGTGTATGAAAGTTTTAAATATTAAATGTGATAATAAGTCTTTTGATGATGGTAATAGGACTTTGACTTTATTTGGATCCACTTTTGTCTCAAGAAAACAGTACAGACTCAGTTTCTTCAGAAGTTACTTTTAGAAGTTGATGAAAAGTTGTCTTTCTTGACAGCTGTGGCCGCTGTTCCTGTTGGGACTCCTGTTACTGCTGACCTTGACAAGGATGCTGTCCGTCACTTGTCCTTCGTTGTCCCTCATGCTGGGATGACCTTCAAACTGACCTTGAACAGAGGTCAGGTGGCCATATATGGTTCATCTTTGGTGACAACTCCTAATGGAGCTATCCACAACTTTACACTGACATCAGGGGTAAGAAACTATTTAATACTCATTTTAAAGATGTAGAATTTTTGGTTAAATGCATATTTTTTAGCTAATTTGAATTCCTGTAGTTTACAGAAAACATTAACAGAAAGAGTTTTGGAAAGATCACATTTTAAAACTTCTTGTTTCCATTTCAGGATGTCTTCTTCCCTTCGGAACCAGACAGTAGTCAGGACGCCCTCACAACTGTGTATGTGTCTGTGTACGGCCTGTCTGATCATAGCAGCTTTACCCTCCATACCACTGAGGGAAACACAACAACGCCCCCCTCCCCACAGCTGCAGGGTGCTGCCCACTCTACTGCAACATCAACATACAAGCTGGACCCAAAGGGCATAACCCTGTTCTGGTGCCTGTTTGCGTACCTCACATCTACTCTGTGCTCTTACTTGATATAATATGATCCTTAGCAGTGAACAAATTAAAGCAAGATGCCCAAGAAGTAGGAATGTGTAACAGCTTAAGAAATATGCTGTGTTAGGATTCCCTTCTGCTTCCATGCAGGTCACATAGTCAAAAGGACCAATGGTATTTTAAGCTTCAAGCACTGCCAGATTCAATATTATAATAGCATTTGTCCATCTATCCCTTACCCTAAGGTCATACATGTGTGATATTGTTATAATAGTTCCTCAGTCGTACAGATATTATTGAATCTTGGATAAATCTCTTAGTGTAACAAAACATCTTGGAGCAAATTGTTGCTTCTTCACTTCTCGACTTGCTGCTAGAATCCTGTGTAAGATTAAGTCAGGGCTAAGAAAGCCTTACTTATGCTGCTATATCATCTAACAAACTCGTACGGATTGTATCCAGATGTCTGTTTTCACTGCCTTGAAATTGTCAAGGATTTGGGAAAGGGATAGACTATGTCTTACAATCTTTGTGACCCATTGTTCCTATAGCTAGTCTATTTAAATATCAAATTTTTGTTGTGACCTTGCTTTATCATTTCTTTTGTTTCTTTGTAAACATTGCTACATTTTTTTAAAAATCAGGGAATTGCAACTGTCATAATCAGTTTATGTTAGTGCCGTGGTCTAAAAATTGTATATATTTTTATCAGTCAAAGCCAAGAAGGCTTTACTTGTAAAAAGTATATCGAATGTAGAGATGCTGTTTTACTGTACATTTGTGAAAGAAATTATATTTTTATATAAGTCAGGGCTAAGAGGGCCTTACTTATTGTAGTACTTCAAACCTGTGTTGTTGGTGTTATCAGTGCCATTAATAATAAGTTATCCCAGGAGTTTTATTTATGTTCAGTCATGTTAGATAATACATTTGTGTATTCAAGAGTGAGATTTGACATGGTTGAATGCTTCTATATCCTGTTTTTCTTTTACATGTAGATTCTTTGTACTGTTTTTTTAAACACAGGTGCATTCTTTTCCAGTCTGTTACTCATAGAACAATATCAGAACTGACCAAATATCTGTCATTCACAATAATTATGGGATCACCATAACATTTTTCAGATAAGTCATGGCCAAGAAGGCCTTACTTTCTATGCAGAATAATATATTTTTATAAGTCAAGGCCAAGAAGGCTTTACTTATTGTTCTGGTAACAATTTATATTTGGGTTTAGGGCTGTCTGGCATATACAGGGTTTTTATAGAAGTCAGGGCTAAGGTGGCCTTACTTTTATATGCAGTGATTATATTGTGAATGAAAATGTTTTTGTGTATCCAAGAGAAAAGGCAATATTTTTGTAAGTCAGGGCCTAAAAGGCCTTACTTATTGCAGTATTTTAACTCCCAGTGTGTGTGCTGGTCTTTGTGATGTGTTGGATATTAGTGAAAACTTTCTGTAGTTTGAAAAACTCTGGAATATTTTACTTACTTCCTATGGAAGTCAGGGCTGAGGTGGCCTTACTTTCAGTGCTTTATTTGTACTCCAACTGGGATCTTCCTGTGGTGTTTTCAAGATTATTAGACACAGAAGAGAATTTGTAAATTAACTCAAAAGTCATGTATTGTTGGTAGTACATAGTACCATCAATAGTATAAGATTACAGAAATTCCTTTTGAAGTGTCAGAACATAATACATAATAGACATACCTACACTTTGTTATGATGTTATGATCAACAGCACTTGTCTGATAATTTGCTTCTGAGGACAGTGCATTTTACATATTTACATTTAACATTTCTTGGCCTGCGTTTAGCCTCCTTTTCAGGCGTTCCAGGATCGGTCGTTTTCTTTGGATGGCTATGTAGGGTTGGTTACCAGCCAGAGCTTGTGTTCCGTGCGATTTACGTCTGATCAGAAAATCTCCACCCCCCCCCACAAAAAAAACAACAATCCCGGAACGCCTGAAAAGGAGGCTAGCCTGCATTCTACAGTCTTGATCTGTTTGATCTCATTGCATGTGATTTGCTATGGTTAGAGACTGCTATGCACAGGTCTTAGCTTGCCACTGATGAAATTCCTGTTGGCAAATACTCAACATTACAAACTGGTAAATGAGATTTAGCTTCGGCCTTTCGTTAATTACCTGCACAAGTCCTCAAGAATGTTGAAATACTTTGATTAAGAGTGTGGGTATAATGTGATTAACTTTTCCTTGAGCAAGTCAAGGGTTAGAAAGCTTTACTTTTGGTGCAGTATGTACTATTGTTTATGCTGAAAGGTTGTTTCTTTGTAGAGATTCCAAGAGTTATGAGTCAGGGCCAAGAGTGTCTTACTTGTACTTGTAGCTTTCTTTGAAGGCTTTATGTAACTGCAATATCAGACTGAAATATTTCTGAAGCAATCATGATTGTCAGGGCTAAGGCCTTACTTTCTATGCAGTAATGTTGAGAAAATACTATAATGTTGTTTGTCCTGTAACATGAATGAAGAGGCTTATGCCTAAAAGTCAAGTTCTAGAAGGCCTTGTTCAAGCTACAACTTATTCTGTAGGCTAATTGTCACTGGAAATACATTCAATTGTTTTCAGTCACAATTCAGCAAGAGAATCAGATTGTAGTTTTTCATGAGAAAAAATGTATATATTTGCATATTATGTATCTTCTTAGTCAAGATTAGAGAGATTATGTATCTTAGTCAAGAGCTTTACTTACTGAGACAGTTAAAACACATGTTGTGATTGGTTAGAGAAATCTGATGATATGTAAGTCAAGGCCTAGAAGGCTTTACTTATGTGCAATACTACTGGTGCTGATAGAAGTTGATGTCATTTTATGCCTCTGGGTTCGGTTGTTGTAGTCAGTTAAGTGGGGGTGTGCCGACCTTTATAAGTCAAGGTCAAGAGAGCCTTACTTATTGTGCAATATAAGCACACATCGCTGCTTCTTGGATTACAACAACAGTACCCATGAAGAGGGTGGTGTTGGTAATAACATTTAGGAATTGATTCTATTTCTTGTATATCAATGTTCCCTGCTGTACCCACCTACAATGTACTAGTCTTTCTTATATCCATGTAGGTAGAAATTTGGTATTGTTAAAAGATTGATGAGTGTGTTACAGTTCATTTTCATAGACTGCTTTTGTGAACTCTTAGTATAAAATTTTGATAAATTGTTCCATGATTATAACAATGACATATGTTAGCACGTCGTCAGAACGTACTGCACCTGCGCAAAACCCGTATTGTGCATAGCACTTCAACAGAACGTCTCATATAAGGTTGTATTTGTGCAAATAAGGTTAACACTCCGTCCGTAGTTTCCAAATGTTATCTCAGAACAGATACCGTCGGCAACGGGCAGAATTCTGATGCAACATTGACCAAACATCCAACGAAATCTTTGAAAAATCAGGGTTTCACGCAGGCGCAGTACGTTCTGCCGACGTGCTACATACAATGTATGTCCATTGCTGTTGTGATGGTTTTTTGGTCACATCGCTTGTTTGAAGCATTCTTAGTAACCAAGATTGTTGTGGTACATTTCTAGTGATGTACTCTTCATGTCAGTGTTTTTCTTTGAATCAGAAGAATAAACAACTTGAAGGTGTTACCTGACTGATAAAGTGTCTGTTGTTCATTAGTAATATTATATTATGAAACTCTTCCTTGCTAGTATTTTTCTGTCAGGAATCATCTAGTGCTACTAGAAAATACATCAACACAGCTTTGCACTTCACAAGTTCATTTATTATTGTCAACATCTGTCATAAAACCCAAAACATGTCAATGACAGATTCACAATTCTTCCTCAGTGAGTCTACATGTAATGTTATTCCCTTTGTTTCTGTGACTGCAACCATTTAACTCACTAGCATGCCTAGTAGATGAATCCACATGGCCAGTCTTTTACATATACTGCAGTGCTTTAATGTAAGAATTTCAGGAAGAAAAATGAATGAGAAACAGGATTCTTGTGTGCTAACAAGTTATCACTGTTTGCACACAGTAACTGAGCTATAAAAGCCTACATTACGTACAGTACAATAATACCATTACATGATTGTATACTAGACAGCATTTGCTACAATTGCAATATGTCAAATAACTAGTACTACAGTGCGCAGCTAAGTTTAGCATTGAGACCAGCAGACCAGAAACCGCATCAGATTATTGTAGATCCTGAAACCTAACGGAACTGAAGAGAATCAAAGAATATTATAGTATCTACCCTTAGGCTACCATTCAGCATCCATGTCATCCATCTGATACGTTTAGAAACATCCTGAAACAAAGAAAGGGCACAAATTTGTCAGCACACTTATAGTCTAGTCCTATCTCTTCCACTGAGAACCTCAATCTTGAATCACATTTCCTTCCACAGAATGTCAATATCATGCTTTTCCCCTACATTAGTGGAAAGAATATGCAAGTTAGTAGTTACTGCTACAAAATCAAGGCGACTTTTGATAAGGAACTCTGGAAGAGTAACTTGTAGGAAGATCAGAAGAATGTTGCATGTTCCTCTGATGACCGTCCTGCTAAAAGGAAATTTGGGATGTCATTTAGGAAGGTGCTCAGGAAGCAAGGGTGGAAATTCCCAACTTGTGGGTATATTCTGGTTTGAACAGAAAAATTCACATATCTCTTTAATTTTAATCACAATATGTGTCAAAAATCAAATGCAAACATCAGAATGGTAAAAATGGGGTTGCCAGATTCCCAGTTCCTGAACAATTCAACATTACAAATACTATATGATTATGAATGCAACATATGTCTTGTCATGGTTACTGGTATCCCTGGAAAGAAATAAAATATGATGTTAGTGCAGCCAACCTTTCTGATCTGCTGGTCTTTTCTCAGTTTTAATTTCTTGTTTATATCTCAATCCTACGACTACTACTAATTACTACATCAACCATCATGGTAACTGTTACAATCTTTGCACTCTTGCTATTACCTATATCTATAATATCTATAGTAGTATATCTATACTGTAGTATATCTATAGTACTGTAGTAAAGTAAACAATTTTGCAGTTACATTTCAAATATCAGCTATAAACAGTTTCATTCATATGAAACTTGTCACTTCAGTGTAATAATTCGAGTCACTGTGATATCATATATAAATTGATACAGCTATATTTTTAACAGAAGTTCATCATGCACAATTTGTCATTGCAACTGGTTACAATTGAGACTGAGATACTCAGTACTAAACAATAAGTCATCTTAGTGACTTCAAACTTTGGCCCACAATTTGTGGCAGCGGTTGTCGACGCTATGCACATAGTGCAAGATATATCGTTAGGAATATCATAATATTCTTATAACATTTCTGTTTTCAATATATACAATGTTCAGATACATTCTGTATTTTCAAATTTGCATACAATCATGCACCAAACTGTTCACACAATGTATACAACAACATTTTGACAATTTGTAACACAGAAATAACTTCAATGTGCATTAAGAAAGTGTGGCTAATAAAATGGAACACTTGTAACATACATGTATGTCATAAATTAGCCAACAGATTTATAACATTAAGATGATTATACTGAACATGGTCGAACATTATTTTAAACTTCTTTCCCATTCATTTCAACAATGTTATAATTGGAATGAAAGATTTTAAATTTGATACACATACTATAAGATTTTCCTACTCCTACATGTATTGTAAGTTAGTAAGTTCCTTGAATATCTTGATCCTTGGTCTGCCCGGTTGCCATCTTCTCCAAAACCCATGTCTTCATCGAATTTTCACTCTCCTCCAACATGTAAAATTCTTATTGTCACTCCAAGCCAATCTGATGAAAGGGCCAACATTTGTCTAAGGTTTTGAAATTTAGCTCGAGCATACAATTTTTTAATAATCCAAAAATATCTTTTACAAACCCCCAAGCAAAACATTATAGCAATTCTACAGGAAATAATCATAGAATCACAGTACAAGAGCTATAATGTTCAAGTACATGTAGTGCCTTAGAAAAATGCTGGTCTCAAAGTTGTGTATGTGAGAGTTTGTCTAAACTGCTAGGTTGTGTAACCCTTCGATTCAGCACAGATCCAGCCATAATGGTTTTGAGTTTGATTGGATAAAGTGTTGATTGATTCAGAGCTGTTCAATGACAATTCTCTCCATTATTAGGCTTGACCTCTTGGCAAAAGTACTAGTACACTTCCCCAAGTGAACATATACACTTCCCATGATTGTTCACTCTGTATGCATGTGAAGAACAATATTGAAGAACTTAAATCTTGTCCACCTTTCAAGATTACATCATTGCACTGTTGTCCATGTACATGTTCAGGCACTATCATGGTATTTTGCATTGTGGTGTAATGTATCCAGGTGACAAGGTGGTAATCTCAACTGAACTTCTTTCAAATAAATTTCTTGTACTCATAAATCCCTGTTGAATGGAAAGGTTAGGACAAAATATCTTATATTGTTTGCTGCTATGAGTTGATACAATTTTAGCCTCCACGGATAACATTGGATACCGAACATTTTTTTTTGTCAGTGTTGAACGTTGTGACCATAATGCACTGTGAATGCCCCCCTCCCCCATATTATAATCTGGGCACTTTCCTAAGTTGTGAGACTTTGAATGCCTGAATACGCTACCAGGACAGCTACACTGTATCTGTGAGGTGTATGTACTAAGGCCACTCCAACCAAACTTCTTCTGATTCTAATAAATTTGAAAAGGGAGCCAATAACAGTGCAACACAATGACACAATGTGCAACTTTTAGAAAAAAACCTGAACATGTATACAAGAGGGAAGGAGCTTCAGTTGGTATGGTCTTAGTTGTAAGTTTACATGTATCCCCACAGTTATAATGACTTTTATTATACTAGCCCAACTGTTGATAGTGTCACAGTGATACCAATGTCATATTTCAGATAACATTTAGCATGATGTCGTATGATGATGATATAAATTTATATTTTCAACTACTGCAATAGTAACAATTTGTCATTATAACCTGAAACAGTGAAGTTGCCCTGATAGAAGGATAATAACATATAAGTCCAAACGCTGCCTAAAAGGAATGTTAACCAAACTGTGTTGAAGACAGAAGAAAGGATTGTTCACATCTAAAAGTTCCTGATGTAGATTTTGGTTGTTCTTCCCAGAGTGTGGAATGATGTGTCCAAAGGCAACAACAAGGTACTGAGACCTGTTAATGTATGGTAGACCCTATAGAAGACAACAAGGCATCTTGCAGCATTGAGAGATATATGCCTGAAACCATGTCCTAAGATATGTACCAACTACCACACATGCTCTAATGACTGGGTAAGTAGCGGAACTGTGACATGCCACTACCAGTTTCATGATTTCCATGTTATAATTCACTGCATGCAGAAGACACACCTACTTTTTCAACCTAAAGTTATAGTTACTAAATCTGCCAAAATTGCAGCTTTTTCCTCGGATGCTGACAGTCATCAGCAAAAATATAAAATCTTGATCACCAGACCCACAAGTTTTGAGGAGCAAGACACAGATGCAATAAGAAACGGTTATCGGTAACTCACAGACTGAAACCTTCAGTATTTAGTACCACAGATATTCTGAACAAGATTAATCTGAACACACTGATCTTTACAGTGCTTGAAAAAGCTGTCAACAAAGAACCTTCTGTTTAAAACCAAACTGCTACATAGGAGCCACAATCAAAGAACAAACTGTGATCAAAGGAACCCCTACTATCATCCAACAAATTGAATGATAAACCCACCAGTATTTCTCAAAACCCCTTATATCAACGAAGCTCCTTCTATCAACCACATTCCTCACTAGCACATTGTTGGACTACATTCAAAACCTCAGAACAAGACCTTGGTTCTACAAGACTTTGTATAAATGTACAATTTCCCTCCATGCTAGACAAATTGATACCTATCTCCAAGAAGTTGCTCCAGTCTCCAAAACATCAGCAAACTGCCACCATGGCCCCACAAAAATCTAAAACCTGACTTGCTGTACTATACATGTTTGATGCTGCCCAAAGAACAATTCAAGTGCCGTCATACCCTCAGTAAGGTACTCAACTAAATAAACCTCTTGACTTAAGCTCCTCACTAGTCCTTTTACTGCCTGTAGATCAGTTATGAATGATTTCAAATAATTCTTTCACAACTGAAAATGATTGTAAATACTGATGCAATTCAGACTTTTGCCTGCAATGTGGTATTTGAAATAAAGTTTCAAAAGCACCTATTTTGCACAGACACAACATTTTGAACTAGTGCAACATACATGTACTTTCAAGTGCATTCCAGATGTTCCCTTTGACCAATTCCAAAGCTGCCATTGAACATCAGTTAACCTACTTCTAACTTATCCCTGAGAAAATCCCTGAGAGGAAGATTTTAACATATCTCCCTAGGAGACCCAAACAGTACCACTGTGTTTCAAACACACCATTGATGTTGTATCCTTGGCTTTTGGGTTACTATATAAAGACTACTGTGTGTCCCAATCACCCCGTAACAATTACATGTTACAACACATCACTGCTAATATCTTGAAACATGCACAAACATGAAAATGATGAAATGAGGGACATACATCGAGAACACAGCACAAAAAAATACTGAGGTAAAACAAATGTATGATGACTAATGGTGAACTACTTTAACTACTCAGCTTCGACTACTCACATATGAACACTTTTATTTTCCTTGCATAATGCACTTTAATAATAACACCCAACATTACTTCCGATCAAAAGTATTTACAAGTTTACTTCATTGCTACTTTTTCTATATAAGTTTCTTTTGCTAACAAAAATTCTTGAAGATCTTCTCCGTATCTCAAATCGACTGCTGTTGAATGTTTATAAACCTTGTTAAAAAATTAGGAAAAAAAGCCTTTTTGCTTCAACTGACACTCCTATCGCCATTCTCTCCTTCCTATGTCAATGCCACAGTTACATACATCTAATTTCTGATTTTGGCATAGTCTCTTTACATCTAGGAAAGGATGTCAGCTTCATTCTGATTTTCCGTTTAAAAAAAGTTCAGTTGATTTTCGCTGCATGGAAAAAAAAGAATTCCAGTCTATTTCTCACAATATCACTACTTTGACCCGACTGTCCATTGATTAAAAAAATACTTGAACTTTTAAATTATATAATAGTAAAGCATCTCAAAGTAGCAGAGTCTCTGGTCCGTATAGAAAAAATCCTCTCAAGTCTGTTTCCATCCGAGACAATCTGCTATCCAATCTGACAGCTCTAAGCTATTCCCATTCTGACAGCTCAGTGCTGTACAGCTCATTGGAGAGCAGGTTCAGCTCATTTCTGTGGCAGGAAGCTACAGATACAAAGCTCTGTGGCCAACACCTCTTGGACAGCAAAACAGATTTGCACTGAACAGCTCATTCTGGACATCAGGAAGGTCAAGGTCAGCATTCCACTGGAGAAGGAAGAACAGCTACGGTGGGTGGTCTTCGTCAGACTGGGATAGCAGGATGACACAGATGTAGGTTTCAGCTGGACAGCAATGTTGGACAGCTCTGGGGTTGATGCATCCTCTTGTACAGCGAGGCTTGGTACTTCTGAAGTTTATGTCTTGAGCAGCAAATGGGCTTTGCTGGCTTTATATAGCTTTAGGCAATGCTGCTCTGTATATATGACAGTGCCTATATCTGGCAGCTGTGAAAGCCAGCTCTCAGACACAGCTACTAATACTCAGGACAGCAGCACAGACTATTTTCCTACTGTCTTAAGCTTCCCAACTTAGTATGTAATATTTACAACATGTTGAAATGCATGTATACAAATACAGCTTGTGGACCAGCTTGCTTCATGAACATAAGTCTGGTCTTACCACAGTAGTACACAGATCACAGCTACATACAGGACAGCTGCTGTCTCCATGGATGCAGCAGGCAGCTTACTTCAGGTGCTTGTCAGCTTTGCTGTCACTCTGCTGTTCCTCTTGACAGACTTGCAGGTATCTTGGCTCACTCAGGCATGAGAGAAACGTTGATATGAGACAGGTCCACCATGTGTCTGTAGCACAAGAATAGCAGGATTAGAAATGGAAATAGATATAGGTAATATCTCATATCTCTAGAGATAACTTAATACATATTGACCTGCTAGATGAGCAGAGATGACCAACTGTTGTGACTCTATGTCCGAAGGGTACAGAGATTCACAACTGAGTTGGAATGAATACTACACAGACAAACCCACAATGTCTGAGAGAAGATCCAGTGTTGGAAATACCCATCTGCAGTCTGCATTTTTAAGAGACATTTTCAGTATTGCAGAAGAAAAATTAAGCAGCCTGCAATTTTGCAGACTGAAAAATCAGGCTTGGGGTTCAACGGAGATTTTGTGTTTACTAACTAACTAACTATAAACTTTCTGTAGTTTTGCATGTATCATGTTTCAACTTGAATGTTAAATGTTCACCAACATGTGGTTTGTATATGCCATGGGTTTAGATCTGGACTTTTAAGTGTGTATTTGCAGAAAGTACTTCCGAATTACAGAACAAATTTTTGACATTCTGAAATATAAAAAGAAAAAGTCTTTCTACCACTGAGATCCAAAGAGTACATGGTTCTTCCAAGGGTTGAACCCACCTGTGAAATTTTCTCTGGAAGTCAGCAGCATGCTCGGGGTGTGCGAACTTGGCGATGGCCTTCTTTTGGGAGCGTAGAAGGTCCATTTTCTACAGAAAAATGTCAACAATTACTACCTGATTGACTCAACAAACACAATTCTAATCAAAAATGGGATAAAACAGCAATTTCTTCTGCACTGCAGCTAAGTACTAGCAGTACTCTACAAAGCAATAATTTTATCCTACTATGCAGTAAACAATTCTGCAATAATTTTGCAGGGTTAAAGAATTTCACACTTGGTACACGTATGATTATAAAGCTAACTAGCAGGGTACTTAAGCTTGTGCTGCGATAGGGTGATTGCAGGAAGAATCTCTTATAACTTGAACTACTAGTATTGCAATTATCAGAAAATGTGTTTGAAGCTCTGAACATCATTTTAATAAAAGCATAAATGGGCCCACAGCAGGATAAAACATAACACTGACCTCTACAGGACCGACAGACAATAGCATACTCCGTAGCTGGTCTTCAGACGTGGACATGGACAGGTTGTCAATGGCAACCATGTGTGATGACATCATGCCCCCCACTGCCTGCTGGGATACCTGCTGCCCTGCTGCCTGTGTGGCTGTTCTGGTCTGCACCCCTCCTCCCCGGCCACGCCCACGGCCCCTGCCCCTCACTGCTCCTAGAACCACACGCTGAGGACAGTACACAACAACTTGTGGTTAAGCAAACAAACAAACAAACAAACAAGCTGGCATCAAACTGTTGACCAAATTTGATGGCCAAAAGGTTGCCGAATTCAAAAATTGTCAGACAGTCAAGCGTATTTTTCCCTGAAAAACTATCCTTTCACATTGGAATAATTATATTGCTTTAAATGTCGATTGAGCTAGTTTGCTACTGTGTGATGCCAGGTTTAGGAATGAGAACTGAACAAGGACAGATAAAGTTTTCTACCATTTTTTCTTCCCTTTTAATTACAATCCCTTCAATATACCGGGGGTAAACTTTTTTCCAAGCCTTTATGCTGTACTAACCATCATTGACTTATCTACCAATCGAATCAGAAGTGCTTGGGTTAGTACTTTTACTTTAAACTATCAGTATAAAATCTAATTCATGTTGCATGTACCTATTCTCTTACACCACACTAATAATGCTGTTACAATTTCCTTGTTGTCCTTGCTGACATTTACAATCAAAGAGCCTGAATGACCCATACCTTAGGGTTGTTCCCCGGCTGTACCTGTGCCTGTTGCTGTCCCATCTGGCTGTCCTCTGACTGCTGTCTGTTTGGCAGCTTGACGATCCTCTTCCGTAGCTGTTCCTGTGGTGCGCTGGCCATCTGGGTGGGCTGCTGCTGCAAACCACCTCCCTGGAAATACACAGCACAAACTGTCCCCAGCTGTCTTTGCTGTCATTTGGTCAGAAGACAGCACAAATTGTGGCTGACAAATGATACAAGAAGTTATCCTTTCTGGCTTTACTACTGTGTATATGAATCCCGCTGATACATATTATGGCATTCAGACAAATGTAGACTATTTGAGTGTAGGATAAAGCCTTTTAAAACAGCAAATGTGCATGGACGTAAAACAAAATTTTACACCATAAAGTTGATACAAAATGTGCCACACCATGGTACTGCCATGACACCTAGCAGACAACACAGGTACTGCAGATACTTCTGTTTTGGACTGTAGGTATACAATGACATCGGCAAACTATCACACAAACCTGTGGCCCCTGCACGACTCGTAGTTTGACATGTGGCTGGTCTCCGTTGGCACCCACGTCAAAAGCCTGGACTGGCTGCTGACTGGTTACCGTTCGGATGGGCTGTCCTCTCCCAACAACCGCCTAAACATCAAAAGGAATTAACTTTAAAAGAGTGTCAACTGAAACACTCATGCCCAGACTAGTCTCACTACTATTAGTGCCTTAAAGGCATCCCATGCAATTTCAGGGCAGCAAAACTGGAATATTCTGAATAAGGCAATATGTATGATATTGACACATACTTTTTAGCACTGTAGCCACTTTAGCACATTTGAATCTTCAGTATTTCATACTCAAGGCTTTTAAAGATAAGTCCTTTATTTCCTGGGTGGTACCCTAAAAATCAGCCCAGAGTCCTTACAGTAACCATTTTTCATTAGAATTTTTGGCATTTTTGCTCCATGAATGTAGATATACATGTTTGTACATTGGGATAGTGTTCTTTCAACTCAGTATGTAGATAAGTGACTAGAATATTGACTTTGAAAAATCTGGTTTCCAAGCCCTAAACACTACATTGGATGCCTTTAATGGTAAATTTTTCAGCTATTTTAAAATCTAACCTGTTGTGGTTGATGTTGCCCTGCCAGAGTCACCATTCTCTGTGCGTTTGCCTGGTTCTGTTGTCCACCGCTCATTTGCATACCAGCCTTCCCCCTCCCCAGGCCCAGTCTCTGTTTCACATGCAGTCTGGCAGGAGGGGCAGATTGCACTTCTTGTTGTTGTTGTTGTTGAGGCTTCATCGGGCTGACTTGCCCGTTCGCCGCGCGATTTTGCCCGAGCTGCATCCTCTGGGGAATGTTCTGTACTCTCGGCTGGAAAGTCTTAGCCTGCGGTACAGGCTGGAGCGCGCTCTGTGGCCCGGACATTCGCGGTCGTACTTGCTGCACGCGGTTAGCGAAACCTTGCACCTTCTGCAGGTTCTGTCTGGGGGTGTTCATCCTTGCCTGCATGTGCTGAGGCTGTTGTGGGTGTGCTATCTGCTGTTGGACAGGAATTCTCTGCGCGGGAGGAGGTTGTGTTCTTATCGGACCTGGGGTGAAGTCCTGGTTTTGCGCCGGTTGCGCTCCGAAGTCTTGCACCTGTGGTCCACCCTGGTTCTCTTCCTGGTTTGCGGCAGCCTTTTGTGCAGCAACCCTTTTCATCAATTCCTGTGATGTACATAAGACATAGACCTGGCATTTAAAAACAAGACACAACAAGGCCTCAGTTCAACTTCTATAATAAACATTAACAGACGAAAAATGTCCAGACAATGCATGATGTACAAAATGACTAGTAAACTGGTGGACGTACATGTACCAACCACTAAGCACCTAACACCAGGCCAGAAAAGAACAAGAAACAGCCATGCCTTCAAGTACCAGAGTTATCAACCAAGGACTGAGGTGTTCAAAAACTCATCCTTTCCTAGAACTATAGCAGAATGGAACTCGCTGTCACCAAGTACTGTAGGGGCATTGTCATTAGATAGCTTGAAACAAGGTCTAGAGTTGGATGTTCAAGGGTTAGGTGTAAAAAGTCATTCAGTGTAATGTAGCCAGCTGCTGCTGCACCACGTGCCTGCAAAGCTGGTTATACCGGCTATACAGGCTATACAGATACAGAATACAGACATAGACCTATTTTCTACTTTGTCTACACCAAAATGACCCATTCAAGTTTGCTTTTTCCTTTCAAAATGAAGCAAAACTCACAGCTTTTCTGCTTCCGGCCAGCTGTTGTCTGCGTAGTTCCTTTCTGCGCTGGATCTCTTCTCGGAGGCGTTTCTGCTCGGCAATCTTGGCTCGCAGCTTGCGTGTCTCCTCATCCTCCTCACCAGCCGGCTGACCTGGCTCCGCAGGTGTCAGCTGCTGCAGCTGCTGCTGGGAGACAGGTGGACCTAACCGCTTCTGCACCCTCAGCTAAACATACAATGTATGTAGATAAGGAATGTTACAACTTTGAGAAAGGGTCATAAACTTTCGCTATTAGTATTGCAGCTGTGCTGACATGTGATATGTCAAACATTTTGTGTCAGATCATTAGATGAATTTGCACATTCCATCATGCTGACATAATCAGTTTGATACAAGTAACACAGATATGTTTTATAGTATCTTTCTTGAGGCCTCCTATGAACAGACCAGACAGTCTTCAGGAAAAATCCACTGGGAAAAATGTTACGCAGGTTATCACAACACAGTAAGAGACAGCCACTTACCTTCTTCTTCCTCATTGCTGCAGGTTGTGGAGGAGGGAGTGATCCCACTTGTGGGATTTCCCGGAGGTTTGGCCGTGCCGCCACTGGCTGCTGCTCCCCCTGGGGGAAGGCTCGAGGAGACTGCTGCTCACGCTGGACGGGGTTTGGGGACACCTGCGGCCAGGATGCAGGCGGCTGGTTTGGCGGCCGTTGGTTGCCGGGTGAGTTGCCATGGCGATACTGCTGGGGGGAGGGTTGTCTCGGCGGAGGGGACTGCATGCGAGGTCTCGGCTGGTTCAACTGTGGAGGACGCTGCTGGAAACCTGTCGGCCTTGCAGCGGGGTTAAAAGGTCTGGGAGGATTGTGGGATAGGAGAGGTGCATTGTGGGACTGGGGAGGAGCATTATGGGACTGGTGAGGAGCATTATGGGACTGGTGAGGAGCATTGTGGGTATGAGTAGGAATGTGTGATGGCTGCTGAGAGAAGGGGGTGTAAGACTGAGAGTGGGGAGGGAGGTTAGACTGCTGAAAGTGTTGGGGGGTTGGTGCTGAGACATTGTGAATGTGGGGGTGGTGCTGAGGGGGCTGGGACTGTGAGTGTGGGGGTAGCGGGGAGGGGGTTGGCTGTGGGGAGGGTACTGAGCGGAGGGTTGGTGAGGAGGGGGCTGGGAGTGGTGAGGAGGGTGAGAGTGGGGAGGCAGGTCCAGGAGAGGGCGGGGCTGGAAGTTATGCTGCTGATGCTGCTGGGGTCCTTCAAACCGGGGTCCTAATGACAAACAAAAAAACTTTTGTGTCAGAAAAATATCTTGCAATTGTCCTTAGGCCATATCAATTTAATTTGTTGGTTCTCAGATTTGCCCGCTTCATTTTTTTTCTGATTTGAAAAAAAAATTAAGGCTCTGACTCCAAAATGCTCATATTTCATTTTATCATTCAGTTGAAGGAAGTTTCTTCTTATTAGTTTTTCCATCTATCAATGTAGTGGTTTGATTGGCAAGTCATTGTTTGGGTTGCAAACCAGTCTAATATGTTGACTTCATGGCTCCTATCATAGCATTGGGTACTACATGTATCAAAAGATGCATAGGTCTGTTTTTTTATTTTATTTTTATTTTTTTGCCCTGTCCATTTTTTTTCTGAAAAAATCAAAGAACTAACAAATCAAATTGGTGTGGCCTTATCCTAAAGACCCTGCTTACAAAAAGTGACAGGATAAAATAAAAGACATTCCAGCTAACACTGCATATTAACATTCCAGTTAAATCTAAGGTGAAATTGGCTCAAAAGTATTAAGGCAAAATACCACAACTACTGGATCATACATGCTGTTAGGAAATCAAGGAACACAATATAGCAGGAACCTTTTACCCAGTCTTTACGTCACACTTCAAAGAAGCTACGTGACAAGCCTCACTGGGCCAGTCTACTGAAGAAGACAAGAGTAACTGGTCAAAAACTCTAGGTGAGAGAACTTCTTTGAGTTGGATCAAACATTTAACTCTAAACATGTAACTACCAACACAGATGAAGTTTCATGATATAGCAGGAACATTGTCCTGTACTCATCCTGACCTGAAGTGAACTGCTCCTGTCTGTTGTGTCCCTGCTGAGGTCTGTTCCCCTGCCAGCTGGGAGGGCCTGAGGACGGAGGGCGATGACCTCCCTACGGAAACAAAGGCAGTCTTCTTACCATTTACATATAATTATAAGTCTTAGAGTTATCCTGGTAACAAACGACAAACACAAAAGGTCCAATGCAGTGAGGCAGGGACCCCACACGAAGCCCATTTTTACCCTTGACCTTGGTCTCCCCAACCATAACCTGCCTGCCAAAAATCATGAACATCGATCCATGCCTTCAAGAGTTATGTCGCTAAATCCACAGTCTCCCACACTAATAAAGCAAACTGATTTTAAACCCTTCTCACAAAGGCAACTATCAGCATGGCTAAGCCTCAAACCTAAACGAAGATCAACATGCGATCAGCCTAATGCATGACAGTAACTGAGTAAGTAACATCACCTACATGTATAACCTGAAAAAAAGTCTGTCCTTTGACTCCTTTCCCTATTGTATTCGCTAGACTAACAACAAAACGACAACAGATACGCCCAATGTATAAGGGAGAATGCATGGATCAGAAAACCCTACCATGGGAGACGCCATCCGAGGTCTGGGCTCCTGAAACTGTTGTCCCCGGTGAGGGGGTGGCTGGAACTGCCCCCCCTGGGGTCGAGGCTGACCGCCTGGGGGTGGATGTTGGTGAGGTCCCCTGGGGGGAGGGGGTTGGTGCTGCCCTTCGTGAGGAGGGGGTTGGTAGGGTTGGTGTTGGTGCATGGTGTCCCTGTCCCAACGTAACGGAGCTGAGCATAGATAAAACACAGCAGAATTATCAAATTACTACAGTCAAACCTGCCTATAGTGGTCACTCAAGGGACTGGCCAAATTTGACCACTATGGCCAGGTGACCACTATAGAGAAACAGCCGGTTAGTAGTTGACCCCCCCCCCCCAAAAAAAAGGAACACATCAGGGCTCGAAATTAACATTGTCCCAGTGTCAAATGACACAAAATTTTCAGCTCGGGACAATTCAAATTACATTTCGGGACAATTTTGGGGCAATTGGAAAATTCTGAGACCATCCAAGTCATTTTGGAACAGATCCATCATTTTGGAACGCGAACTGCTGTGGACCGCTGGCAGCCAATAATAGTCTGACAAACAATTAAAGAAATTATAATAAACAAATAAACTTGACCAATCAGGGATTCCAAATATCGTGGAGGGGGTCCTAAAAGATGGTGCTGTGCACATATTATCATGCATTTCCCTACATTTACTGAATAAGTGGACTTCAAGTTGTACAAGTTCAGTTGTTGGTGTTTTCTTATTGTTCTCATAAACTTATTTTATTATTTTTTGAAAAGCAGGCTGGGACAGTCCATCTTCAGTTCGGGACAATTGAAATCTATGTTCGGGACAATTCTGGGACAATAGTAAAAAAAGTTAATTTTGAGGCCTGCACATGCTTTGAGTACCAACAGTGATGTCTTTATTCTGAAACATATGAATACATACATTTGCAAAGGTAAACCCCTTTTATATGTACATGTCTTAGTTCAATAATTTGTTGTTCTTTTGCTTTAGTTGCACTTTATTTTGTACTTGCTTAAAAAAAAAGAAATACAGAAATATTGCATGGAAACATTAACTTGACATCAAAGATACATACACTCAACATATTCAGTTCATCTATTCCGGGACAATGAAACCATTCACATTAAAACAAAATCACTGGTTGTCATTTACTGTTCTTGTGTACATACTAGTACTACATGTGGCTAAAGAAAAGAAAGCAAATCAAGCAACAAACTTTCAACTCCAAACAAATTTCTATCGATTGCAAAATCATTTAATCTAAGCTCAGCTTTCGACGATTTCTTCTCACTCTCTCTGCCAGTCGGATCACTTCCACCTTTTGGAATAAGTTCGGCGTCTGTCTCTCCGCGTTTGCCATCGTTTCTCCGCAATCGCCACGTTACTAGTACTAGTTGTTGTTGTTGTTAGTCGAAAAGTGGAAGAGAACGACATCGCCATGTTTTTGTTCTTTGGTGAACACTTGCTTCGCGCGACCGACATACGCCACAGCGAATTCCAACCACGTAAATAAGTTATTTTGTACCAAGATGCTGTCTATTTAGTTAACAGCAAAATAATTGTTCGTCAGTTGCCAGTTACTTTCCGTTTTTGGTCGTTTTTGAACATGAAAACGTAGCGAAAACTCTCCTTTGTTTACGGCTTGGGTTTCTCCCCGCGTGGGTTGTCTGCCTTTACCATTATGCCAATGTGGTAGTCAACAGAAAATTTTCTCCTTTCAGACTTATATCTTTTCTAAAATATCCACTACAGTTTTAAATTTACATCTAAAATTAATTGTAGTAATGTATTTGAAATGTTTTCATAATGTAATTTCGTCATTTGACACTAATGAAGTTAAATAAAACTCGGTGTATCTACCTCCATAACAGTGGAGTCTTCCGATTGACCCCAATTGACCTCCCTCTGCAGCTAACATGCGCCATCTTGGAAAAATACGAAACGCATTTTTCGAGCCAAATTTCTTGAATTATGCCCATGAAAAACGGAAGCTATGCACATATCTACGCATTTCAAGGAATCGAGAAACCAAATATGGACATTCTTAATTTTTTTTGTAAAGATAATTGCCGTAATCTTCGCCGAGCGGCCGAGTCCAATTTGAAAGCTCCATGCGGCACGCACGGCACTGGTGTTGGGGAAAACGCAGATATCAAAGACACCCGCGACCGCAGAAAATTCGTGTCAAAAGCCATTCCTTTATTTCATACACATATGGAGTCTAATTTTCACTTCACATTTTAGTAATGTAGCGATCGGAAAATTATCACAAGGCTCATAACGGTCGTAGCCCAAGGTGGGGTGGTGTTACGGCCGTGGTGCTTAGCGGGTTACGGCCAGCCGCGACCGCTATCGGCGGTGTTGACATGCCGGCGGGACCGGAATGGGGTGACCGCTGACCGCGTTGAACAGTGACCGCAATAGACACGATTCTTAATGCTTACGTCAATGGGAAAAATTCAAGGGACCGGCAAAAACTGACCGCTATGGCCGAGTGACCACTATACAAAGGTGACCGCTAGTACAGGTTTGACTGTACTTCCCATTTATTTCCCATTAATTCACCACTTAGGCCACACCAATTTAATTTCATGGTTAACAGATTTGCCCGTTTCATTTTTTTCTGATTTGCAAATAAAAATAAAAATTCAGAATCAACTACAAAATGCTCATGTTTTGCCCTGAACAGTTTAAAACAGTCCTTTTCTTCCTAGTTGTTACAGTTATTCCATCTTTCAATGCAGTGGTATCATAAAAAGTTCAAAATTCATTAAATTTTGAACCAGCCTGATGTGTTGACTTCATGGCTCCTATCGTACCATTTTGGGCCATAATAAAAAAATAAAAACAGGCCTAGGCAAGGCCTGTTTTTATTTTTTTATTTTTTTTTGCCTGCCCGCTCCATTATTTTTCTAGAAAAATCCGTTAACCAAGAAATTGAATTAGTGTGGCCTTAGTATCATCAATGGTTTATTGAGAAGAAAATCATCCTTGCAGTACAAAGACACAAGATTTTTACAATATAACCATACAACAACATACATGTCAAGGATACAATATGTATGGCTAAAAAGGAAGTCACTTTATTAGTTACTGGCTTGCTTGTTTTAATTTACTTGTGGGGAAGGCTAGGATAGATCAAATTGTCTTGTGTCATTTGTAAATATCATTTATGTGCGAATAAAGAAAGAATACAATGACAGCAACATCAGGGGTGCCAGAGTATACAGTGCAATTTTACGGAATAAAGTGCAATGGTATTAGTATACAGTGCAATTTTACGGAATATAGTTCAATCGTATTAGTATACAGTGCAATTTTACTGGTGCAATTTACTGCAGCGAACTGATAGCTCCAGTCGTCCTGTCTTTGACAGGCCACCGGGTCAGCTGTCTGTTTCGTCAAGAGTGCGGTTACCCCCCGGCGCAGGGGCTACTTCACGGTAAACGACCACGCGCAGACTTGTCCACATGGTGTCGGAAGTCCTAGAACGACAATCCATACCTTGCAATGAGAACAATCCTGAAAAATTGAAGAATTGCTCAAGACGCCTCTATTTTGCAACCTGGAACGTAAGAACGCTACTGGACAGAGAGACCAGCGATCGTCCAGATCGTCGCACTGCCTTTGTTGCAAGGGAGCTTACCCGACTAGACATAGACATCGCTGCCCTGAGCGAAACTCGACTCGCAGACGAAGGGCAGCTTCAAGAAGATGCGGGGGGGTTTACTTTCTTTTTGGAAAGGCCTTCCACAGGAGGACAGACGGATTCATGGGGTCGGTTTTGCTATAAGGAATTCCCTTCTGAAAGACCTCGAGGAAATTCCAACTGGAGTAAACGAAAGACTCATGACTCTTCGTCTAAAACTCAGCAACCGACAAAATGCAACAGTGATTAGCTGCTATGCTCCAACCTTGACTGCAGAAGATAAAATCAAAGAAAAATTCTACGAAGATCTCGAAAATATACTCAAGTCAATCCCAACGACTGATAAAATCATTCTCTTGGGGGATTTCAACGCACGAGTCGGCCGCGATGCTGCACACTGGAATGGCACCATCGGCAAGAACGGGGTAGGAAACGCCAACTCAAATGGCTTACTTCTCCTGTCTCTGTGCACACGATATGAACTTGTAATCACCAATACTCTTTTCCGTCTTAAGAACAAATACAAAACTACCTGGTGTCATCCTAGGTCTAAGCACTGGCACCTTCTGGATTATGTAATTGTAAGATCGAAAGATCGATATGATGTGAGGATCACTCGCACAATGCGGGGCGCTGATGAATGCTGGACTGACCATCGCCTAGTCCGCTCTACTATGAATATTTCATTGAAGAAAAGAGTGCGAAAAGGTCCCAAAATAACAAGAAGAAAGTTCAACACTCACAAACTACTACTACCGTCAGAAAGGGAAATGTTCCAGTCCGATCTACACAGTCGCCTGAGTCAGCTTGAACCTACCCACCAGGGAACTGTGGATGAACAATGGGCAACACTCAAAAACGTTCTACTTCAAACGTGCAAGAGCACTATTGGTCTCCACAAACGTGTGAGCGAAGATTGGTTCGATGAAAATGACAGTGAGATTAAAGACTTGATTGACAGGAAACGCCAAGCTTTTGTATGTTGGCAAGACGACTACCACAATACTGAAAAGCACAAACGTTTTACCCTTCTGAAAGCTGAGGTTCAAACCCGTGTACGGGATATGAAGAACACCTGGTGGGAAGCAAAAGCACAAGAACTTCAAGCCTTTGCTGATCGGCATGACATGCGTCAACTTTTTCCAAGCCACGAAAGCGCTGTATGGCCCGACCAAGTCTGGTTTAGCCCCACTCAAATCTGAAGATGGCAGCATCCTGCACAAAGATGAAGCCAGCATCAAAGCCAGGTGGAAAGAACACTTTGAAAAACTTCTCAATCGAGAGTCCACCGTCAGTCAGTCAACGATTTTGCTGATTCCAGTGTACCCCCTTAAAAAGGAACTTGCAGAACCACCTTCTCTCCAGGAAGTTGAAAAGGCGATCAAGCAGATGAACAACAACAAAGCAAGTGGGCCCGACAGCATTCCTGCTGAAGTCTACAAGTGTGGTGGACCCGACCTCACAACACGACTTCACAGCATACTCTTGCGAATCTGGGATGAGGAAACTCTACCAGACGATCTTAAGAACGCAGTAATAACTGTTCTCTACAAAAAAGGGGACAGATCAGATTGTGGGAACTATCGTGGGATTGCCCTTCTGTCATCGGCTGGTAAAATCTTGGCCAGAATGCTCTTGAATCGACTCCTTCCCCTGAGTGAGGAAATTCTGCCTGAAACCCAGTCTGGTTTCAGACCATCCAGAGGAACTATCGACATGATCTTCTCAGCTAGGCAGATTCAAGAGAAATGTACAGAACAGCGACAACCACTCTTCATGGCCTTTATCGATCTTACTAAGGCTTTTGATTCTTTGAATCGCGAGGCCCTCTGGAAGATACTGAAGCGGTTTGGCTGCCCAGACAAGTTCATAACAATACTGCGACTATTACATGACCAAATGACAGCCAAGGTGCTTTGCAATGGCTCTGAGACTGAATCATTCACAATCAAAACTGGTGTAAAGCAAGGGTGTATACTGGCACCAACAATCTTTGACATATACCTGCTGGCTGTCTTGATACTGATTAAAGACCGTCTTCCACCTGGAGTAACAATCAGGTACCGCTATGATGGCAGTATTTTCAACCTAAGACGCCTCAATGCTGTCACCAAAGTCCAGAGAGTTGTTGCCCACGACCTTCAGTATGCTGATGACTGTAAACTTGTAGCCCACCAGGCTCAACATTTACAAGATACACTTGATCTTTTCAATTCTGCATACAAACTTCTTGGCTTGACTACAAATAAGTCAAAGACCAAAGTCATGATCCAGCCAGCTCCGGGTCAACAACCGCCAGCAGTAAGCTTCTACCTGGATGGAGTACGCCTTGAGTGTGTCAAGCACTTTAGTTATCTTGGCAGCACTCTTAACACAAGGGAAACATTGACGACGAAATCTCACACAGGCTAGGTTGTGCCTGTGCAGCCTATGGTAACTTAAGGGAACGGGTCTTTGACAATGCAAGCCTTAAGACGGTAACAAAGCTGCAGGTGTATAAAGCCGCAATTCTTCCAACCCTCCTCTATGGTTGTGAGGCCTGGGTCACCTACCGAAGGCATCTTAAGACCTTGGAACAGTTCCACCAACGCTCGCTGCGGCGTATTCTGAACATTTCCTGGACTGACTATCGCACCAACACCAGCGTGCTAGCTGAAGCCGGCGCTTGGAGTATTGAGGCCCTCGTCATGCGCAGTCAGCTACGTTGGTCTGGCCACTGTGTACGAATGCCAGACAATCGGCTCCCCAAGCAGATTCTGTACGGTCAACTGGAGCAAGGGACCCGTGCTAGGGGGGGACAGAGAAAACGGTACAAAGACACACTTAAACATTACTTAAAGAAAGGTCACATTGACCCCTCAAACTTCCAAGCCCTCTGCCACAACCGCAGTGCCTGGAGGCAGATGTCCTACACGGCTGTCTCAACCTTTGAAAGCGAGAGAGTTGCCGCCGTGGAGGCAAAAAGGATGGCCAGGAAGGAGCGTCAACGTCAACAAAAGGACTAAGAACTAACACCATTGGACTCGCCCTACTCCGTGGAGTGGCTGTCAACACTGGTGCAATTTTTGCAATTTTACTAGTATACAGTGCAATTTTACTAGTATACAGTGCAATTTTACTTGCGAAATTGCACTGCATACTAAAACTGTATTCTTGCACTGTACATGCACTGTATTCCGTGAACTCTGGCACCCCTGAACATCGGAACTCCTTCTTTTCCCTCTACCCCCTCCCCCACCTACCTTCAGGTCTGGCCTGTACTGTTCCCTTGAAGTGAGGGTTGATCAACACCTTCCTGGGGGCCAGCTGTCCTGGGCCAGGTGACCGTAGCAAGGGGCCGGGTCCCCGTGGCCCAGGGGGCCCCCTGGGGCCGTACCCCCCTCCCCGTGGCCCGTATCTTGGCTGAGACATCAACGGACGTGGGCCAAGCTGTCCTGTAGATTCAAACAACAAATCATCATCGTAGCTGTAACTACTGTACCATCAAGCTTATTGGATTTACAAGTTCAAATCCTAATGCTTTATTTCCTGCATAATCTCATAACATGGAACTATTTTTCTTCCTTATGATTAGTTGAGGTAAAGCATCAGAATTGATACATAGAATATTGTAGGAAAAAACATTAGAACTGTCAAATGTTGCCATGTTATGACATATCTTGCTTTCTTGTGTTTTGACTGATGACAAAGATTGACTGGAAATCAGGACAAATATTATATTGACTATCACTGTGACAACAGTAAAAATACAACAAATAACGATTAAAATGGATAGTCAGTAGAGCACTGTACCTTGTAAGAGTGGTCGTGGTCTGAAGCCCTGTCCCTGGGGGCGTGGCATCGACCCTCGACCCCCGCGGCCGCCCCTGAAACCACGCCCCCTCCTGCCCGCCATTTTCTGCTGCTCAAACTCATCAATCTGCTTCTGCACATCCTCCGACACTTCTGTAGTCAACACACAACAAACCATGGCTATCAGCAAGCACATTTAGATGTCATACCATTAGTGCTGTGTACCGGTTCACTGGCCCTAGTTCCAGACTTGTAAATTTAAAATGTTTAGGTTTAAGTAAATAAAAAACTTAATGTCTGGAACTAGTTCTGGAAAAAATCATGTCACATTCCCCTTTTTGTTCTAAACAACCTGACATCTTCAATAGTAAAAAATTTCTGCTATAAAATGAAGAAAACATTGCTATTGGGCATCATCAAGTGTAGGCCTCTGTAAATTATGTGGCCACGCAAACAACATATCTTGCTTCTAAACACTGGTAGCACAGGGCTCGCTACAAAATTTTGCAGTAAAGATTCCCCATTTTCCATTGGGAAATGCTCACTGAGAAGTCCCTTCTATATTTTATAAGTCCGGACCTGAACCTTAACTCTGGACTTGAAGCCATACCTGGACCCGAGCATGGGCTTAGGTACACAGCACTAGATACTACATGTTTTAGATCTTCTTACATTGGGGAAGGGGATGTTCAATATGACCATAAAGTATCTGAAAGCCAAGACTATTTCAGGTGTTGTCCTCCTACCTAACGTATCAGGTATTTCCCTGTTGGGTTTGTTGACTTTTGACAGGATGGTTTTGGAGGGTGCTGTTGAAGCACGGTCTGACGTCTCCACTCTCTCCGACTTAAACCTGCCTCGTCTCGAGTCTTCTTCCTCATCTTCTTCTTCCTCTTCACTTTCACTCTCGCTGGGATTCTCTTCCTCCTCGTGTTCAGTGTGAGCTTCTGTTTCCGTTGACTGTGAAACAATGGCAAGACATCTGTCACCACTTAATTCAATTATGTAATCCCACAATTTGATTGGTTTAATCTAATTATTTGGGTTAATCCCATTTGGGGTAAACCAAGGGGGCTGAAATGCACTTTCTGAGCACAAGAGCTATTTACCACCTAAAATTTGTGACCCTGGCATGTCCAAATCAGGAGATATCAAAACCTGAAGTTCTGCCACAAGCCACCAGGGGTCCCAAAATCTTATCATTTCGAGGTCTCAACACAACCTACCCACCTACCAAATTACAAGACAATCCAGCCAAGCCTTTTTGAGTTATCATATTGACACACAGACGCGATTGCTATTAAAAACATAGCCTTCTTGCAGAGGTAACAATCCTGATATTACAATGGGATACAAAAATAGTTATTGCGCACCTGTTCTTCATGACTTGATGCTAGTTCCTCTGACTGTACAGTTGTCACAGGTGTAGGTTGTGTAGTTGTCTGCGGCTGGGTTCTGTACTGTGACTGTTGGGACCCCGTCGAGTATTCTGTATCTACCTCCAGATCATCAAGCCCTTCTGTATCTCCAATGCTGATATCAATGACGTCCTCATATTGCTGAAAAGTACAAGTATGGGGTTTAGGGTAATGCCATACCTGATATCTATGACAGAAACACAGCACTCACATTCACCACTACTGCTAATAAATCAATATTAAAACATGTAAACTGAGTAAAAAAAGGATGCAGAGTAAAATGAAACTGGACATGCATGACTTGGGCCACACAGTTGTGCAATCTCTACAGCAGGGGGCTAGTCACTGGTAGTGGTGTGTATTGAACTCCCATACTCTTCTCAAACGCTGAGTGCTAAGCAGAGAAAGTAGTATGTACAGTCAAACCTGTCTATAGTGGTCACTCAAGGGACTGGCCAAAATTGACCACTATGGCCAGGTGACCACTATAGAGAAATGGCGGTTAGTTGCCCCCCCCCCAAGTGACACATGCTTTCAGTACAAAGATGTATTTATGTCTTTATTCTCAAACATATGAAAACATTCATTGCACAGGTAAGCCTCTTTTCAAATGTAACTTTACATGTTATAATTCAATTGTTGTTCTTTTGCTTTAGTTGTGGGCTTGAAAAAAAATTATATATCAAAACTGCATGCACTCGACATGATACTTAGTTGATCTACTGGACTTGACTATGAAACCTTCCCACTAAAATATACAAAATCACTGGTTGCCATTTACTGTTCTTGTATACGTGTAACATCGATGTTACCTACAGAAAACTTGAAAGCGAATCAAGCAACAAAGTTTCTGTCGACTCCAAGCCATGTTTCTTCCAACTGCAAACTCCTTTAATCTAAGCTCCTTCGACCGATAATTCCTTGTCACTCGCTGTCAGTTGAATCACATCCACCTTGTGGAATAAGTTTGACGTCTGTCTTTCCGCTTTCGCCATCGTTTCTCCGCAATCGCCACGTTACTAGTACCGTAAGTCGAAAAGTGGAAGAGAATGACATCGCCATGTTTTTGTTCTTTGGTGAGTGCTTCGCATGACCGACATCGCCACAACGAATTCCAAACATGTAAACAAGATTTTTTTGTACCAAGATGCTGTCCATTTAGTTAACAGCAAAATAATTGTTCATCTGTTGCCGTTTATTTTCCGTTTTTTGGTCATTTTTAAACATGAAAACGTAGCGAAAAATTTCCTTTGTTTACGGCTTGGGTTTCTTCCGGCGTGGGTTGTCTGCCTCTGCCATTATGCCAATGTGGTGGTCAACAAAAATAGTGCTCCTTTCAGGCTTACATATTTTGTAGAATATTCACTACAGACTTAAGTTTACGATGGAAATTAGTTTTAATAATGTATTCCAAATATTTTTGTATGTAATCACGCCATTTGATGCTATAAAATTAAATAAAAGTGGGTACATCTACCTCCAAACCAATGGAGTCTTCCGATGACCCCAATTGACCTGATTGTTGCAGCTGCCTGCGCCATTTTGAAAAATCACGAAACGCATTTTCTCAGCCCAAATTTCTTGAATTATGCCCGTGAAAAAGGGAAGTTGGCCACATATTTATGCTTTTCAAGGAATCTAAAAATCAAATATGGATATTCGTAAGTTTTTTGTAAGGATGATTGCCGCAATCTTCGCCGAGTCCACTGAAAGCACTGCGGCACGCACGACATGGTGTTTCAGATATCAAAGACGTCAACACAAGCGACCGCAAAAGTTTCGTGTCAAAATCAAGTTTTCCTTTATTTCTTACACATCTGGAGTCTAATTTCAGTTCACATTTTAATAATGTAGCGGCCACAAAATTATCACAAGGCTTGATTGAACGTCCTAACGGCCGTAGGAGGTCGGGTGGTGTTACGTACCGCCGTGGTGCTTAGCGGGTTACGGCCAGCCGCGACCGCTATCGGCGGTGTTGACAGCCGGCGGGACCGGAATGGGGTGACCGCTGACCGCGTTGAACAGTGACCGCTATATACGCGATTCTTAATGCTTACGTCAATGGGAAAAATTCAAGGGACCGGCAAAAACCGACCGCTATGGCCGGGTGACCGCAATGCCAAGGTGACCGCTAGTACAGGTTTGACTGTACCATTTTTAAAGTCTTTGGTATGACTCGGTTGGGAATCGAACTCACAGCCGACCGAATGCAAGGGAATCAATCTACCCACTTGGCCACTGCACTGGCCATTGCACATGCATGACTTGATTTCTCAAATTTCTACTCTAGCATTCCAACTGTCAAGTGTAAGGTATTTAAATGGAACATACCGCTGATTCTTCATACTGTCCCTCCACTTCAGAGCCATAGAATTCAGACTCCTGTGAAACATTGATGGAGATTTCACCGGGGTCAACTGGCTCTGCAAAACTGTGCTCCTCCTGTGATTGGCTAGTGTCCTCCTGTGAACTTTGACTTTTCTGTGATGTATTCTGGGTAGTCTCCCCCTCATCATCACTGTCTCCTAGCAACGCTTCCTCGTCAAACTCATCTTCATCTTCAGGTGGATCTGCTTTGAACTGCAGTGGCAGTGGAAGTAACAAGATTAACGAGGCCCATTTTTTAACTTGACCTTGGTCTCACCAACAGTAACCTGTCTGCCAAAAATCATGAACATCGAACCATGCCTTCAAGAGTTATCTCGCACAGTCTCCCACACTATAGCAAAGTGATTTCATAGCCTTCTGACGAAGGCAATTACTAGTATATGGATTGCATAGAAAGAAAGAAGAGCAGTGGCCACATTTGGCACATGTACATGAGAATGGAATTGATAGAAAGTTTTGGACACTTACTCTTTTAGTTGTACCAAAGCTGTCATCATTTAGTAGCTCATCATCACTGAAAATGAGAAGTCAGAAAGACAGTATATAAGTTAGATACCAATGCACCATTACAAAAGTGTTATACAAAAATTGTAATACAAAGTTTAAGATTTTGGAGAGGATAACAAGACATGTTTCATCTAAATGATAAATTTCATAATACGCGTACATGTATTAATAGACATAGCAATCAAGCTACACATTGTCTTTTTACTAAAAATTTTAGGTGTCATGCAAATGTATGGGAAGATACAGGTTTGTATGTGACCTATATTAGTAAGTGCTGCGTACCTGTCCCATGCACTCTCAGTCGGTCGTTTTCCTCCCGACCCTCCGCTGCCGAAGTCTGCATCAAGGTCATCCAGACCAAGGTCAATGCCATCTGTAAACAAATCATTCTCATCATGTCATCATCCTTGACAACGAAAAGACAAAAACGTTATCAAAATATTGTTTCTCAAACTAAAATAGATTCAAAATCTGCTGATTATCTAGATTGACTATTGTACTAATCGCTCTGTATTATTAATTTGTAAAATTGAACTCCTTTTTGGATATCATAAAATTTCATTTCCATTTTTCATGAAATTTTGCAATAGGGGCCACATTTTCATCTGAAAGTTGTATTTAGCATTAGAATTCAGAAAATATGCAGGGCTTAGATATCAAATCATTGTGATGTACTTCTCAAGACAGATAATTTTCTGCATATAAACTACATAAATACAGAAAAGCAACAAAATTTAACAATCTTTATAAGAGGGCAATCACCATCAGACAAGTGAAAGGTAAACATTCAGGAAAACAACGATTGCAACATGCACGTGCGTGAGTGCGTAGTAAACAAAAACATGCAAGATACAAATACCTCATATTTGTATGGTCAAATGCCTTTAATATGTTTACCTAAGGAGACTATGATCGTGCAGAAGTTCATATAAACAGCTTTATCAAAATTATAGCAAAACGTATTACTTCGTGGCGTCGGCGAAAGACTTGGGCAAATCTGATTTACATCATCATGATGATCGATGTTACTCCATGTAAGGAAAATTTATGTATGCGTGCCTTTGCGCACCCTGTTTTTCGTTTTTCACGACAAACTTACCTTCCATCGCAGTGGATAAAGCGCACAGATACCCTGCAATCAGACCTAAGATTGTGTCCCTTGGCTCTTTATCTTCAGTATTAGCAGGTAAGGAGACATCAGATGATCATTGTGCTGCAAAAATCTGGAAAATCCGTGTGGAATATCACCTCCAGTATTGAAAATGTACGCTTCTCGCAAATGTCTGCTGATTTCATTAGGTGTCTGTGGTATTTTCCGGGCTAGCCCAAATGATCAGAGACCATGGGTGGAAATATTCATAAGCTACATCAAATATACATTTTAAAACTTTTGGCATTAAATATACTTTTGCAGATGACTTTTATCATCAAAATTATATTCTATGCAATTTATACGACTAAAGTAACAGGCGGCACAATATATTTTCAGAGGCCACCACAAAGCAGAAGTGAACAAAGAAAGTAGTTTGTCATTTGTGTACCTATACGAAACACCATATTTGACAACATTATACAGAAATTTCGTTCATAAATCCAGCTTATTTTATAAAATACAACTAAATCGTTATTTTTATATGCTATTTCATGAAGAAATTGAGAATGGTATTGAACTTAGATGAATATTTTGTATGCGAATGTAAGGCGACTAATTGTGCACTGTAGAAACATTTCATCATCCACGCCTCTTCCTGGTTTTGCCGACCGGACCAGCATAGTTCGTCTCACTGCAACGTGGACTGGTGGATGTATGCAGCTGTTTACAAAACTCCTGCCTTCTGCTAGCTATCTTGTAGCAAGATCGATCATAACCACACAATCCAGGCGGCTTCTTGTCCACGGAACTCCTCGGCAAGCCAAGCAACAGCGAGTCATCACCCAGACAAAGGTCGCGACCGTCTCAACACCAGATCAGCTCGTCCAAAACGAAACGATGTCCTCTGCCGATGTTGAAACCATCCTGGCCCCCCTGCGACAAGCAGTGAAAGATCAGGTACAAAGTTGTCATGAGATTTCTGTAAACCTGTCAGTTTTGTTGTCTTTTAAAAATTTTTGATCAGATCTTTTCAGCATTGTAATCACAACTGCATTTCTGATGATGAAGAAGAACAAAAAAAGGAGAGAAAAGATATTTTCACCCATAATTTTCAACATAATTTTCTTTTGCAAAAAAAAAAGTTGCAAAAACCATTCTGATCCACCACTTTGTCACGTACTATAACTTTGTATAACCGGTTTGTCAGGCAAAATGAACATTTGCAGCCTATGATTGCATCATGCAAAACAGTAAATCCCCTGGGAAATGTGAAGTAACAGGTCTGACAGGGTGTGGGTCCATCAGTATGAGCATGGGAGATGATGCTCTACACTAAATTTTGAGAGCCGGCTACGTATTACGCTGAATTCAAGAAGTCTGCCCATTTAATATGTTATACAATCAATTCCTGGGAGCTACAACGCATTACGTAGAATCAAAACAGCGAATTACGCTCTACGCAAAATGCGCCAATGACACTCTACGTTGAATTAGAATGGTCCATCTACGCTCAACGTAGAATTAAAATGGCCAATTACACTCTACAGAAAAGGGCATGCAGGCCCCCATCTATACCAGAATATAAATCAGGGAAAGCAAAACAGAAAGTGGTGTATGAGACTATGACACCATGACATGCAAACAAAATATTGTTCAGTTCACTGAGCATCATTCTTTGTTGCCATGGTAACAGGGTGACCTGGTCCGAAAGCTGAAGGAGGCGAAGTCTCCCAAGTTGGAGGTTGATGAAGCCGTGAAGGAGCTGAAGAAGAGGAAGAAGACTCTGGAGGAGAAGGTACCGAAAACTGACTGACTGACTGACTAACTCACTGTCTCACACTCTGTATGACTGTTTGTCTGCCTGTCTGTGCGAGGAAGGTTAGCTTGAACCAAGGAGCATGAAAAATTATGCATTTTCTTCTATGGGATTTGTACTAGTAATGTTGTCATCATTGGTCATTCCTTTGGAGGTGGCAATTATTAACCCTTGTCCTACAGAGCCCATATACATTTTGTATACATGTATATGGGTTACACATACTAGTACAGTACCATCTACTGCTAGTATATAGCACCCTGTATATGTACGATTTGGGGGTATTTCATATGCAATGCGTAACACCGCAGAGAAACGCTATGAATGCGGAAGTAACTAGGCCACAGCAGGAAAAAAGAAAGTCAAGGGTCTATGACCTGATTAAGAGTAAGACATTAAAATTATTTTAAAATATTGTGTAAAAAATGCTAGCAGGACAAGGGTTAAGAATACTGTACTTTGTAGTCTGTATTTTGAAATGTTGCTTGCCTTCAGTTTAAGTTAACTGACAAGTGATTCCTTCCTTGTCTTTTCCCCAGGAGAAGTCCCTGGCTCCTCCAGATGAAGCCTTCAACCGTGCTAAGATGGAGGATCTGTTGAAGAGACGTTTTGTCTATGACCAGGCCTTTTCTCTCTATGGAGGTAACTTAGTCAACAGTTGTTTGTTTTGCTTTAAAAAAGACCATAAAACAACATGTTAGCCTTATATCTTATACATGTAATATATGTATAATATTTGAAGGATTTGGTATCTCCCTTGATATGACACAACTTTCATACACAGAAAGTTATATATTACTAGATATTTTTCATACTTGACCGTGACGTTGCGGAATGTCTATTGAAAGCCACAAGATCAATTCTTTTACTTTGTGGTACAAATATACTAGTATGCTACGTATACACACAGCTGAGATGTTGTTCTCCCTTGGAATCATATTTTCCTGAAAATGGCATCAAAGTAACTGTACGAGCATATTGCATTTCCTTCAAAATCCTACATTGAAACTATCTACGTTCAGGTCCAGGGCCAAATTCAAGTCCAGAGGTTTAGGAAGGGACTTCTCAGTAAACATTTCCCAATGGAAAATGGGGCATCTTAATCGCAAAATTTTGTAGGGAGCACTGCACTATCAGGTTTTAGAAGCAAGATACATGTATGTTGTTTGCAGGGCATGTCTGGGCAAAACTGTGGCCACATAATTTACGGAGGCAGACACTTGATGATGGCAATGTTTTCTTCATTTAGCAGTGAAAATTTTTGACTATTGAAGATTTCAGGTGGTTTAGAACAGAAAGACGATTGTGACATGATTGTTTTTGTAAGTCCAGAATTAGTCCCAGACGTTCAGTTTTTTTTTTTTTTTGGACTTGAACCAAAACCAAATCCTAAACATTTTTACAAGTTCAAACTAAATCAAACTGGGACACAGCACTAACTGAAACTACGTACCATCTAGGCGTAACAGGCTTGTTTGACTTTGGGCCGATTGGCTGCATGATGAAAACCAACATCCTGGACATGTGGCGCTCACACTTTGTACGAGAGGACGGAATGCTGGAGGTGGAGACTACCATGCTTACTCCTTACAATGTCTTAAAGTAAGTCAGGTGTCTACGACAGAGTCTCAAGAAAGAAGGGGTGCTACTACTGACTTTCAAGTCTACAAGGGCTCACTTTCTTTTATTTTTTTTCAGCACAAAATGTGGTGGGAGAACTTTCTGTTTTGTTTTACTTTCAGACGGCAGAATGCACTGCGCCTGCGCGAAACCCAGATTTTGCACGTTTTCGCTGGATGTTAGGTCAATTTTGCATCAAAATTTTGCATGTTGCAGACAATATCTTTTTCGACATAACCTTGGGAAATTACAGACAGGGTGTTAGCCTTATATAAGCGAATACGACCTTATATGAGACATTCTGCTTAAGTGCTATGCACAATACATTACGGATTTCGCGCAGGTGCAGTATGTTCTGCCGACATGCTATACCTCCTACTTGCACAAATGTTTTCAGTTGTTTCTCATATTTTAAAACTGTGGTGACTCTGTCCTCTCTTCTTGTCTTCCTGGGTGTTACTGTTAGGTGTGGCGGGTCTGTTTGACTTTGGTCCCATTGGTTGCATGATGAAGAATAACATCACCGATATGTGGCGCTCTCACTTCATCCTGGAGGAGAGCATGTTGGAAGTAGACTGCACGATGCTCACTCCTGCAAATGTTCTCAAGTAAGGGTGGAGCACATACTTCTAAATGTGGAACTCTGGTGTTTCTGTGTTAGTAGAAATTAGACATTGTTTCTCTCTTTTTTTAGATTATCTCTCTTTTTTTCTAGATTATTGACCTAAAACTTCCACAATCTAACAGTATGTTGTTACCGTATGGTAGCCTGAAATCCAGCCTTGTTAGCTTTGGTCTGCTCCCCAAGATCCGCTACCCAGCCTGGCAATGATCTTGGGGAGCAGACCAACACTAACAAGGCTGGACTCCAGGCTAACCGTATGGTACATTATATAATCCTAGTTGTTTTTCTGAATGCTAAGTTTTTCAAATTTTGGTACGTCTATCAACTATAGAAGTGTAAAGCTTGACTTTTTTGGACAAAATTAGGAGGAAACAATATACTGAAATTTAAATGGATATAGTTTTTTCTTCAGAATTGAATTGAGAAATTTCATTGTCAACAACCTTTATGATTATGAAAATATGCTTTATGCATTGGTTTTATCCTCCCAGAGCCTCAGGTCACGTGGACAAGTTTGCTGACCACATGGTCAAGGATCTCAAGACAGGAGAGTGTTTCAGAGCTGACCACTTACTACAGGGTAGGTCAGAGATTACCCAATGATGTAAATATTCCCAAGGTCTCATTGTTTGTACATCATTAGAAGGTTAGAAGAATGGTAACAGTAGTTGTAAACTTTTGGTTTAAAAATGGCAGATTGGTAATAACAATTGGTCATTAGAAGCTACAGACTTTCAAGATACGTTTTCAGTATCTTGTTCTTATTTTATACTAATAGCACACATGGAGAAACTGTTGGCTGACAAGAAAACACCCGAAGAGACTAAGGCCAAGTGTAGGGAGTACATGCCCAGGGTGAGTCAAGCATGGTTATTGTTGTACCTTTGAATACAAAGGAGAAAGGTATTTGAATGAAAAAAGTAAAAAAGTTCACAAAAGATGCCATCAGTAAACAATAGCAAAATATTGGCAAGCAAACTATAGATCTTCTTCATTGGTAGAAAACAATACTGTGTCAATGTATCACTGTATATCACAGAATAGATTTTTGACATAACAGAACCTTACCATGTATGTTGTATTTCTAATCTCAGTAGATTTTACGTAAGTCTGATTGTTTACCTAGCATGTACTTTTTCAGCTCTTTAGTCACAGAGTCAGTGCATTTTATAATTCTAGGAGACATGTGATAACCAAGTGTACATCAAGAATGAAGAGAACATTTGTAAGTTAATAAGTATATGTTGAAGTAGTCATAGATTTGTACTCATCTGCCATATCCTAGTTGCTGCTATCTTTATCAATGTATCCTTTTGTTTACTACAGTTGGATGACTTTAACAAGCAGCAGCTGACAGAGAAGTTTCAGGAGTTAGGAGTGAAGTCTCCCACCAACAACAACGATCTGTCTGAACCCATGGAGTTCAACCTCATGTTCCAGACCAACATAGGACCCGCTGGCCTGCTACCTGGGTAAAGAGTCGTTTGGTCTTCAGGCCACACCAGTTTGATTTGCTGTTTCCCAGATTTTGTCAGAAAAAATATACAGCTACAGGGCAAAAAATAAAGCAGACCGTGGCATCCTATGATGGCCCCAAATGCTAGGAGCCATGAAGTCAACATGCCAGGCTGGTTGGTAATTCAAACAATGAATTTCAAACTCTTAATCAAACCACTACATTGATAGATAGAAAATCTAAAACAACTCTAACAAGGAGGGGTTTCCTTCAACTATTGGTTCTAAAATATGAGCACTTTGGAGTTGATTCAGAGGCTGAAAGGGTTTTTTTTTTCAAATCAGAAAAAAATGAAGTAGGCAAATCCGTGAACCAACAAATTAAATTGGTGTGGCCTCAAGTTTAATTTAAAAAATCTAATGTTTACACTTGTGGAAAGTTGATCTCCAAATTCTAAATTTAAGGAGATATTGTTTTGAAGACAGAATGTTTGTCTTGCAGGTTCTTGAGACCAGAGACTGCACAGGGAATCTTCCTCAACTTCAAGAGGCTACTGGAGTTCAACCAGAACAAGCTGCCATTTGCAGCTGCGCAGATAGGGGTCTCTTTTAGAAATGAGATCTCACCACGCTCTGGGCTGATCAGATGCAGGTAAGAGTTACTTCATTCAGAGGGGCTGTCAGAAAGTTGTACTTAGTAGTTTCTTTGGGAGTTAAACCACAGGCAGAGGTGGATGTTATATAGGCCACAAATTACCAGTCATAGATTTGTTGAAAATTTTTAGCACATTGCTAGGAATACTGGGTGCATGTCCAAATTTGGAGTGCACCCATTTTTTTTCTGTGGGTGCTACCGTGCACCAGTACAAATATTTTCATAGGTTTACGTATGTAAAGATGTTAAATGTTTAGTAGTATACAGCATATTCTTAGCATCTAAGTCTCAGAAAAATAATAAAATCATTGTTATAGCACTTTTTATTAGAAATGAAACATACATTTTGTAATTAGCTTTTGCTGACATTCTACTTAATATATTATTTTATATGGTGCATCCCAACAAAATTTTGTGCAGCACCCAGTTTTTTTTAGTTTGGGTGCACCAGTGTACCTATTCCCAAAAATGAATTTTGAGCCCTGACTCTTAGAGTTTATTGTCCAAACAGTACCCGTGCAATCGCAGCCTTCATACGGCTGAATTGATGCAGGGTATCACATGATCAATACAAAGCACAACAATTACAACAATCAAATAATACACATGATACACATATTATTTTTGTGGAACTGTTGCAAGGGTCTGTGCGGCTGCCATTCGGCGCCACAAGGTGACCTCAATACGGCTTTCCCCAACCGAAGTTAGGTACCCATTCACACCTGGGTGGAGTGAGGAAAGTCGTGTTAAGTGCCTTTCCCAAGGGCACAATGTCGGGGCGCATGTTCAGACATGTACCGGGTACGACTCTGAATCGAACCCGGGTCTCCCCGGTTCATAGTCGATTGCTCTAACCACTACACCACCCGGCGCCGAGCTGATGTTTCTTGTTGTTTGGTCTGTACAGAGAGTTTCCCATGGCAGAGATCGAACATTTCCTGGACCCTGAGGATAAGGACCATCCCAAGTTCTCCTCCGTGGCTGACCTGAAGGTCACCTTGTACTCCGGCAAGATGCAGGTGTCTGGACAGTCTCCAGCTGTCACCACGCTGGGGGAGGCTGTCAAACAGGTAGCAATCAATCAAATCAAATGCAGGATTTCCTGGTAATGCCTGATAAGGTATATGTACATCAGGGCTCGAAATTAATGGAAAATAAATAACATCAGAATGTCAGCCCTTCTTTACTTGATCATAGTGATGCATACCTAAACTCAATTTTAGGTTCAGGTTTGGATTCAAGTCCAGAGGTTTAGGTTCAGTTCTGGACTTGTAAGTCCGGACTTAAACCCATGACATACACAAAATTGCATGTTGGCAACCTTGCAATGTTGTCTGGGTGAAACTTGGCCACATAACATGGAGGCCGGTACTTGACGATGCCCGATGGCAATGTTTTCTTCATTTTGCAGCAAAGATTTTGCAATCTACGGAAGGTTTTAGGAGGTTTGGAAAGAAAAGGGGTATGTGAAATGGTCTTTTATGGTAATAAGTCCGGACTCGGTTCTTGACTATTAGGTTTTTTTGGACTTGAACCTAAACATTCTTACAAGTCCGGATCCAAGTCCAGTGAACCGGTATGCATCACTACTTGATCAGGCACGCTTCCTGGCTTTTGACTCCGGAAATGCCCCCCAAATTGCAGCAAAATGTCTCCCCAAACTCTGCAATAGTATACTAGTAGTGTGCCTGGAAGTCAAGCAAAATAAAGTTGACTTCAAGTTTTTGTCATACATACTTCCCGAAAAACAGGTTGGGACAATTCATCCTCAGTTTGAGGCAATTGAAATTTATTTTTGGGACAGTGCTGGGACAATAGGGAAAAAAGTTAATTTAGAGGCCTGTACATGAAGTTGTATGGATACCTGACTCAATACTAAAGAAGTTTGATATAAGGAAAGTGTTTATTTTTTGTTACTTCCACATAGACTTGCTTTGTAACCTCCAATTGCAATATTCAGTTGGAAATGCAGTCTGCCTCTTCACACCAATGCTAGCAACCAGTCATCAATTGTTGACCATTTTTGTTGGTTCAAAATTCAAAGTCAAATTTTTCTGCTAGGGCATTTTTAAAGTGCCTGACATGGCTATATTTAAATGTTCTTATGTTTACCTTCGCAGAAGGAAAACAGTTACGTATTGTTTTTGCTCTGTTTCTTCTTCTTCAAACACGTCAATGACCTGGACCAGACGTCTGTCACCATGGTAACTGGTGCTGTAGCAACTCCATGTGGTGTTGAGTTACATTATGTTGCAAGTTGCAGGACAGTGCTAGACTGTCACAACATTTATGAACATCTTTGAGTATGAATTAACAGAGCAATGACGTTAGTTTGTTAATCTAGACCATGTGAAGGTAAACATTTCTTTCTAGTTATTTTTTTGTCTTATACAGTTATTCTACTATGTTTCTAGGGAACGATTGCGAACGAGTCGCTGGGTTACTTCATGGGGCGGATCTTCCTGTTCATGGTCAAGGTCGGCATCCACCCCGATAAGCTGCGCTTCCGCCAGCACATGGAGAACGAGATGGCTCACTATGCCTGCGACTGCTGGGATGCTGAGTGTAAAACATCCTATGTGAGACAATTTTCTTCTGTCTATGATTCTAAATGCCTTGTGTTAATGTTTATTAGACAACAACAATATAGCTTGAATTCAGCATAATCTGTAGCCTATTTTGCATACTATAATGTTGCAACTTCAATCACAAATTGTCAGGTAGCTTTATTTTTTTTGTTTACCTGACTTAATCTTACTTGTAGAATTTTCAACCTTAGATGTAGCTTGCAAGTTCATCCGTGTGCACACTTAGTAGATGTCATTCTGAAACAGGTTTGAGCTGAAATTTCCAACATTGGATGCTTAAAAATTTGGGTAAGACCTTTTTTTCTGTAGGAAATTACAGTTCAAACCTGTTTCAGACTGACTTAACCTGATTTACAAAGAGAGCATAAATAGTATTTTAAGTGCAAAACCAATAACTTTTTTTCTTGTTTCAGGGTTGGGTGGAGTGTGTGGGCTGTGCAGACAGGTCGTGTTTTGACTTGTGTCAGCACAGTGTGGCCACCAAGACGGCTCTGTGTTACTCCAAACCCCTTCCAGAGCCCATCATGGTGGATGTGACGGAGATCGAACCCCAGAAGAGCGTCCTCGGTAAGACGCTGAAGAAGGATGCCAAGCCTGTGACAGAACACCTGCAGTCACTGGGAGAAGAGGACATCTTGCAGCTGGAGAAAGTACTGCAGGACAAAGGGTGTGTTTTTTATTTGATTACACCAGCCATTCTGTTGTTTGTTGCTCCTCTTTGCTACTGTAGTACCCTATATGCTTCTTTTTGCTTCTTTTGAGTAGCGTCTCTGGTACCGTAAGGCCTGGTTCACAGCACCCCCAGGAAAGCCTCATTATACTATTATAATGACCTACTTTAATATTACAATGAGCAAAGTGCTAGGGAAAAGGCTTGAATATGCAGCAGGCCAGGCGATAATTGCACCCCACTGTCCCGCCCCGTGTTTTGCATTTGTTTACTGCCTAATTTCACACCTCCTTCCCAAGCCATTGACTTCGGTCAATTCTACTCTCCCAGTTAAAAGGAAATTACTCGGTAAAAAAGTCATTTGAAAGTAATTTGAAGTAACACAGAGCTCTGATACTAGTATGTAATACTGAAAAGTTTGAAAAAGCAGGAAATGTTGTAACATTGTAACATAAGAGACTTTTCTTCAAACTAGAAGGTTACGGGGAATAAACTGAGTATATACAAGGCCATTCTTATCTTCTTGTATCAAGGTCAGGACCGTACGCGTTGTATATAAACCTAGGCATCTCCAGTCTCTTTGATTCGCAAAAGATGCAGTTTATCAAAGTTCACGAAAGTCACAGTTATTAAGTAGAAATGTTCTATAACTAGACCAATACTGTTAAAAAAACTAAACGACGAAAGATTATATCTTGATTTCTCATCAGAGAAATTAAACCCATAACCAACATTTACGCTGATAATTCTTGTAAATTACAAACACCCTACTTATGTGCCCAAAAAGCTCAGTCATGATTCAATTGTCAAACGTTCCTTTGTCCTTTAATCTGGTAAAATGACAATGCAGGCAAACTTAACTACGCGTGGGTACACCATGTTATGTCTTGTTTAGACAACTCAATGAATTATTATATTCTTCGCCTGCATCTGCTTCATTTGGAGGATTCTGTACATCGCGACCAAGATAGGAGGTTTTCCGAAGTTTATTGTTGCAACCAAATTTACTTGGTACTTGTGTCTGTTCTTGGCCTGTTAGATATCAGAAATGGTTTGAAAAGCCAAGATGGTTTACATATTCATACAGGGTATGAAACTATGTGCTAGTGTATTCTCGTTTGGAAAAAAAAAAAACTTTAACTTAAGTGACACAAAAACTGTGTAAATTCGAAAGATACCATGATGCTGTATTTGAAATGTAGCTTGTAGAATACCAGATTAACAAGAATGAGAAACATAAAGAGAAAGAAAGCATTTGTTTCACCAGAAATGTAACAATAGATATTTGTAGCATGTTTGTCCAAGCCAGACAACACAATACACATCGCCATATCAGTGGCTTTTCGTCTCGCTTTAGGAAAAGTCATTCGGGATAATATAAATTACAATTACTAGTCACACATTGGTTCACCTACACAGCTCAGAATTACCTAGTTGGAATAACCAAATCCCCCTCCACACACACACAAAAACACACAATGTCACAAAATCACCCTGGCGGTGGATTTCATGTGAAATGTGTTTATCCAAGAAATACCCCCCCCCCATGTCTAGAAGGTCTTCCCCTCTGTCAGGAGCGGGGCGGGAGCGAAGTGTTCATTTTCAACATTTGTTTCAGCAAGGAGGTTTAAACTTCCTTGTTTAGATCAAGCAGGTTTACAACAGAAAACTTCCTCGTTTGGACCAACTCCTTGTTTGGATGAATAATGGCTGGGTCCAACGCTGCCCTCTATGCATAATTAAAAATAATTGCACATAATTGCCTCCAAAGAGGGTGCTAAAGACAACAAATCTATTGACAGATAATCAGCTGTCAAGTTGATTGATAGTGCTGGATTAGCTAGGGCTAGAAAAATTACAGAATTCAAACATCTAAACTTTAAAGCGTGAGACCCCACCTTTCCACACTACACACAAAGTTGATATTAGGTGCAAACAAAGCGCGACGAGTTGGTGTATATGAATCGGTTTTCGGAAAACTCATTCAATCAACACATACTTAGCTACGAATCGATAATGTCATGGCTACCCCCTAAATTTCTGTCAAAACGAACAAGATTTTGATATTTCTTTACATTCAAAAAGTATTCTTATTTTCTGAAAACCGATTCTTATACTACACAGCTGCCCCCATATCCTCTAAAAATTTCAGTATTCCTGGCCGTCGGGAAAGGTGGGGTCTCAGCCCATCTTTGTAAAATCGAATACCACATTTCCTAATCAATAATGAAAATATTATGTAGATTTTCTAGACTTGTTCAGCATTTTTGAAAAGCAAGATGTCTTGTCTAACCGTCTACCAAATTTCATGTTATTTTGTTGCTTCAAAGTCGAGATATTTACGATTTCCCTGGCAGCACTGTATTATGTGTATTACCCCTATTCTTCTCGGCACCAGGCCTTACGGTACCAGAGGTGTGTAGTCTAGTGGTTAGCGACCCTGTCTCTGGACCAAGAGGTTAGGAGTTTGAATCCGGGCTTTTGTAACTCACTAGACATGCACGCTACTGGAAAGGGTCGCAGACTCGCAGTCCCTTGGACGGAACGTTAAGCTGTGGTCCACTGTTTATTGCGATTGTCGGAAAGAGCTAGGGGAATTTTCTTAGTACAATGAACCCGTAAATACTGTACATAGCATCTGTCTTCTTTGTCACAACCAGTGGGAGATTAGCTCTTCCGTGAGCTAAAACTGTATCGAGATCAATTTCTTTCTAAGACACATTTGGCAGTTGAAAACCTGTGAATTAACATTACATTCCACCCGTCTTGTCTTTGTCTACAGGGAGGCTGTTGTGAGTGTAAAGGGGAAAGATTTCTCCATCAAACCTGATATGATCAAGGTCAAACGATATCAGAAGAAGAAGTTTGGTAAGTGTTGAGTAACTTGTCCAGCTGGTATTGTGCTTCATTAGCTTGCTGAATTCACGCTTACTGCTGACTTTTTCAACTAAGGAAGCAATTTTAGCATGTTGGGGAACTACAATGTGCAAGACCAGTAGCTCCTAGTACACTTTATGAATGTAAGTTGAAAGATTTCTTTTGTTGTTGTTGTTGTTATTAAACAGTTGAGGAAATCACCCCTGGAGTGATTGAGCCGTCGTTTGGTATCGGCCGAGTCATGTACGCCGTGTTGGAGCACAACTTCCGCATGCGAGAGGGGGATGAACAGAGAACGGTCAGTACAGATTCAAACTGTTTCTAATTACATATGTTTACTCAGTATAATGTCTTAAACGATTATTCCATGAGGCCACACTGATTAAATGTTATGGATGACATCCACGCATGCATTAATTTTCGCCTGCTCTAAAAAAACACCTCCAAGTCCCTGTGTACTACAGCAAATCCACAATACCAGCTTTGTATTCCTTCGGTTTAGCAGAATTTGTTTTGGCTGGAGTTTTCTTTATTTACCCGCACACACTAGTTTGGTGGTCTTCAGAGGATGTCATCCATAAAATTAAGTCAGTGTGGCCTAAATATGTTTAAAGAAGTTTCCTAGATAGCTAATATTGGGTGGTATGTAGCTTTAGAGAATGAATATGCTATTTCTATTAAAATAAAGTTTGATTAATTTCATTGGAAAGAATGCATGACTTTATTGTTCAGCATACACCTTGCACTCTCAAAGATAACATTTGTGTTGTCTCCACAGTTCTTCTCCCTGCCTGCCATGGTGGCCCCCTACAAGTGTTCAGTCCTTCCTCTCAGTGGGAATGAAGAGTTTGTTCCCTTTGTTAAGCAGCTCTGTAAGTAACAAGACCCTGATGTGTCACAAACATCAAGTGTAAACTCTCTTTGGTAGCCCTAGAATACATGTTTATTCGTTATGTGTTAATTAAAAATTAAAATGATATGTAGTTAGAATCATTCACCATTATTCTTGTTCTGCTTCCACTTGTGTTATTACATAAGGTAACTATTGTTTTACACCGTATGATTTTCAATTGAAAAATCAACATAATTCAGAAGGTCATCATAATGTCACTTCTGCACAGTTGGTTGGAATGAATTAAGTTAAATTTCAAGTTAAAAAGATGCAAATACTGTTGTTTATAAGACAGAGCATACACATGTACATTTTGAAAAAACATGTGAAAAATGTACTTCTTTGTTATCCTAAGCCATTATTTCCCATATGTTCCTTTCTGACTTTCTCTATGATGTTTCTGTATGCTCAGCTGACTCCCTGACCAGAGCAGACATGTCCCACAAAGTTGATGACTCCTCTGGGTCCATCGGCCGCCGCTACGCCAGAACAGACGAGATCGCCATTCCGTTTGGGATCACGGTCGACTTCGACACAGTAAACAAGGAGCCTTCAACCGTCACGCTGAGAGAGAGGGACTCCATGGGACAAGTTAGATTACCAGTAAGTCACTGTTGTGTTGAGGCCTAGGAAAAAATGTGTTTCCTGTTTCCCCGACCGAACCTAGAAAAAAATGTTGCCCCTAGCTTTTTTTGTAGGTCCCTGCTAGGGACATGAATTTTTCAAGCTGATCAAACCTTTTCTAGCTCCAGAATCTTACACCTGAGTGATGTAATGTACAATCAGTTTTCCAACATTGACATTGAAAATAGAGGTGTGCTCATACAAGTTTTGTTAAACTGTAAACTGTATAACTGTAAAAAAAGATAATCCATACCTACCGTTTTCAGGACTGAAACAGGACACACAACAATTTTTTCCTAGGCCTGACATGACTATGTACTTGAGTTGTATAATTTTTGTCCTACATGTAGGAGTTTTTTTGTCAAAAGGTTGGTTGGTTACCATCTCTACTGTAGCAAAAAATGAATGTACTTTTTACCCTATTTATATTTTTAAAAAAAAGGAGTTCTGCTGTATTATACTTGATCTTTGCCTAGCAAACATAATATTTCATATTTTTGGTAACACCTGATAGCTATAGGGAGACTATAGCTATAGGCTATTTCAAGTGTGCTGCTGTACTTGCTTTCCTCCCCTTTCATGAATTGAACTGTTACTTTCAATCTTTGCTAGTGTTGTAATCAATAGTGTTGTAACAAAACAATTTTTTATTTTCTCCCAGATTGACGACGTACCTCAGGTTGTATCGGACCTCTCGGCAGGAAGAATCAGCTGGGCAGATGTAGAAAATAAATACCCCAAGTTCCAGGCCCAGGAAACATCACGATCCGACGTCTAGTCATCAAATGACTGACATTTTAGGCAAAAATAAAACGTGGCAACAGAGGACTTATAAGGAATTTTTACAATTCACCCGGCATGACAAATTCGCCCGGTTGGAATTGAATTATGTAATATAAAACTAAAATGTTGAAGTACTGTAATACGAGATGTCTACAATTTGACTGATCCTATCTACATTATCTACCGGTGGTTAAGATTTGTATGACACCAAACTGATTCTTAGCATTATCTACATAGCAGATTTTGTACACTCACTCCAGACTAGACAGAAGGTGAATAATACTAGTACTTTGGCTAGCAGCATGTTGAAGGAAAAAAACAGTTGAAGTGCCTGAGTGTGATTTCTCATACAGTATGCACATTACGCTATACAGTGTATGATGCACTGGCTAGAGTAAATACATTTCAGCAAGGTGGCTACAGGCAAGTGCTGATCTGTTCTATTCTTCTTTCAGTCCTGACATCCATGTTAACTTAATATATCCCCAGAACATCAACCCACTCGCAAGTTATCCGCATTGTCTTCTAAATTTTGTGACAAATGAATAAAAGAACAAAATGACAGTAGGATTGGATTGGAAATATGCAAGTTGCCCTATACTCATTTGTTATGTTTAAAGTGATTGGATAGAGTATGTTGGGACCGGGAGATGTCACATCACTAAATCTTATTTATTTCTAATCATGAAAATAGATTTTCTACGGAAAACTAACATATGTTAGGTACTTACTACACTTTCAATTTTGTACCTGATGTTGCATGTTGTAACATTACTTGAACTTCAACCCAACATGATAATTGTACATCTATAACAGTTGCACAGTTTTTCTTATCATAGTGCAGAAAATACATGAACAAGTTCTTGGCTTGTCTCCTGTCAACACCTTTGAGTAAAACAAACCATGATTTGTCCTCAACTCATCGTGAAGAAAGATTGGTTTGATACCCTGACTTTGCAGTCTTCCTATGGTGGAAAGATCTTACCATGCATGACTTGAGTTCATTTTATTAAAATTACTACTGTCACTTAACCATGACCTTCTGATCATTGTATTTTCTTTTGAAATTTTGTCCATTTGTCAACCTGCCTCATTACGCAAAGGTAATACACTAGTATGCATGATCTACAGTGAAAATTGTAGAAGTCGCATTTTTTTTCAATCAGATTTCCTTTGCAATGCAAGTTACACACTTGGCTGCACTTGTTTGACTGGACGCTAGGTGCCGTCCTTGGTGCTGAAAACTACCCCACATTGGAAAGCGTACTGCAATTCGATTGTGGAAAGACAAAAACCTCAAAGATGTCTGTGAAAAATGACATTACTGCCATTCTCTCCCTCCTTGGCGTTCGGATGCTACAGCGGTCTTCACATAAATGAAATTTTAACGTAATACTCGTGTGGTGCCCCCATTTTGTCAGCGTGCAACACTGCCCCCCTCCCCCACTCATCTCAGGTCTTGTTCCCGAAGTCCTCTGCGCATAGGGCACTGAAATCGTGCTTTTCAATTTCAAATTGAACGAATACGTATTAGCTGTGCACGGAGAATAAAAACAAATCACAGTCGGTCGGGGTTACAGTATAAAGCAACGCGTTTTATTTCCAGTTTTCGTAGGCACTGGTGAATTGCGGGTGTGCCAAGAGATATCAAACAATACGAAGTCTGGTGATTGCCATTAAAGTACATCTATTCCTCAAACAAACCGAACGTCTCACAGTGCTTAAAGATGTATAAACAAGAATCAACTTTTCATGGTTAGCCCACCCGGGCTCGTCATAAATTTAAGCTAAGCTGATCAATCAAAATACACATTTGACACGGCTGTATCATGGAGTGAATTGCAATTGCAGTAAATTGCTCGCACACAATGTATTTGGCACGGTAATATGTTGCGATAGCCATAAATTTTTCGCCCTCCACTAGCCGCGGCGACTGTTGCAGGGCTTCTCTTGCTTACATGTAAAAGACTGCAAGCAAGAGAAGCCCTGCAACAGTCGCCACGGCTAGCCCTCCACCAGATTCGAACTCCGATACCGAACCTCTGTTACAGTCGCATTATCATCCACAGTGTTGTACAAAAGTACGGTTGTGGCTATGATACAGCTATACGTTGAAATGCTGCGAAAACGAAATGATTCACCAAAATTAAACATGCCTACTATTCAGTTGTCTACACATATTTGTCAATATTTAAAATATCAACAGTAGCTTTCTTCCAGATTCGATAGCGGTAACGTTACGTCTCAAAACGATTTTTAGAAAATCGTCAACAGAATGCGAGCATTGCACATAGTCAAAGTGCTCAGTGTCCATTAGCTGCATAATATGTGCATCACAATGGCACCTGTCTTACATTATGGTGAAATTCGTGCGTCAAAATGAAATGAAAACAATTCAAAGCGTGTATTGCCACACTTCATTACTAAACAGTATGATTTTTTATCAATACAAACGTTTGGACGTCAGTCCAGTCAGTATATACCGTCACCAACAAGAATGAAATACCTTATTTCATTGAAAGCTACTAAAATCTTTACTTTCTGAACGAAAGTTTGTTCAGTTCAAAGAACTAATAATTATAACAGTGTTCGTCTATCGTCATTTGTTTGGGTTCATAAAGGACCTCAGTATAATCTGTACATGTATATATTTACGTAAACTAAGCATCTGAACTGACTTATGAAAATCAAAGTATGTTGATAGATTCATTGTTCTTTTGCTCGCCTCGAATGCAAGAAATCCTCGTCGTTTATCGCATGATAAACAACAAAAATATATACGTACGCAAAGTAACGCGATTCAAACTTCATCGTTTCCAAAAAATGCGGAATTCGTGCTACTCAGACAACGTCGACCAGGACGCTGTGACAAAAAAAATTGAAAGTTGAGAAAATCGTCTCAATTTCACCAAATACCGGAACGTCTTTGCTAATCATGTGCCTCAGTTAATGCCATTCCAAAATGATACATTGATAATCACTGAACACTTTTGTGTACTTCTTATGTTTTCCAAATAACGCAAGTACGTGCACTATCTGCCATACTTTATTCGTTGGGCATGGCATATCATCAATCAATCTTTTTGATCGATCGACGATTTAGAGAATGTTTGATCCCTATCCGCTATTTCGATAAACCATAGCGTTATCAATGTATATATTGTGGTAGCCTCTACCAGGCTTCAGCTGCAGGAGACGACTTGAGAGAGTAGAAATTGGCCCAAAAGAGAGATAAGATGCTAGAGAGTACAGTTCGGATGCGGACCAACTCCCCTGGCATGTTATCTATGAGTTTGGCCAAATTTTACAGCCGCCTCCCGAAGCCCGTTAGAGGCTGATATTGCGGTTCCTCAGAATACGAACACGATCAGACAGTGTCCCAGTACTCTATGAGATACGTCGGGTAACACTGGTCACTGTCGAAGATAACAAAAATCGTCGGTTCGGCGGCGCTGTTCGCACACGAGTCGTACAGCTCACCGTTCGGGTCTTCGGGATCTATCGGGGGCGGTCGGCGCATTTTCGAGCTGCCGACGGTGTGCGAACCTACCAAAACGTTGGCGAGGAAAATAAAGTGCGACCCCTTGGTGTCTGGGGAAGTGTACCTGTGGCTATAGGACGCCTGGACGGCAAAGTAACTGCCCTGTCCGAACGCCGTGGCGTTTTTGCCGCAGAGGCGCCAGTCGAAGTTCTGGCGGCATATCCCGTCCACGATGTCGGGCTCGGTGCCGTGGAAGAGCGTCCGCTCGTCCACTGTCGCCTGTGCAGCAGCGCCACCTGTCCTGTAGAGGGAGGACTGCGTGTGGAGGCGTGGTCGCATATACTCCTTCTTCCTGTGAAATATGAAAAGATAAAGACGATTTAGAAAAAAAAAATCAGTTATGACTTCTGCCGCGGAGCACTACCTCTCCCAGGACAACCATTTCTTACTTTGACCTTTTTTAGAATCGTAAACAAGTATACTGAAAATGGAGTAAGACATACTCACACATTGGGGTTAATAAGTCTGACGCTTAAAATTCTTATGTATGACTAAATGCCTTAAATTCACCCCAAGCCTGTATTTGCACAAGCTTTCTCGGCCGGAGGTTAATGACCCCCACAAACCTTCGGGGCGGGTGGCCGGCATGCGCAGGAGCGTGGTTTGGTCAGGCTAAATTGACCCCTATATAGATTACATGTAAAGCAAGGTTGAGCCTGTTTTGCTACGTTTTGACCGTAATGTTAAGTCGCTGTGAAGTTTGGTAAAACAAACATTAGATATTTGGTATATTTGTAGTTTTACAACAGACAACGAATCTATCGTCAGAGAGTCTAAGATGCACTTCAGATCTTTGCTCCACTTTAAAAGCAATATTATGTAAAATTTTGGTGCCAAAACTGTGAATATAAATAATTGAAAATTTCTCATCTATATTGTCATTTTCAATAACTTTCAACATATTAGCGTCGCTTTTATATTTCGCTATTTATTTTATTTCGCTTTTCCGGCGACTCAGTACAGCGCGAGAATATAAGTTGCGCCAGGCCCGCTGTTATTTTAGGAGGTTTCTAAAAAGAATGTAAACAAACAGCGGTAAACAAATTGAATTTAAACCGAGGAGTTGGCAGTTTTCCAACACGTTTTTACTCCCCAAATGTCATTATGAACCCAGGTAGGCTTATAGCGCAAGAAAATGTGTAAAACAACGATGTTTAAAATAGTGAAAATCGTACATAATATCGCTTTAAAGGCATTCAGTGCAGTTTTCAGGGCTTGGAAACTCAATTTTTCTCAAAGCCAGTATTCTAGTCATTTATCTACATACTGAGTTGAAACCACACTATCCCAATGTACCCTCATGGAGCAAAAATTCCCCAAATTCTGACGGAAAATGGTTATTGAAAGGGCCCTTGGCTGATTTTTAGGGTACCACTCAGAAAATAAAGGACTCATCTTGGGGCTTGTTTCTGCAGTTTTAAAAGCCCAAAGTATGAAATACTGACTCAAATGAGCTGATGTAAAACACTAAGCTTAGTGTCAATATCACAAATTAAAGATTGCCTTATTCATAATATTTTTAGTTTTGCTGCCCTAAAATCGCATTGGATGCCTTTAAGCTTAAAAAAAGGTAACACCGGCAAAGGCCAAACCTGTTGTACTTCTCCCACAGGAAGGGGTTCTGTACCCTCTCTATCCTGACGATGACCTTCTCCTCGCCCATGGTCTGTCGGAAGAGCATCTCCACCACGCGGAACTCGGGACAGAGGCGGGACAGGGGCCGGCGCACGAAGTCCTGTCCCGCCGGCATGGGCGTCCAGGTGGAGGGCAGGGCACACAGCTGCTGCGGTTTACTGCAAAATTGCAATGATTTGATATAGAAATATAATATCATATCTGATGGATGCATTCTCCATATAGTAAATAATTCCTAGCCTGCAGCACTAGTACTTTTGTCAACAAGGAACAATTCCTGCAGAACTAGAGTACTTTTATGAACAATTTGACTCGAAAAGGTCGACTTTTAAGATTGCATTAAATGATTAAAAAAACTAACATATTCTTGCCTGAAATCTTGTGTACTGCACTTCCCCGTGCTTTTTACCAGACACACAGACAATTAGCCTGGGTGCCATCCTCCGTAGTATTCGCCCGCTCCCAAATATCGCTAGCTTCCATGGGGTAGCTAGCGACATTATAGCGGCGAATACAACGGAGGACGGCACCCAGGCTAACAGACAACAGCAATTAAAGTAGAATTCGTAGTAATGGAAAGTATGAAACCACCTTGTCTTTGTGTCCACCTCAGCCCGTGACACGAACACCGGCCGGCGGCGGACGTCCCGCCTGGTCAGGAAGTGCGGGTTGAGGTTCTGCTGGTACATCCCCGCGAACTCCAGCCGGTAGCGGTGCGGGGGGACCTCGAACATCACCGTGGGCTGGCCCGTCAGGTATGCCTGCTCGATGTCGTCTGAGCTGGGACCAGCGTCCGTACCGGTCTGAGGAAATAAATGATTGAATGAGTGAGTGAGTGAGTGAATTAGTGAGTGAGCGAGTGAGTGAGTGAGTGAATTAATGAATGAGTTAGTGAGTAAATAAATGAATGAGTGAATGGATGAGCGAGTGAATGAGTGAATGGATGAGTGAGTGAACGAATGAGTGAGTGAATGAATGAATAGATGGATGGATGGAGGAATGAATGAATGAATGAATGAATGAATGAATGAATGAATGAATGAATGAATGAATTAGTGAGTGAGCGAGTGAGTGAATTAATGAATGAGTTAGTGAGTAAATGAATGAATGCGTGAATGAATGAGCGAGTGAATGAGTGAATGGATGAGTGTGAACGAATGAGTGAGTGAATGAATGAATAGATGGATTGATGGATGAATGAATGAATGAATGAATGAGTGATGAATGAATGAATGAATTAGTGAGTGAGCGAGTGAGTGAATTAATCAATGAGTTAGTGAGTAAATGAATGAATGCGTGAATGAATGAGCGAGTGAATGAGTGAATGGATGAGTGTGAACGAATGAGTGAGTGAATGAATGGATGAATGAATGAACGAAAGGATAAAATGGCTGAATACACGAATGGATATCAAAAGGTATAAAAGCTTATCTAATATAATTTACCTGGAAAATAATGACAACGAGTGCATGATTCACATGAATACAAGTGCACAACCGTACTGAACCTGTAGTGACGCAACATGTCAACGAAGAACAGAAACATTCATGTCAGACTCATTAATTTCATTTCAGTTGTTCTGAATGTTTATCAGTTGCCAAAGTAATATTCAAGCTACTTCTTTAGAACGCAGTTTCTTTCATGCCACCATATGATTAGTCTAGAGGCTCCACTGAACTATGTACAGATGACAAGCTTCAAAAGTAAGTCTCTTTGTTCTCCCGGATCAAAGATCACGCACATGAATAAAAAATTAATACCTGTAATTTATTTCCATATTCCACCCAGGCACTTGATTGGTCCCTCCAATACCACACCCATCTGGTTGCTAGGCGACCGGCGGGGTCTAACTTGGATGACGTGGTGCTCAGGCGGCGGACTTTGACCCTTGCCGGCTGGACGGTCATGTGTTTGAAGTCTATCAACCAGTTCTCTCTACACAGATGTGTTCAAACAATAAACACACGTCAACGTACGTCAAAAAGGACTAGCCTCTACCAGGATTTGGGAGGCGACTGGAAAGAGTAGAAATCCGCCAAATAACATGCCATGATAACATGCCAGGGGAGTTTTTCTGCTGGGAGTACAGTTTGCCGCTCCCGAAGTGTTCTCCCCAGCAGAACTCCCCTGGCATGCTATCTCTCTGTATTTGGCCGATTTCTACTCTTTCCAGCCGCCTCACGAAGCCTGGTAGAGGCTATACAAGCACGTCAACACGACAAATTCCACACAACCGGCTTGGTCTCAAACATTCCGGTACAACAATATATTACTGTGAAATGGTTTATTGTTAAAAAAAAAAGAAAAGAACCATTTCACAGTCTTCCGACTGAATTACACGCACCTTTACAAGTTCTTAAAATCACAGTTCTGAATTACACTAATTAATAAAAATTACTCTGAATTACAAACAAAATTCAACAACAACTTACATTTATACAATCATAACAATATGCATCATGATTGTAAGAAGTGCTTATGTCAAGTCCAAGTATTTGGAAAGATAAATAATTGATATGGTTTTTGATATGATAAATAATAATATAATAAAGAAATTTGATATGATAAATAATATGTTTGATATGATAAATAATAAATTTGATATGATAATAAATATCTGGTAATTTGAATGTGATATGCTAAACAATTGCATTGCATTTCATTATTTATCAATTTGAAACGAAAATATCACAAAATATCATATATATGTGTGTTTCTCAGTACAATTTATGTAATTGGGCAAAACTTGACAATTAACATGAAGCAAACGGAGAAACGGACGAACTTACCCGACAGCTTTGACCTTGGCGCCATTGTTGCTTGGGTCAGAGAATGACCTCTCCAGTCGTTCATTCATGGTTTCATTGAAATCCTGCCACGCGTTAGCCGGGAGCCCCGCGTCTTTGTATTGCCACAGGTAAGGTGTACCGACATGGTGTTTCCGACACTGGTTGCCCTTGGAACACTTATCCAGAATAAAATCTTCACATATGTGTGCCTCTGTGTTCAAGACAAATGTTCTGCGGCCTGGTTTCGTACTTGTTTTGGTCTCCGTGGGACTAGGAATGGACTTTGGGTTGCCGTCTTGATTTGTTGTCGTTGTTTCAACTTTTGGCGGGGGAGGATCAAAACACACCCACAAGACCTTGATGACTGACCGGGATTCCATTCCGGTCATCTTGTAGTTTTCCAGGACGGTTTTGGTGTGCTTGGTGTCAAGGCTACTCTCGTGGTGAAGTTTGCACCGACTTCCCGATGTGCATTTTTCCAGCACGAAGTTCGCACAGACATGCAGGCGATGGCATGTATCTTTCTCTGCACAGTTCTCTTTGTTGTAAGCCTCGCAAACCTCAGGACTGGACAGACGGATGACTTTGATGACTTCGTCATCGTTCAGATCGCTCAGACGGTATTTTCGGATGTTTTCTCGAGCCTGGGTGTTCTTCAAGTCGTGTTGGTAGCTACAGGTACCGTCTTTGGGACACCTTCCTTCGACGAACTTCTTACACAGGTGGAAATACTGGCAGAACTGGCGCGTGCAGCCCTTCATGGGGTTGTTGTACTGATGGCACAGCCGGGAGCGAGGGGAGAGGACGGAAACCATCTCAACGTCGTCTGCACTTTTGAATATGCGGAAGAAGTGCGGACGTTGCTTGATCCAACGTCGGGCGTGAACACCTTCTGGGAACAGTTCGCTGTTAGTCAAAACATCATTTAAAGGGGCAGTTCCGCCGTGCGCTTGACAAAGGTGGGTAAAGACGACTGTCTCTTGTGGTTGTTTAGTAACAGTCTGGACGTCTAGGCTGCCAAGGCTGTGTCCCATTCTGCCCATACGCGCCATATTACCGTGCCCCTTGCCTTTTCCGTTCAGAGTGTCCGCTCTGGAGTCATTGTGGCTGTTTGGGGTAGAGGAAAGATCCTGCATACTCTGTGACATATTACCTGTAACCGTCAGCATTCTGTTTGTCGAGTACATCAGAAGGGTGGCGTTGATCAAATATTTTTGCTCGAGATTTGGGGATAAGAAATGGAGACGCAGGACTCGTTCGTTGTGCCTTGTACCGAAGTCGTGCGGATATCTGCAGTCTTTTCTGAAACATCCTGACTTGACGAAGTCCTTGCATATGTGTAGATAGGGACAGGAGTTCTGGTCAGGGCACCCGGCTCTCACGTGGGCTTCGCAAACATGGGGGAAGGAGGTACACAGAACTTGGCGCACGGTATCCTGTGGTAGATTTCCCAGGCCGCATCTCTCTACCAGCCTTCTGTTCTGTGGCTCTTGGAAGGTGTGCGAAAAGCGACACCTGTTGCCGGACTCGAACCTACAGTGGCCCGCTATGAACCCCCGGCACACATGCAGGTGCTTACACGCAGTCCCGCGCGCACAGCCCCCGTGCAGGTAGTCATAACACAGGTTAACGTTCACGATGGCGGAAACCACCTCGGTCTGCCCGGAGGGACCCCGCCTCGTCACGAACCTTCCCGGTAGTTCCGACAGCCACTGGTCCAGGGGCCGGCCGTTCTGTGGAGAGTACCCCATGTTCCTGAGCTCTGACACGGAAACCGTGCCGCCTCTCTTGTAAATGAAGTAGCGAACATCGCTGTCCTGGGTCTTGGGGTCACTGGCATGCTCACGTCCGCTCCTGGACCGTAATTGATTTCTCGGTCGAACAGCATACATGTCTCGCCGGGGGTAACGGTAACAAACACGTTCTTATACACGTAGCAGGTGGCTGGCTGTTTTCTGCCCCCAAACCCCCGATCACACTCACACAGGTGTCTGGTAAAAAATGAAAACCTACATCGCGAGCCGTCGCGACGCACACCCGCGTCCTAAGGTCGTGCAACGCCGTTCAAAGTTCACACCTCCACGGCAAGACCCACCGCCGCAGTTTCGTGCCCAGACTGCGAACACCTCATCATGACGTCACCATTGCAAACTTTTCTAGATCCGTCTGGAGTCGTGGCGCGTGCCTATTAAAGAAGCCAGCTACCGGTACGTTCAAGCAGGGTCTTTTGAACCAAAGCCTTTCCCCAGGACCGAACAACAACGTGGGAAATGCGGAAGATATCGAACCCGCCAGCCGCCCAGCCGACGGAGTGGGAGTGTAACCTTATATATTAATCAATAGGTCAGGTGAAAGTATAGGTGACTAAGTAAACAGCCGCTTTTGTGCGCCAAGTCATTTTTAGTACACAAAGTACGTGGCGCCACCCAGTTACCGTGACGTAGTCGCATGCAAGGCGAGGAGGTCATGGAAAACAACAGAAAGCCACAGCTTTAGCTTGTCAATATTCAGTCTATATATTCAATATTCATTTGAGTAGAATGAGTTATTTACGCAATCACGGGTTGTTTTTCTATCGGCGGCTGTGTAGAAAGGATCAGAGGGGTTGTACTGAATTTTAAACGGGCTCTTCAGTCTTTCACATAGACTCTTTCAAAAGTGGTATACGTGGGCGTCTGGCCCGCAAGCCCTTTTCCGTAGAGCGTATTCGCCGTTTTAATTCTACGTAATTATGCGTTGTAGCCACTTGGAATTTATCGTAAAGCGTAATTCAGCGTAGAGCGTTGTCGGGACCCCCCTTGCAGGCCCTCCTAAAGTACTAAGACAGTTTCTATAGTGTTTACGCATCCCCACGTACCAGATGATGTTGTTTTTAAGTTTGATTAGACGCCTCTTTTGCTACTGTGCAATGTTTTTTTGTATAGACAAATCTTTGCCAGACATATTTTCTTTTATTTTGAAGTGCGCATTATATTGGTTGTCGCATAACCTCAGAGAGCTGGGTAATCTTTGTAAGTCCAACTTTGTATAGTGCAGTACTAAATTCATTATTCAAATGGTTTTGAAGAAGAGAGGACAAAGCTAGTTCTAAAATACGTGTATATATAAATACTAGTATTATACAAAATTTTGAATTTACTTACTTGACTTTAATTAACTTCAGTTTACCGATGGATATACTGGGTCGGTGCTAAACTATGGCAAAAGCGACATCAGGAAAATGGCAAAATGCTAGAAAGTTCGAGAAAACCACCTCATTACAAGATTTTTCTTACTTCAGATTTTCAGATAATCTAAATTGCAATGTACATGTTTTTCGTCACATGTCATTGGGAACCCTCAGGTAACGGTACATTCATGAGAAACCCCCTATGACACAATGGTATAGCCCGTCTCGTAGAGCATAGTGGGTATTCATCATGGCGCCGAAGATTTTGTTTTGACAGGAGCTGCCGCAAAAAAGTGCGGAAATATCCTAAAATCGACGAGTTATCATGGGGAAGAGGGACAAGTCAGGTAAAGGTAAAGTGAAGTAAACGTTACATAACGTTATATTACTTTTCCATGGTCATTTACGAGTGTTAGGCCGGTTTGTGTTTCGCCCCCCCCCCCTCCTCATATGTGCATGACTATACTAGTCCTAGCCTAGTCAGGATCTATACGTCTAGATCAGCCTAAATATTCCACAGCGCGACAGAAAAGTAGTATCTAGTGGCTTTTGTATAGGCAACTGGATACTTGAGGGGTAATTTTTAACCACAACATATTTGAGGTATTTGGAAACAAGTTATGTGAACTACGATATGTTGGGCCAGAGCATAATTATTTTTTATGCTGGTGTGTTACGCCGAAGGCCGGTTATACCGGCTATACCGATTCAGATTATTTTCAAATGTACCTTTATAAACTGGGCAACAACTAAATATATATGGCATTTTAAGTATCTCACTACAACGCAAAAGTTGTTGTTGTTGTTGTTGTCCTTGTTTATCGTCTATTTTTCCGCTAGACGTGGTCCCATGGTTGCAAGGACTAGTATAGCCGTGGCGACTCTTGATTCGGGCTTACATTGCATTACCCTCAGCAAGAGTCGTGGAAAGATCCATTGGCAGAACTGCACATTTCCCGTTGGCTGCCTGATGCTCCGTTTTTGACCCGGTTTTTTGCTGTCCCGAGCTTCCCTACAATATAACTCCACAATTGGCCGGGTTGCCGATGTTTAGATCAGCCTAAATATTCCACAGCGCGACAGAAAAGTAGTAAAATAGCTAGTCGGCACAAGCTGGCGGCCATCTTGGATATAGTCGGGAATGTCCGCTACCGCCGTCGGGAACACTCGGTAGCGTCACGATTACCGAAGCCCGACCGAAAGCTCTCCGATTATAACCGGAAAGGCTACCGAGCGTTCCCGACGGCGGTAGCGGACATTCCCGACTATATCCAAGATGGCCGCCAGCTTGTGCCGACTAGCTATTTTTAAAGATCTATGATTTCTATACATTGGTCTATAAATTTTTTGGTTATATCGCAAGTGCTGTTCTGTGCACATATTTTCATTGATAATTACATATTAATATTATGATGATATTGCACATCTAGCAACACTGTTTTCAGTCTAGTGACAACATAACACTGCTTACGTCTTGGTTACCTTAATCCGTAATACCTTAATTCTAAAAATGGTGCACAACAAGAGATACATCGAGGCAACATAAGTTATCCCTTTAGGTATGCACTCAATAGACACATGGGAGTCGAAGACAAGCTCGGACTTAACACGTATGCAAAATGTATGAAAATGGTGAACAAGAAAGCTTAATAAAGTTCCTTTTGCTAACCTGAATCTTAACAAGAAGCCATAGGCGACAATTCTCCGTGAAGTATTATATATTGCAACAAAAAGAAGTAGCCATTGGCGACAATTCTCTGTGAAGTGTGATAAATCGAACAAAGAAAAATTGTTTAAACGCGCGTCGGCTCAGTCATCTTAAGACGCAACAACCAATCAGAGATGCGAGATGCCTACACGTGACGCAGGAAGGGCGCGCGATGCCCGAAATATTTTTGCGTCAATATTCAGCGCCGTGATTCAAGAGATTAATACCCGGAAACAATTTTTTTCTTGTTTTGAACGCATTAACATGCATTTACGCTAATCTAGTATGATTCAGGGTTACTTTTTTTTAAACCTGCCATGGCCAGATTATCTAAAGATGTGTGTATTGTGTGTACAATCTATAGAAAGAGAAATGTACATCAGGTCCGATCATCCGATTTTCACGTTTCGGTTTTTTGGACTCGGTTCATGAACGTATTTTGGTTTGGCTCCTGGAATGTGCAAAAAAATGACTCCCGGGACTGTCTACAGGGAACACTCGCACATTTGCGGTGTATCAGGACAGCGCGACTGGTCGTCATTAGCGCAGTAACAGTTGCATAAACGGACGAAACCATTTCAAAGAAATGGGGATGTTTCGAAAATAAGCATTTACTCCAATATCAAAACAGCTACGGTAAAAATAAAAAGACGTGCATCATCCCGGACATAATGCAACACCACATGCGAAATTACACAGAAATGCGACGTACGGAAGAATGCGTTTTGGCTGCGAACATCTTCCAAAAAACTTGGCATCTCTTAACCATGGGCAAAAACATCTGGAACCACTTATAAAAACCACCCCGTATCTGCATGAACTTTTTTGAACCCCACTGCTATTCCAAACAACGCGTTTTTCTGGACCATTCCAATTCGCCTCGTAATTGTAGGGGTGCGTCTGCGATATTACATTGACCGCGAAAGCAGCAACGGCAAAAATACACATTCGTGCATCAACACGGGCATGCCCGCAGACGGCGTATAAAATTGCGTGCCGATTACACAAAGAGAACCCAGTGTTTTGACTGCGAACATGAAAAATCAGCCGATTACAACACTCCGTCCGGAGGTCCTGACCTCCTTCACGGAGTAATAAGGCCACACCGATTTAATTTTATGGATGACATCCACGCGTGCATTGTTCTAAAAAAACAAACAAAACAAAACAAAAGATCACGTCCTCTGAGGCTCTGGCCTGGCTCTAGGCATGGCAGTTAGCGACAATACAGAGCCGTCGGTAACTCTGGAGGACAGCACCCAGGTTACCGAAGCTCCATGACTCAAGAACTCAGTACTACACATACGTACAGTGCCGATTCATAAATTCCGCAATAAGCCAGCATGCGCCGGCTTGTCGTAACACATCGCTACAAGTACTGTCACAAATTCACAATACGTGTACCAGCTTTGTATTCCTGTGGTTTTAAGTAGCATTTTTATTTAATTTTTTTTTGTATTCGCCCACGCGCACTATGTAGTTTGGGGGTCTTCAGAGGATGTCATCCATAAAATTAAGTCGGTGCGGCCTAATGTACAATATTTACTCTTGCTATAGAGTCAGGGAAAAGGTCCAAGAAGCGGAAGCACCAGTCAGATTCGGAGGACGACTATGAAGACTCGCGGGACTCGGAGCTGAGCGGAGGGGGGGCAGAGGTCGCTGCCATAGCAACCAGACAGACAGACGAGAGTACAGGAGACACAGATGAGTACGGGGCCAAGGACTACAGGAAGATCGTGGAGCTAAAGTCTGACCACGCCTCCAGACCTCTCTGGGTGGTGAGTTTTACTTCATAAACTGCACCAGATCATTAAAGGCATTCAATGCAATTTCGGGCCGGCAAAACTGGAATATTCTGAAAATGGCAATTTGTTTGATATGGACATATACTACCCCACATTAGCACATTTGCAGCAGTATTTCATAGTTTTAGCATTTAAAACAGTGTAGAAACAAGCCTCAAGATGAGTCCTTTATTTTCTGGATGGTATGCTTAAACTTTAAAGTCTGCCAAGAAACCTACAAGTAACCATTTTCCATCACAATCTTTGGTATTTTTGTTCCATAAATGTCAGTATACACTGGGATAGTCTTGTCTCACAACTTAGTATATAAATAATTAAAATATTGACTTTGGAAAACCTAGTTTTCAAGCCTTAAAAACTGTGTTGGGCTGATAGTAATTACTCTGAACACATGTACTAGTGCATGAATGTACACAATTACTGGCAATTAAGCTTGTATTTATAGTAGATTTCTTTATTTGATGTTTGTCTCCACATTTGTATTTGTTGGTTAGGCCATGTTGATTTGATTATATGGATGACATCCGCGCGCGCATGAAATTTTCGGCCGTTTCCAAAAAAAAAAAAGTTTTCAACCATACTGTTAATCGTACAAAACAGTTGCAAAATGAGCACATAATATTATATACCATAAGTTGCAAAAATATTGGAAAACGATACCAATGTCGTAGAATGCGAAAATCAATATGAATTTTAAGAGTAAATTATTCGCCATACCATATTCTGTGTCATTTGTTCAACCTTCAAAACCATGTAGATTTCATAATGAAAGCAACTTTTTTTCTTTGCCAAACTTTTTTTTTGTTCGCACGCTCGCATCAGATTTGGGGTTCCCAGAGGATGTCATCCATATAATCAAATCAACATGGCCTTATCTGATACCAGTCATGACTGCCTTGATAACCTGTGTATTGATCTGTTGTCATTGCCAAGAAAGAAAGAGAGAAAGAGAGAGAGAGAGAGAGAGAGAGAAAGAAAGAAAGAAAGCTGATCTCTGTATTCCTTTTTTCCAGGCTCCAAATGGGCACATCTTTTTGGAGGCATTTTCTCCTGTATACAAACACGCACATGACTTCCTCATAGCCATCTCAGAACCTGTGTGCAGGCCAGAACACATCCATGAGTACAAGTAAGGATTTTTAAAATGTCGCTTTGAAATTACACATTTGTTTGTTATATGGTCTTTCCTTCAGGTGACTTAGAAATGACTTACCTCATGTAGGTTTTAAATATGGTTGTCATTTCACTCACATTTCAAAGGCACGTTCTTGCACTGCAATTGTCAAGATGAAAAGGTGAGGCGTGTTATATTGATTTACTTTGACCAGAAATGAACAATAATATGTAGAAAAATAGTTAAAGTCCTTTGGCATGGTTGCTTACGGCAGCACCCATCTCTGTAGCCCTTGGGCCACACAGTTGTGCAATCACTACAGCAGGGGCTAGTCCACTAGTAGTAGTGTTGTGTGTTAAACTCCCATACTCTTTCTCAAATGCTGAGAGTGCTAAGCAGAGAAAGCAGTATGTACCATTTTTAAAGTCTTTGGTATGACTCGGCCGGGGATCAAACTCACAACCTACAGAATGGCACTCTACCCTCTGGGCCATTGCACCAGTTAAATTTAGAGTTGTAATTGTTGAATCCTTTGTTTTCTGTGTTCAGTAGATAGTGTATGGCTTAGTTTTGAACACATGTTCCTCTTCTCCCTGTTCAGACTGACAGCCTACTCCCTGTATGCAGCCGTCTCTGTGGGTCTTCAGACTGATGACATCATTGAGTACCTGAAACGTCTGAGTAAAACAACAGTTCCTTCTGGCATTGAGGAGTTCATCAAGGTATGGAACTTCAAGTAATTGATTCATGGCAAGAAGAGGTCACTTCCTGAGTGAAGAGACTCTTTTTACACAACCAAGTCTTTTATTCAGCCGACATTTCGGTGACCGTCTGTCACCTTCCTCAGGGCAATTCTGACTGGTTCACATTGCATGTGTAGCAGCGACACCTGTGCTGCAATGCGATGTGAACCAGTCAGAATTGCCCTGAGGAAGGTGACAGACGGTCACTGAAATGTCGACTGAATAAAAGACTTGGTTGTGTAAAAAGAGTCTCTTCACTCAGTGTCTTACCAACCTGATAAAACTATTCACGGAGGTCACTTCCTGTTTTGACTTCAGGCTGTTTTTTTATTGGTTTTTTTATGGCACGTGTGGATTAGAAACAAAATATTGAAGCTTATAACTGTTTGTCCAGAATGCACACACCCTTATTATATAGTATTATGCACTGCTCCAGACATTTGTTGTTCAATTTTTGGTGTAATCTGAGTATCATGTGTTCCAAAATTTATCAAATCACAACTTATATCATACGTTTGTGAGTAGAATGTTATACCCAAGTTTTATAATTAGTCTCTGTAACTCAGAGTTTGCATCTTCAAACCTGTGCTTTGATGTGTTTATTTCCAGCTCTGTACAGTCAGCTATGGGAAGGTGAAGCTGGTGTTGAAGCACAACAGATACTTTGTGGAGAGTTCCTTTCCTGTATGTAGTGTTCCTTGTGTAATTTTTTGATTGATAAAAATAAGGGTGTTTTTCAAACAAATACATATGTGTTCATCTCAAGTTATTGAAGTAATTATCAGATGTGACACCTTAGATTGAACTGTAGAAAAACATGTATGACAAAGCCATTTTATGTGTTTCATGATAACTTTTTGTATAAGTACATGTCAACAGTTGACTGCATTCACTAATATAACTTTGCAGTGCGTTGATGAAGGTTAGATATCCAGGTAAACAATATTCAAAGAAAATCCAAACTCTACTGGTGGATAAATAATGGAGATAACTTCCGTACGTTTTGAGTGACATCCGTTACTCTTCTTCAGCGTCACTAAATGAACTGAGAGCACAAAACGACACTAATCACATGTGAAGAAACTGGAAAAAACAGTACATGGCAAAGACTCGTAAGGGTCACTATTATGTAAACGAGGATAGGGTAGTTCCTATGGTAAGACAATACCATAACTAGAAAGGTAACATTTGCAAAGCAAATGCATAATGTTTACCTTCACATATGGTCTGCTCTGGTCTGCTAACTCAAACATATTCATTATATGGTCAGACAGGAGTCTAAATCCCTCCTGCTAAAAAATTACAACATGATGTAACCCAACACCTGTTACCATGGTGACAGATGTCTGGTTCAGATCATTGACCTTGTTTGCTAATGGAGAAGAAGAAGAAGAGACTGAGCAAAAACAATATGAAATATAAAATTGCTACTGTCCCTTGGGTCTTTGCAGTCTTTGCATAGTTCATCTAAATATATTGTATATCGAGAGAAGTTGGTTGTAACCATGGCATCTCCATGGTAACAGGATGTTCTGCAGACGTTACTGAAGGACAGTACCATCCAGGAGTGCAGACTGAGACATTCCATAGAGGAGGGTGTGGAAGGGGTTGAGGAGGATCTCATTGTGGGACAGCTGTCAGGAAAGTCTGCTTTTCAGGTACGTACATGTATCATGTGCAGTGTTCTAGCAATCTAGAAGGCATCACTGGTATGTCCAACTTTGAAGAAGTCATCATTTGGACGAAAAATGTCCAGACTATGCAGGATGTACAAAATGTCTAAGAAACTGGTGGACGTACCAACTACTAAGTGCCTAATACCAGCTCAAAAAAGAATAAGAAATAGCCATGCCTTCAAGTACATGTACCAAAGTTATCAACCAAGGATTGAGATGTTCAAATTCTCAATTCTTTCCTAGAACTATCGCAGAGTGGAACTTGCTGTCACCAAGTACAGTAGGGGCATCATCATTAGATAGCTTTAAACAATGTTTAGAGTTAGATGTTCAAGGGTTAGGTGTAACAAGTCGTTTGGAGTAATGTAGCAAGCTGCTACAGTGCCTGTGAAGCTGCTGTGCTACGCTGAAGGGCATTTATACTGACTCTCACACTGTCTCACAATACAGTTCCACTTGGGTCTCACACTACAGTTCCACTTGGTCTCATACTACAGTTCCATTTGGTCTCATACTACAGTTCTACTTGGTCTCATACTACAGTTCTACTTGAGTCTCATACTACAGTTCCACTTGGTCTCATACTACAGTTCTACTTGGTCTCATACTACAGTTCTACTTGAGTCTCATACTACAGTTCCACTTGGTCTCATACTACAGTTCCACTTGGTCTCATACTACAGTTCCACTTGGTCTCATACTACAGTTCTACTTGGTATCATACTACAGTTCTACTTGAGTCTCATACTACAGTTCCACTTGGTCTCATACTAGAGTTCTACTTGGTCTCATACCGCAGTTCAACACTATAATTTTACTTTCCAGGTGAAGAAGCCCCCACAGGCAGGCCAGAATGGGGCCAACGATGCCTCTGCTTCAGGATCTGCAGAGGATGGTGAGAAGGAGAAGTCAGCAGTACCCGAGGACATCTTTGACTACTACGAGAAGATTGACAGGGAAGACGAAGAGGCAGAGGAACAACAGATCCTCTCTTTCGAGGTTAATCCTGATAGGCTGGAGCACTTGCAGAAAAGGTATAACGTTACAAGCATGTCGGCAGAACGTACTGCACCTGTGCGAAACCTGTAGTGTATTGTGCCTAGCACTTCAGCAGGCACACTTGCGTCAAACAAATATCGTCCAGCAGTCAAAGCAAACTGGTGGGTTTCACCATGATTTTCTCATTAGTTATCATCAATAATCAACTTGATCGAAAATGATGTGGTCACCATGGGCAGGTATCAGGCCTTGAGCAGACCCAACTCAGGATGGTCGTGCTCGCGTTGGCCAGGACATCTTGGACAGGTCACTTAATGCTTGCGCTAATGTGAAAAATTTTTGGGACCGAAAAAAAGCGGTCACCATGGCCAGGTGGCCAGGTTGAAGTGGTCACCTTGGCAGGTTTGACCGTATCTCTAACTATGTTGACCACCTGTTCTACTGCAGATGTATAGAGATGGAGTACCCACTGTTAGCTGAGTATGACTTTAGGAACGACACACGGAACCCAGACATCCCCATAGACCTGAAGCCTAACACCATACTCAGACCTTATCAGGAAAAGAGCCTGCGTAAAATGTTTGGAAATGGCAGAGCGAGATCAGGGGTTATTGTGCTACCATGTGGTAAGTTATTTTTTGAGACACATGATACATATGGTAGTTATGAATTTTCCTCTAGTTGTGTATTAATGTTTACCGTAGGAAAACACATTGTTTTTGCTCTGTTTCTTCAATAAAGTCAATGACCTGAACCAGATGTCTGTCACCATGGTAACTAGTGTTGAGTTACATCATGTTACAATTTTATATCAGAAGGGATTTAGACTCTGGTCACCGTATACTAGTATATGAATGTGTTTGAGTAACAATTAACAGAGCAAACCATATGCGAAGGTAAAAATTATGCATTTGCCTTGCAAATGTTACCTTTCTAGTATAGTTTTGAATTATCAAAAGCTTACCATTCATATCAAAACTTTCAGTTATTTATATTTAGCACAAGATGGCCACATGTAGGTGTAAGGATGACCTAGAGTTCCTATTGCAGTATGTGACCCAGCAGTTCTATTCTTTGGTCGTATAGCTATCAAGAAACTGCTAGCCAGCACAACCATGTCTAAAACAACCTCTCCTGAACAGGTGCTGGGAAGACCCTTGTTGGCGTGACAGCAGCTTGCACGGTGAGGAAGCGGTGCATTGTGCTGTGCACGTCGGCTGTGTCTGTGGAACAGTGGAAGTCTCAGTTTAAACTGTGGGCCAACATTGATGACAGCACCATCTGTAGATTCACCGCTGATGCCAAGGACAAACCCATAGGTGTGCGCTTAATTACTGTTAACCTTCTTCCTGCTTCCTAACCTTATAACCAACACACATTTAGTGCCAAACAGGTACTTTAGCAGACTGAAGGTTAAGCATTAAAAGTGCAGAAATAGTGCTGTTTAGCCAAGAAACTTTATCCACTCTTATGTTCCTTCTTCTTCTATATGTTGCAAATGGCTATCAGAAACTTAAAATGACTCTGAAAATTAAGAATAACAAACTAGTCAAAGTCAAACAGCTCAAAAAGTAAAAAGAAAAGTACAATGTACCTGGTACATGTATATTAATAACAGGAATAAATATGGTATTTGAGAAAAAAGTATGCTTTCTGAAGTGTGAAATTTAGAACATAACGGTACAAAATGTATTTTGCATTTTGCAGAAACATTTTCAATATTGCAGAAGAAAAATTAAGCAACTGCAACTGAAAAATATCAGCTTTCTGGCTCAGTGAGCTTTTGTGTTTATCATTGACTCTGTAATATATATAATATACAAGTAAATTTGCATATATTTTTCAAATTGCATGTAAAATGTTTGCCAATAGGCAATTTTGTATTTGCCATGTTTAGGTCCATACTTTAAGTGTGTATTTGCAGAAAGGTACGTCGATGAAGGTTAGACATCCAGGTAATACGATACGCCAAAAAGCAGTTACTCAAGCAACTGGATATGATTTTGAAAACGTCAGACGTTTCAGCTAGTATCCACTAGCTTTCGTCAGTGACTGAGAGACCAGAGGGGAAAGCAGGTTTATAAGTACAACCTGTTGATTGATATGCAATATTTGCAGAAAGTATTTCAAAATTGCAGGACAAAAGTTTGACATTCTGCAATATTGCGCAACACAGAAAAAAGTTTCTACCACTAGAGCTAGTGTGTAATAAATTAAGTAAGTTAAAATGTACTGCTTACAAGTCACAACATAAGTTTGCAACGTCAATGTGAGCAGTGCTGATTATGTAAATCTTGTGTGTTGACTGCAGGTTGTAATGTTGCGATCAGTACCTACTCCATGATCGCTCACACAACAAAGCGTTCGTACGAGTCAGAAAAAGTCATGGAGTGGTTACAGGGACAGGAATGGGGCCTCATGCTACTGGATGGTAAAGTTTTTTCCTTTTTTCCTTGCACAGATCTTAAAGCGATATTATGTAAGATTTTCACTATTTTAAACATTATTGTTGTTTTACACATTTTCTTGCACTATATTACAAAGCCTACCTGGGTTCATAATGACATTTGGGGAGTGAAAGATCAACATCGTTGCACAGCAAAACTGCCAACTCCCCAAATCAATTCAGAAAAAGAAGAAAGTGTGAATAAATAAAAACGAAGAGTCTATTATTATTCAACATACCATACTCTGTGTGTTTAGTCATTTGTTCAACCTTTTAGACCACATAAATTTCCTAATGAATGAAACTTTTTTTTGCCAACCTTTCTTTATTCGCACGCTCACATCAGTTTTGGGATTCCCAGAGGATGTCATCCATATAATCAAATCAACATGGCCTTATGTATGACCATAATTACTAACATTAAGCAGATACTTACTTTAATTTGCAAGCCCATAAAATTCAAATTGGAACCATCTCAGATCCATTCAGCTGTGAAGCAATGATGTACCTGACTGACTCTGCAAATTGTATAGAAGTTTGACTGATTTGTAGCTGAATTATTTTTACATTTACTTAGACCAGAGAGCAGTGCCAATTTTCCTCTCAACTAGCCATGCAAAACACTCCATTATCACAGGAAAAGGAAGATTTTGTGATCATGAAAAAATGACAAAAGTTCGTAAGTCCTCCATGAATTTTTTTAGGTTTCATGAAATATTTCTTATAAATATACTAGTATGTACATAAGGAGGCAACAACAGCAAAAAACTGATTCATATTTCTTTAGTTGAATGATTTAATGCACACAACAAAATCAAAAACTGCTCTTAAAAAAAGTAAAATACAAAAAAATCCCAAATCCAGTCTTGTCCAAGTTTGAAAAGAAGGCATTTTGTTGCCCAACTACTAGGATGTATAGTATATATAAAATGCACATTAAGTGTGGGGTCATGAGGCATAACGGTAGAGTGTCTGACTCGGAACCAAGAGGTCCCGAGTTCAAACCCTGCCATGCCACCGATCTTGTGCCCTTGGGAAAGGCACTTTACATGAGTTTCCTCACTTCGCTCAGGTGAAAATGAGTACTGCATTGTCCTCTGTGTTGGTGGCGGTATAAAAATTAGTTGAGTGTGCTGTCACCATGTCTTGTGATATATGTTTGGAATATATAAAAAAATGCACATTAAAATGTGCCCCCCTCCCCACAGAGGTACACACCATCCCAGCAAAACAGTTCCGTCGTGTACTGATGGTTATCCAGGCCCATTGCAAGCTGGGATTGACGGCCACCTTGGTTCGAGAGGACGACAAGATCGCCGACCTGAACTTCCTGATTGGTCCCAAGCTTTACGAGGCCAACTGGATGGAACTGCAGAATAACAACTTCATCGCACGTGTGCAGTGTGCTGAGGTGAGGCTGTAGATGGTCAATAGTAGCACGTTGGCAGAACGTACTGCACCTGCACCTGCACCTGCACGTAATGTATTTTGTACAGCACTTTGGCAGAGCATCTCATATAAGGTCTTATTGGTGTATACAAGGTTAACACCCCATCTGTAGTTTCCAAATGTTATGCCGGAAAAGATATCCTATGCAACAGGAAAAATTCTGATGCAATGTTGACCAAAAATCCAACAAAAACTGTGAAAAATCAGGGTTTCATGCAGGCGTGTAAGTTCAGTACACGCAGTATGTTCTGGGGATGTGCTAGATGGTCACTGGGTGGTTGTACTACCGGTGGTATACATTAGCCCTTGTAGATGTAAGATGTAATTTTACCTAGAACTACTTTATCATATGACCTATAATTAGCTTGTAAAAGCATCAAATAAAGATCTTCCAGTCATTCATTCATTGTACAACCTCCCATTTCCAGGTGTGGTGCCCTATGACCCCGGAGTTCTATCGTGAATACCTCGCCATCCAGACCAAGAAGCGCACCCTGCTCTACACCATGAACCCAAACAAGTTCCGAGCCTGCCAGTTCTTGGTGCGCTTTCACGAGAGACGTAATGACAAGGTAAAAAAATCTCTTTCGTTGATGCTCACCTCAGTCTGTAATTCTAGGGGGCCCGCATGCCCTTTTCTGTAGAGCGTAATCGGCCGTTTTAATTTTGTGTACAGTGTAGTCAGACCGCTTTAATTCAACTTAGAGCGTAATCAGTGCATTTTGTATGGGCGTAACTCGCCGTTTTAATTCTATGATGCATTGTAGCTACCCGGAATTTATCGTAAAACGTAATTGAGAGGCTTTCTGAATTCAGCCGGCTCTCAAAATTTAGCATAGAGCGTTGTCTGAAACCCACATGCAGGCCACCATTCTATCCTCTGTCAAAATATGTTGCTGTTGCCTGTTCTGTATGCCAGTGCCAAAAGTGAGTTGTATAATGCTGTCTTAAAACATGGTACATTGTATGAAAAGGCACATGTACATGTATAAAGAGTAAAATCATGTGCTGCATTGTAAACAGTTGGATTATATCTTCCTTGATGGTTCGTACTATTCGTTCATGTTTCTTTCAGAATTTTCAACTGTTTGTGAGAACTACCAGAAGTATTATCTAAAAATCTTTCTGGTTAAGCCCTTATTTACTATGAAACAGTCAGATGTTCTACATTTCTTTTATCTTGTCTTTGCAGGTGATTGTTTTCTCGGACAATGTCTTTGCTCTGAAGGAGTATGCCAAGCGGATGGGGAAACCGTTCATCTACGGTCCTACCTCCCAGGGAGAGAGGATGCACGTTCTGCAGAACTTCCAACACAACCCAAAAGTCAACACTATCTTCATCTCAAAGGTTCGTCTTCTGTTTCAGTAGGATTTTTTGCATGTTTGAAATTACATACTGCACAACTGTGTGACAATTTGCATTTAATGATATACAACTCTCTCTCAGTTACCTACACACCAAAAATGATGAAAATACGTTGTTCCTATCTGGACTTATTGGCTTTTAAAGATTTCGCCAGAAAGTGCCCTGCAGTTGCAGAACAAGCTGCTAGGAGGACCAAACTCACACCACTTATTCCTGACAGGAAAAGCTATCTGTCACCCAAGAGTCAAGACCATAGCATGTTCAGGACAAAAGATACAAAAACCGGAAGTTGCTGCAGTACCAAGGTCATCCACCAGGAGGCCCATATTTGACCTTGACCTTTGTCTTCCTAAGACTTACCAACATACCAAATATCATCATAATCCATAAAGGCGTTATAAAGTTATGCTGACTACAAATGTGCGGAAACACAAACACACAGACACACACACACACACACACAGACACGCCAAAAACAATACCTCCATTTTTCATGGAGGTAAAAATTATTATCTTTATTGTGTCTCTTGTTGGTTACTTGATAATAACATCCCCCCCTCCATAACCACAGGTTGGTGATACATCCTTTGATTTGCCGGAGGCAAATGTGCTAATTCAGGTGTCCTCCCACGGGGGGTCACGCCGACAGGAGGCACAGCGACTGGGGAGAATCCTCAGGGCCAAGAAAGGTAAGGCCAACTGTCAACTATTACAACATTCATTTCTCATTGAAGCAACTTTGAAAAATAAAAGTTTTCAATCATTGTACAAATGGTTTTTGATTCAGTGAGAACATCACATGCATGACATTTTGTATAGTTTTTTTTTACACAGCCACCATCACAATGAAAGGAATGAAATACTAAGTGCTTCACTGCGTCAAAGTATTAAATCAGAGCCTTGTCTTGTCTCCTCTCTTCATATTTATCTGCCATCCACGTTCCGGCAACAAAAATCTTTGACAAAAACAACATTTCTTCTTTCTCCCCAAACCAGGTGAAAATTAATGTCATCCATAAAAATTACTTGCTGTGGCCTTACCAGTACATGTATTAATAATTCATTCCTGCCATTTCTACAGGGTCAGTAGCAGAAGAGTACAATGCCTTTTTCTACACCCTGGTGTCCCAGGACACTATGGAGATGACCTACTCACAGAAGAGACAGAGTTTCCTCATCAACCAAGGTTACAGCTTCAAGGTCATCACTAAACTGGCTGGCATGGACGAGGTCAGTCATCAGGAAACTTTCTGTTTGTTTCTGTTTATTGTGATCATAAACATCTTCAGTATCGTAGGACGAGCCAGGCCTAGGAAAAAAATGTTGTGTTTCCTGTTTCAGTCTTGAAAAAATTAGGGTCAGTAGGTAGGGATTCTTTTTCTTAGACCAAGTACTTTGGCAATCTTTGGTGACCCAGCGTATATAATGCAGTTTAACAAAGTAAAACTTGCATGAGGACACTGATATTTTCAATATGTCAATGTTGGAAAACTGATTGTACAACATTTCATCACTCATTGCTTATTTTATATGGTGCACCAAAAAAAATTTTTTTTGCACCCAATGTTTTAGGTTGAGTGCACCTGTGCCTAAAAATGAATTTCAAGCCCTGTGTCCCATCCCTAGGAGGACCTAGCCTTCAGTAATAAGAAGGAACAGCGGGAGTTGTTACAGCGAGTCTTGGCAGCTTCAGATGCTGATGCTGAGGAGGAGGTGGTACCGGGAGAGTCCAAGGGGTCGGGCCAGGTCAGCAACAGTATACTTGTGAACTTTCATCTACTTATTAGGAGGATATATGTGGTTGCATTTTTATTACTTACAGTTAAAATGGGCATCTCTAGAGTTAAGAATTGAAACATAATGTAAAATGTAATGAGTATAAAAGTGTTATGAGGTAGGTGGTCAGCATTTTAGCCTGAGTAAATCGCACTTCTAGGTCATGCCCATCTATATAGAGCTCTTGAGGGCTTGTGTCACACAGACTAGGGGGCATATTTGCTCAAAAGAAAGACAAATTTTTACTAGTGAACTTGAAGATTTCAGGTGGGTTACAACAAAAAAGGGAATGTGACATGATTTTTTTGGTAAGTTAAGGACTAGTTCCAGCAAACCACTAAACAGCACTATATAACGGACATACATGTATAAAGAACTGATATGAGTAGCATTTGGGACTTTCCTTGTTTCTAAATCCATGTAGCTAAGTAAACGGTTCAGGCGATTTTTGTATGTGTTCTGCATGGTGGTCAGAATTCAATGTTTGTATGTTGTGTTGTGTTTCCAGGTGACGCGGAAGGTAGGCAGCATGGCATCCATGTCAGGAGCAGATGACACTATCTATATGGAGTACAAAACTGGGCCCAGGAAGACACACACACATCCACTGTTCAAGAAGTTCCGCACTTGACAGCCATATTCTATTGTTGCAGAGTACTTCGCACTGGGATTAAAGCACACTGGTGTAAAGTCCTAGTCTTTTTTGTTTATTTATGTTACGTTTTTGGAGAAGCTTTACCATGCTGCACATCGTATTCACATTGATTGTCTGGAAATACAACTACCCCCAAATAACCTTAGCTGGGGCAAAGAAAATTTCTGCTTTTACAAAAAGGAAATGGCCTGAGCTCTTATTTCTTGATTGCTTGTTTCCTGCATTGTCCAAGTTATTCTTGGTGAGTTAAATCTCCTTTAAATACTGAGATAACATTTAAAATTAACCATTTAGCACTCTTAACCTTCTCATTCAGTGTAATCATACCTCAGATAGGATGTAACGTTACCAATTCAAAATTTACAGATTAAAAACAATGCAGTAGTTTACCAGAAGGGAGTACAATACCAGTATCTTGCTGAAGACCATTGTTAGACAATGAAAATAAAAGCTCATTTTTCAAGACTTGTGTGGGTTGTCCTGCTTATGTTTGTGCTTTGTTTATTAGAATTGTACGGTAGTCAGGATGTACTAGTACTATGTAGGACATACCACCATAGGATGGGTGCACTGTTGCTAACAACACAAATTACCAGGGAACAAAAGTAAAGCCCAGAGGGAAAAGGCACACCTTCAGAAACGATTGTACAACTATCTCCAAACTGATATTTGGAAGGAAAGATTGTATTTTCTAAATGCTCCTGTTTCTTTTTTCTGGCGTCCCTTTAGAGTCCATTCCAAGTCACCATGCGGGTTTTAAAATCATATTTCTAATATTTTCTAATCATTTTCAAATAATTAAAAAAATATTAGTAAATATTTTGAAATTATGATAAAAATGTAAGTACCCCCGAGTAGCATGTTTTTGAAAATGTTGCCACAATTTGCAAAAATGGAAGTGGCAATCAAATGGGATCTTACTTTCAAAATGTTTAGAAACAATTCCATTAAATTTTAATGATTTATTCTGAGCTGAAGACCAGCTGAGCAAATTAAATTTTCATGGCAAATAAATAAATTATTTCTCCCCTGTGAAATCTTTGCACCACACTCACCTGACGTCACTCAGAACAACGTGTTTGTTTTGAAAACAAAATTACACCTGCTTAGCTGTTTACTTGGTGACCCCTTTGTACAAGTAAACAATTTACACCTGTTACCCAGTGACTCCCAGTGACCTCAGCACCGATCACGTGCTTCCCGCCATTCTGTGTCCCGTAATTGGACATATCCTGTCATGTGACTTTTCAAACTGTCCAATGAGAGTGTCGAAAAATTACATCATTTTCAATCACGAACATCCGGAGGTGACATAATTTTATTTGACCAATGACAGTTCTGAATTTTCTACAAATTTGCATACACCCGGGTAACGGTTGGCCGAAAGGTATAAAAGCATGGCGCCGGGTTGGAAATATCAGATTTGTTCACAGAGACTCTTCAGAAGTCGGTCGTGAGCGTTCATCTGAAGCCTTTTCCGCATTTTCTGCGTGATATCCTCGCCCAACTGAAAAGAAACCACCATGGTAAGTTCTGTTACATCTCTATATATTTTTGAAGAAGATTTAACCTCCCATTTGGTAAATTAGCGTCGTTTTCCTGCTATTCAATCTAGATATCGTAACATAATATTGAAATTCCCGCCAAGTATCACCTCGAAAGAAAGAAAGGAAATGCTGGCGTTACCCTTCGAATTTGATAAAATGCTTCACTGTGTGGCAGTTTTCCTGTTAAAGTGTTGTGGATTTGTTTAACGATAACTTGTACATGTATTTCTGCCTGGGAACGTCATATATGTGCCCAGCCGGCTAGCCACGGGTCCCACACTTCAAATATATGATTCTCAACATGTCTTTCTCTCTCTCTCTTTCCAGCGTGAGTGCATCTCTATCCACGTCGGCCAGGCTGGTGTCCAGATCGGTAACGCCTGCTGGGAGCTGTACTGCTTGGAGCACGGGATCCAGCCTGATGGCCAGATGCCGAGCGACAAGACCATCGGCGGCGGGGACGACTCCTTCAACACGTTCTTTAGCGAGACCGGCGCCGGCAAGCACGTGCCCCGTGCCGTCTTCGTGGATCTGGAGCCCACTGTAGTCGGTAAGTCACTACAGAGGGTCTGCATGGGGGGGTCCTGGCAACGGTTAACGGTAAATTCAGCAGGGCCGATAACGCTTAACGGTAAATTCAGGACGTTCGGCAACGCTTAACGGTAAATTGACAGGCTTTTTCTTCGAGCTGCACTGGATTTGGTATCTCGCTTTGTGAGAAAAGGTGATCACAGACAAAATTACGTATACCTTATATGTAATGAAGCATGCATTAAAGGTATGTCATTGTGTTCCCAGGGAATGTTTTCCACCTGCCCTGGTCCCCGAATGCGTCCACAAATACCGGGGTGTCCGAGTCGACGTCGGCCAGCTTGTATTTTTTCAGTCTGCCCAGTTATACCGCTGGATTAATCTAGGGGGGTCCGGGGGGGATGCTTCCCCGGGAAATTTAGGATTTTTAAGCCTTCAAAAACGCAATTTCCCGCATATTGAGAGGCAAATCATGGTGTTGAGAGTGTTTGTCGGTCCTTCTGATGTTTTCATATTTTACTCGAGATTTTTGTTGATTTGCCTGTCAAGGTGGACGGATTCCTTAAAAAAAGTCTGTAACTCTCCGCAAACTTCTGGAAATTGACGGGAAAGCTGGTTCTGGCTAGAGGCGAAGGGACCGAGCGCAGAAGCGCGAGTCGAGCGCCAAAGGCGCGAAAAATGTAAGGGGGTCCGGGGGCATTCTCCCCCGGGAAATTTTGTATTTTTAAAGTTTCAATGACGCATTTTCCTGCACTTTGAAAGGCAAAATTAGGCGTAACGAAGAATTATTCATTAACGCTTAACGCTGAATTTAGGATGACAAATAACGTTTTACGTTGAATTAAAACGACCCAGAACGCTTCACGATGAATATACTGATAACGCTTAACGTTGAATTAGAGCGAGTCGGCAACGATTAACGGTAAATTAAAATAGCCCATAACGGTTAACGAAAAAGGGCATGCAGACCCTCACTACATAATCCCCACAAAAATCGCAAGAAAAGAACGTTCAAATTTTCTAATATTTTGTTTGAAATTAAGTTTTTGGTGGTTAGAAATCACGCCCAGTGTTACCACGCCCAAATTTCCGGCCAAAATGTATGCCACTGCCCCACATTCCACACCAAAATCGATATTCATTTTCACAGGGATTTGAATATTTCATGCGGCGTACTGACATAATGATCCGTTTAGTCCCTCGGGTTTCATTTCGATAATTTGGTTAGTCATTCTCAGACGATTGGATCATTTTCCAAATATGGTCAAAACCAGCAGGAAGCGAAAATTTAGGGTGCAATATTTTCTTCAATATCATTTTATTTATTCGAAAATTGATATCTGGATTTTCAACCAAACCGCTAAAATAAGTGACAGAATTTCTCTCTAAAATGAACAGAATTTGCTTGAAAAATTATGCTAGCTTGCCTGCAGTAATTGGATGTGAAGGGGCCCACCAGTTGGGTTATTACTTTTTAAGTTTCGAAATTATACTGGATTTGAGATTCAATTTTGGTGTACCCTTTATTTAGGCGGTTTGTTTCCTCAGTAGTCAGGAGTAACCAGTAATCTACCTATAATCCGCCAGGTCACCTGTAATTTGCATATGAATGGCAGGTTGTTCATGCAGTGTGCTATGCCCATGAGGCACAAACGGTCGTCATAGCAGAGAATTTTTAATTAGGCCCAACACAAATGGGTTGCATTACCCTATGTTAGAATTTATCTGGTGAATACCTTTACTATGGTTTTCTTTTGTTATGCCCAGTATTGTCATACAATCTCTATACATGGTTCCACACTAAACAATGTGGAAAGGAGATGTAATTTCTTCCTCTAGTTGCCACAGAAATGAGTTTTATCCTGAAATACCTTATTTTCAAGTCTGGCAGCAGTGCCTGTCATTAATCATTCATTCAAGCAGGCTTTATTTAAATCCTGTTGCATTATTTAATCAATTAACGAGCCCACACTAATGTGATTGCCTTCCGTGTTTTTCTCCAGATGAGGTCCGTACCGGCACATACCGCCAGCTGTTCCACCCCGAGCAGCTCATCACTGGAAAGGAGGATGCCGCCAACAACTACGCCCGCGGCCACTACACCATCGGTAAGGAGATCGTCGACTTGGTCCTGGACCGCATCCGTAAGCTGGCTGACCAGTGCACCGGTCTGCAGGGCTTCCTCATCTTCCACTCCTTCGGCGGTGGCACCGGCTCTGGCTTCACCTCCCTGTTGATGGAGCGTCTGTCCGTCGACTACGGCAAGAAGTCCAAGCTGGAGTTCTCCATCTACCCAGCCCCCCAGGTGTCCACTGCCGTGGTGGAGCCCTACAACTCCATCCTGACCACCCATACCACCCTGGAGCACTCCGACTGCGCCTTCATGGTCGACAACGAGGCTATCTACGACATCTGCCGCCGTAACCTGGACATCGAGCGCCCGACCTACACCAACCTCAACCGTCTGATCGGCCAGATCGTCTCCTCCATCACCGCATCCCTCCGCTTCGACGGTGCCCTGAACGTGGATCTCACTGAGTTCCAGACCAACTTGGTGCCCTACCCACGTATCCACTTCCCCCTGGCCACCTATGCTCCCGTCATCTCTGCAGAGAAGGCCTACCATGAGCAGCTGTCCGTTGCTGAGATCACCAACGCCTGCTTCGAGCCAGCCAACCAGATGGTGAAGTGCGATCCCCGCCACGGCAAGTACATGGCCTGCTGCATGCTGTACCGTGGTGATGTGGTGCCCAAGGACGTCAACGCCGCCATCGCCACCATCAAGACAAAGCGTACCATCCAGTTCGTCGACTGGTGCCCCACCGGCTTCAAGGTTGGCATCAACTACCAGCCACCCACCGTGGTGCCCGGCGGTGACCTGGCCAAGGTGCAGCGTGCCGTGTGCATGTTGAGCAACACCACCGCCATCGCCGAGGCCTGGGCCCGTCTCGACCACAAGTTCGATCTGATGTACGCCAAGCGTGCCTTCGTGCACTGGTACGTCGGTGAGGGTATGGAGGAGGGAGAGTTCTCCGAGGCCCGTGAAGATTTGGCCGCCCTGGAGAAGGATTACGAGGAGGTCGGTGTCGACTCCGTGGAAGGCGAGGGCGAGGAGGAGGGAGAGGAGTATTAAACACCTCGACTCCCCACACCTGCAATACAACACCTGCATACACCAGAAACATGCAATATGACACAACAGTTGCACTGAACGGAATGGAAACGGACTCTGAGATTGTTGGGAACACTATGTGTTCTCTGTGAGAGTGTTGTTCTCTGTGAGAGTGTTGTGCAGGAAACAGAATAAAAGAAAGTGGAACTACATTTTACT